CTCCACAAGACGTACTTTCACGAAACGACGAGGAGTATGCGCAGCAAGCTAACATCACTACACCATCGCCGCACGACGACTGGCCACTCAGGTCCAAACAACACGACAAATTCACAATTCCAGCTATCACCGCGCAGGAATAAATTGTTGCGAGTGTGACCTGTATCCTTTATCATCTAGGAATCCACTTGTTTTGCCGAACGCCACTGCATTGTTACAGGCTGGGGATTGATCCGAGGGCTCGCCACGCCACTGCGGAGGATGCGGAAAGGACGCAAGAAGACGGTGACGGCAACAAATTACCCGCCCTGGTCGTCAGCTCACTGAATGTCCTTCCGCGCGAGCGAAACCGGCTGCAAGGCATGAAAAGCCTACTGCCAGTCAATACCCAGGGACGACCCTGACCAGAAGGCCAAGGCCGCCCCATGGAGGAGGCCAACAAAGAGAAAACCAGGAGCTAACAAATCTGCTTCCTCTCCGCGAATTTTTTTTTATTTTTTTTTATTTATTTATTTATTTTTTTTTTTACACACACACACACACACACACACACACACACACACACACACACACACTTGACCTTGACCTTGACATACAGCGGCTAAGCTGCCCTCATGAGGAGGAGAACAAAGTGGTAGCATCACGTCTTCGCAGCAGAACATCCGGCCTCACGCCGTTGCAGATCCTGCTGCCTGCGATATCTCTCGCCGAACGCACAGCAGATCTTGAACTCGAGACGCTCCCTCGCTGTTGGTCGCTTGCCACGCTCGTTTAAATCCAGCAGCAGATCGAAAGCACGGGTCACATGCCGGGCAGTGGAATGAGCAACAATGTAGGTGTTGAAGCACTCGGCGAGGTGCAGGATCGACAGAGTCCGATGGCTGTTGGGAGGAACGTGTGAGAGGACACGTATGTACCTTCAGCCCACCAGCACTCTTGACCCATTTACCACAACGTCGACATGACTTTGCACCAGGCTGTCGGCTGACAGGACGTTAACGGGCCGCACTGCACTTATGCCGCTTGTACCCAGTCGCAAACACTGCAGTTCACAGTTGGCTTATACGGCAGTGGTGGTATAGTGGTGGTGGCACAACATCAACGACACTCGATCTCCACAAAGGTCGATCCTGGGCTGCTGTGAACCATGGTGTATCCAAGGAGCGTAGGTCGTGATGAACACGGTCCTTGAGCCGAAGGCGTGGACCATCTGCCGGACCACCCTTACCAAACCATCCAAACCACAACTATTTAGGTTGTCTGGTATCCGGCATACGTGCAATATGTCCAAGTCACTTCATGCGCCGCTTGCAGATGCAGGTGGATAACAACTCTGGCTTTCCCTATCTTCGCCTCAACTCTTTATTGGTCACCGAATCTGACTGTTGATCTTGCCGACACACACACACTACACACCATTGGACGCCCATCGCCGGAGGCGATGATAGCGATGCTACAGCAGAAGCCATAACAGCTTGTGCTGGGATTGCACCATTCAACAGCTTGCAAGGCTGAAGAATTGACCGCCACTATTCAGCCTGGTCTACACCACACAGCTATGAAGTGGCTTTTTCTGGCCAGCGAATCCCTACACTTCACTACACACACACACACACACACACACACACACACACACACACACACACACACACACACACACACACACACACACACACACACACACACACACACACACACACACACACACACACACGCACGCCACCAGTGCTGCCAACCTTCCGTATTTTTCCGCATTTGTACGGAAAATTACTCCGTCCGCAGTACGGAATTTGAGCAAAATGATACGGAAATTTGAAGAGGATCGATCAGCTACAGATATGTATGTAGAAGCATGGCAAGCGCCAACTGAGCGATGAATATCCCTGTGCCAAAGTGAGTGCATATCATGCTTCAACTACATGTAGCACAAAACAAAATGTCCTGGTACAAGTCACACATGTTTTGCACTAGCAAATTCAGCCACCGACAAGCATGCGAGTGTCAAAAGAGCACAATACAAGCCAGGGAGTAGTACAATACTCCCTGATAGAAGCAATGCACAAGGCATTACATTGGTAGTACGGAAAAACGCTGCAAAATACGGATAATCAGAAGTCGCAGTGCGCAAAACAGACCCAATTGGTTGGCAGCTCTGGCACACCGATGCATGCACGCACGCACACATGCACGCGAGCACCCCCCCCCCCCCCCTCCCCACACACACTGCACACACACACACACACACACACACACACACACACACGCACACACACATACACATACATGAAGGTGAAACAAACTCATAAGCCGGTCCACTTGTGGATGTCTGGGTCTCAGAGGTCTGAATTGGGAGGTCTGAGTTTGGAAACCAGAAAATAGAAATTCTGGACATGGGAAGTCAGGACCTCGGAGGTCTGGATTTGCCGGGTCTGGCCTGCACATGAGAGGTCTAGATGTGCGAGGTTCGGACATGGGAGGTCTGGACGTGGCAGGTATGGATCAAAGAGTTCTGCTGAAAATATCCTTATTGTAAGCACCGTCTTCAGCGATGCTAAGTCGCATACAACTCTAAATCACACCCAGCTATGAGGACACTCTTGTTTAGTTTCAGCATGTTCACTTTGGTGATGTATCATACCGTCAACTTCGCGTATAACAACACTCGGCGGGGCATGAGTAAAGTGTCGTTATTCACGAAGTGTCCTTATACCCAAAGTCTCATTATATGTAAGACAGTTAGATGGGACTTTGCTCTGGGCACGGAATTTCTGTCGTTATTCGCGAATTGTCGTTATATCCGCAGTCGATTATTGGCGAAGTTGACTGTACTTGATTTCCCTTGGAGCAGTGTGCCAATGTTGATATTATAGGCCAGTCCCCACCGACTCAGGGTCTTCTCATGGCGTGCCCTGTGAGGTTAGGCAATGCATGTTGAAATTGGGATGGAGATGCAACAGTGCGGATATCAGATGGACCGCTTTTCCATCTGTCTGCAGTCAACATAATCTGCCATCTATATTCCGTGAAGTTGGGTAACTCACGTTCCAAGGTGTCACTGGCAGCGTTGCAACATCACACATGAAGACGAGACCCTAGGGTTGGCGGAGCTCCCTAAACCTCACCACCACTTCCACGATTCAGGTTGTGCGTGCTTCCCCTAGCTGCATCTCATGTTTGGCATTTAAGTGGTCTTTGTAAAAAAAAACCCACATACTTACTGATGTCACCAGTGCCGGTGAAATCTCCTTCAGCAGTTGACATGCTCCCTGCGAAATCCTGGTTGGGATACGTCTTCAACAACTGCTGTGTCAGGCTCTTTACTGTTCCATTGCGAGAGAGCTCGACGTGCGATACACGGCCTGTAGCGTGTCGGCAAGCAAGAAGCAGAGAATTCATGAATTTATTCTCATTTATTCAATACACATAGGTAGTATTTATGTATTTCTCCACCTCGTAGCATGTGAAGACAGCCAGTTGAATCAGAGGAGAGGGTGAGACCAACCACGGAAGAAGAGAAAAAAGCAAATGAAAAGCACGTACACAAAAGGGAAGGGATTAGCAACTTGCAATGCAATGGAGAAATTGGCCAGCTAGGCCCTTGTTTTCCATGCTTATGAGTATGACTGGGTTTGTCTGGTCAAGGAAGATGAGGCACCAACACTCTACACGTCTGTAGGAATGGGTGTCTTATACTTGTGAGAAATGGCACTGCCAGCATCGAAAGTACATTTTGTTTTACATAGGCCACTTCAATGCCAAGCAACCAACCTTTTTCCATGAAACCAAGATTCAGCGTGGCAAAGAGGCAACAACACCAACATTTCCATCGTCTGCTTGTGCCGTACAATGCAGATCAGCTCGAGCAAAACCCTGTTGATTTTATGGAACCCTTGTCGGTTGGTGCAATATCCCCACCTGTCCCTATCGCACCTCCTCCTCCTCCCCCCCCCCCCCCCACACACACACAAACACAGTCTACCACAGAAGCCCGCAAAATCTGAGGAACACGACTCCGACTACAAGCATGCATGCAGCATAAAATAACGCGTGCAAGCAATACACATGTGTGCCTTTATGCTCACATGCATGCATGCATGTGAGCATGCATGCACGTGTACATGCATACACATATGCATTCTTGCATAATCTATCTGTGGACAGAACTGTTTCGTCCTTCCTGGACTCATCAGCGCAGCACACAGAAAACGAGGCCGAATCTGGTAGCAATGAAAAATAAATTTTCCAAAGCCAGATTTAATCCAGGCCCGAGCGTACCTTGCCAGAGTGCTCAAACTGACAAGTCAGTGGGCTCTGCATAACATTCATACATACTAATCAAGCCTCCGTGCAAACTAACCTATGCCACGAATGAAGTTTGGCGAATGAACGTTGACGTGTCGTAATGGAAAACGCTCGGATGGATTCTACAACAGCAAACAAATTCAAGTTAATATCCTACAGTCCATTCAGAAAAAGATGGACTTCTTGCTTTTGGCCATAAATGGGTCAAACGTTGAGTTTTTTAATATTTTTTACTGCAATCCCCTATGGAATCCTCTTCCAATTATGTTTCTGAAGTCTTTTTCTCCAAAAAGCAAGCCATAGTAAGAATAGGATTTTGGCCAGGATTTGCCTCAAGAGCACTGAATTGGGAAAATCCATCAAAATCCAGGCCGTTTGACCTTGCCTGCGACAGTGCATTGTACGGTTCGAACCCCAGTTCAGGTACCATTTTTGGACCCTTTTTCAAATTTCAATTTTCACAGCACTGCACTGTGTACGATAAAATTTTGAAAAATCGCCTAATACGGGAGCTCGCCAGAGCCAGGGCCCATCTTTTTGTGAATGGACTGTAATCAAGAGCAAGGCCGTCACAGCCGGGGAGGCCGGGGCGGATGAGGCCACCCCATTTTTTTGACCGTTTTTTTTTTTTGGGAGCACACTGCAACAAAGATTGATGATCGCAGCTCAGCAGAAACGTGGCAAATCCTTGTCCCCAATAGTGGTTTTTTTGTTCAGAAACAAAACAGCCTTTCATTGCAGCAAGAGAGATGGACTCTTGATTGCAGTTACACTGAAATGGCACCAAATGCCTGGAAATGCTTGCAATTGGCTTCAATTTTTTAAATTTTCCCGGGGGAGGGTAATGTTTGTCCCCGATCGTAGCATCTTCAAGGTTTGTTGCAAGATCAAAAAGTCTTTCATTTAAGTTACACTGAAATGGCACCGGCAAATGCCCGGAAATGCTTTCAATTGGCTTCAATTTTTGATTTTTTTCCTGCGGGAGGACCCCCGGACCCATTCCATGGCCACCCCACCTCCAAAGTTGGTGCGACGGAGCTGATTAGAGGACAAACACTTGTCATAGCTTGAGCAATCTGCTACCAAGAAGCTGGTAATTTTCTCAAGTAGCTGCGCTATGAAACGTCACCTTGGAGAATAAAGTCGTTCCATGACAATATCCTTTAAAATTGTATTCACAGTGGGTCCAATGTTATTAGGCATTATGCCTGTTTTGATTTCCACTATAAACAAAGTATGCAACAACTTATACGATGGTACGGTACGGAGGGCCTGTTTTCAGCCAATCAGCCCTCGTCTAGCCATGGTTATATTGGCCAGTATAAATCCCGCGCGGGATTTATATTGAATATAAATCCCGGTGCACGGTACGTACGCTAGGGCACTGCCACCGTACAAGTTCACTGCCTGAAAGCCAGTGAGCTTGTACGACGGCAGTACTCCAGCGCACGGACCATTTACAACAGACACAACATTCACCACATGCACGTGTACACTCCACAAAGAACGGCATTACTGACGAGGAACAGTACACAATGGAAAAGAAGAATGACCTGGAATTCGTCTACTGAGTATTCTATTACCGTAGTTCCGCGCATATAAGCCCATGGGCCTATATCCGGATATAAGCCCACCTCCGTTTATAGGCCCATGGGCTAATATACAGACCCAAACACCGTAGTACAGCATGTCAGTGCAGACTACATTACCCGTACCGGTACCTATGGTAGGCGGACAACCGCGGACGGACTTGTACTTTTTCGCGTGCCAGCTGCCTTCAAAATTGGAATATAGGCCCAGGGCTAAAAAACGAACCATTACTACTGATTTATTTCCCCGGAAAATGCATAATTTCGTATATTAGCCCATGGGCTTATATGCGCGGAACTACGGTATACTGAATCTGAGGATAAAGAACGTCAAATAGCCACGAAGTATCCCAAATGGATCAGCAATGTACATTATACTTCGAATAGTTGAAGATCATCAACAGACTGTCTCCTTCGTAACTAAGTTTATGATACAGAGTGTACTTTATATCCTCCTAAACCGATTGGAAAACGCTAGAATGGAGTGAAATGTGATACAGTGATACAAACAGTGTATGCAAATGCATCTACGTGCAAGTAAGCAAACCTGATAAGATACCGCATGTGAAAATCAGCACTGCACAATAATAGTAACACTTACTCCCAAAGAGTCCTAACTGTACTGTAGTCTAACTAGTGACGGTAGTTTGATTCAACAACAACTCCAGCACCCCAGCAATTCCAGTTGGCTTCCGCATCGCTCACGAGACAATATGCTACCATGTGCACTGGAACTGTAAGGAAATCTTATGCCAAACATCCACGGAGGAATCTCCTTCTGATGTTGCTCAACCATTCTTTCAATTGACAACTGATAACCATCAGAAGATGTTCATGTACTGCATGATGTAGGAGATCTCCAAATAGGTTCGTTGTTCTGGAAATGCGTAGGGGTACCTGGCATAAGTAGGATATGACCCTCGTAGTCGGGTTATACCGTATCCTCATATAAATCCCTCCTGCTATCGCAGTCGGGATTTATATGTAGGACTCAGTATAGAGTCCATGCACTATATGATGTCCAGCACCCTATATAGAGTCCATTGGTCCAAAATCCACTATACAGAGTCCAGGAGTCCACTCAGTTTTGATCAGCTTCATCCTGCTGCGCAATCCCCTATAAGGAGTACACTTTTTCTACAAGTCCCCTATTCACAGTCCAGGAGTCCAGTTTATCCAGTCACGCCGTCCTGTGTGTTGTGCCCGAAAGAGAACAAACACATTTTCAGTTTTGCTTGCCTCGTGGCAGCGCATTCCTTTCTCCACTTTAGCCATGGCTCCCAGTTCTGCTGTGCAGTTGCTGACAGTAATCTGTCTCGAGGTAACCAAGGAGGATAAGGAGACGTTCAAAATCAAATCTGGAAAGCGTCTTGTGGTTCTCTGAAGACGTTTCATCAGTGCGCGGGATGAAAGCAGAAATTGCAGAACGAGAAAAGTTCAGCACAGTTCAAATCTGACGAGTCAGGTACACTGACACTCTCTTTCGTTCGACGCCACAAGGATCCCCTGTTTGGCTGGCCATTGCTGCCAGTAAGACGTTTGAACGGTTTCATCAGAGCGAGGGATGAAAGCAGAAAGTGGAGAAAGAGAAAAGTTCAGCACAGTTCAAATCTGACGAGTCAGATACACTGACACTCTCTTTCGTTCGACGCCACAAGGATACCCCTGTTTGACTGGACAAGAGCTGCCTGTACCACCGTGTCAAAAGGCTGTCCAACTACATGACAGGACGATGACTGAGGTAAGGAAGCTTTTACTCGTTTCGATTGGTCTGCTGTTCTGTCGTTATGCTTGAATTTGTTTCCATTTTCAAGGAGCGTATCGTGTTTGTTTGATGTTGCTTGAATGAATGCCCTAAAAGTAATCAACCACTTCGTAATAGTCCTCAAGGACTGCAAGGACTTTGCATCAATCGTATACGATCGTCTAGCTATCATCAATTATTATAATTATTTCATGAGAAATGTATTTTTATCCCTGTGAAAATTATGTGAAACTCCACGACACTCTTCCTCTACAAATTATAGTATGATGTCAAATACAATGGGATCCACAAACGCAGTGCCAGTGTACTAGTAGTAGTAGGAGGATTGCTTGTATGCCAATGACAAGAAAAAGCTTCAAGCTAATACTCGTATTCCCTGAAGTAACCGTTTTGATGTCACGAACATGACATTGTGTCAGTGAAACTGCCTCGTGACAACAAATCATTGCATTTCCATCTTGGGGAAGACTGACTGACGGCAACGCTTTACAGATTGTTCAAATCATCTCATTTCAATTTAGTTGCAGTGAAACACTGTGTACACTACATGTATGTTGGTGTGTCTGTGCGTCTTGAGTGTGCACAAACGATCTTATTCCTCGTATTACTAATAGATTATTGTCCCCACCGTCACCTGTTCACAGGTCTTTGAGTGGATTGATTTTCATTGAGCATCACATTCGTTGAGAACTTGGTAGTTGTGTGCTCCCATGCATCATTACGTTAATAAGCGTATCCTTGTGCTATATATTTGTTGCAGGTGTGCTGATCTTCAGAAGCTTGCGGAACTGAGTGCTGCTGAACATTTGCATGGCCATGAGCAATGGTGAAGCTTGCTATTGCACTCTCAGCATGTGCTAGTATTATGCTGACCACTGCACTATGTTACTCTCTTACACTACTACGTGTATGTAAACGTGCGTGTACCCGTCCCCGTATGCATTCGTTTCGTATAATTATTTGTTATCCCTCTTGACTTTACGTGTAAATGGGTGGACGTTTGCATGGCTGTTGGAGTTGCGTGTGTATTGTGTCTCTACTCTTTTATTGGTGTTTTCTTGGCGTTCTATAAGTTTGTGTGTGTGTGTGTGTGTGTGTGTGTATGTGTCTGTGTGTGTGTGTGTGTGTGTGTGTGTGTGTGTGTGTGTGCGCAATAGTTTGAAAACAAATAATTGATCCTGGGCTCTCCATTATTCTCTTTCGATTCTTGTTTTTTTCTAGGTATTTTCTTGGCGTTGTGTGGGTGTGTTCATGTGTGTGTGTGCGTGCACAATAATTTGGCAACACTGCATGATTGAGATATTGTAATTTGCAGCGTCTGCGTAGAGACCACTTGATTTGAGGATGGTGTTTGTAGGGTTTTTCATGTAGTGAAGTGGCTGCAGTGGCGCCTCAATACATATTTTTTATCTTGAGAAGTGAATGATGTAAAGGATAAGGGAGAGGCCGTTTTCTGGTTAATATTCACTGCTTACAGCAGATCCTATGTCTAATTTCGAACTCGATAGGGGATGCCTAATTGGCTGGACTTTATACAGGGAGTGTTGTCCACATAAAGACTCTTTAATCTTTATAGTTGATTTCAAAATTTGGACTCCGTACAGTTGATTTTGGACCAATGGACTCTATATAGGGGTGAAGCCATTTGGCTGGACTCTATACAGGGAGTGATGTCCATCTAAACTGAGCTCACAGTTGATTCCAATTTTGGACTCTGTACTGTGGATTTTGGACCAATGGACTCTATATAGGGGTTGGACATCATATAGGGGCTGGACGCTCTACTGAGTCCAACATATATTCAGCCGGTAAAACCCTCTGACTTGGGTTATATCCTCTACATGACATGTCGATGCAGCTGGTAGTTTCAAAAGGTTAATGCATAAAACATGGCCACCACCTTCCTAAGGGGGAATTTGTCCCATATTTGACAGGTACAGCCAGTTGTAGTACATTTGATCGTACACAGTTCATGACCTTTGATGCAGGATTGGTATCACAGTGTGTACCGTTTTAGTGGACTTGCCCCTCAAGATCAAATGGCGGGAGTATTATGCATAAACCCCATTACTGTTGCCTTGTCCCCGTGTATTTACTACGCGAAGTAGTTGAGGGAATGGAAAAGGGAAACGTCTGAAGACAATTTTGACTGTCACCACCAGGACTCGAACCAGGGACCTTTGCTTGAGGCCAGCGATGCTCTAACCACTGGGCTATGGTGTAGCTGTCATCCCAGCAGAGACCTCTTGTCATCTGTTTATATCTTCTTGAACGGGTTACTGTCTCTTAGAGATGTCAAGGTTCTAGTCAGCCTTACCTCCGCTACGGCTGAGATGGTCAGTCCAAATGAAGCGTCGTTGAATCCTCCCCAGCCGATTGTATTCCAATATGAAGGTTGTGCATACAGCCGCGTTAGGAGATCTTCAAAACCATAAGAACAGCATAAACAAGTCCATCTGCTCCTGGTATTCGTCGCCATTTTATTGAATTCTGAAGCCATCACTTTCAAGGCCGTCAGAGGTTATGTGAGTACAACATCAGTAGAGGTGCTTCGGCCTAATCGCGGACTCACGGCCCAGCGATGCGCTAGTGGACTTGCACAAGAGACTCGCGCTGCGTGCAAAAACTGCTGACTCCTGCTCGTCTACTTGTGTCCATTTGAAAACCTCCACGAGATCGTTCACAAAACCTCTACAGCAATTTGTGTAGAAGGCATGCAAACACTGTCATCGTGTTGAACTAGAGCTTGCGCTTTTGGACGCCAAGTGTACAGCGCGAGTCGACTGTTTTTCTTGAAGCTAGAGCATTACTCAGCCAAATTATTGCCAAAGCATCTCAGCTGGCGATGTACCGTACTTTCCAGAGTATCAGCTGCACATTGAAAACTCAAAATTCATCCAAAAATTGGGGGGGGGGGGGGGGGTTGCGGCACATACTCCGATGATCAAATTTATGGGGATAAAAAGGGTAAGGGGTCATCCAGCATTATCGACTCTACTTGACCCACCCACCTGTACAGACCATCTGGTAAAAGGAGACCGATCGCTCTCACGCGCCTTCGCTCTCCTTATTTTCTTTTAGGGCGCACTTTTCGTCGCGCGCCTTGAGAATTTCGAGCACATCCGCATCACTATGAAGTTCTGAAAACACTCAAATATTTCGTAACTCGGCTTTCCCTGAACGGAATCGAGTAATCGAAAAGTCTATTCGCATTAGAAAGTTCTCAGCCGTCGGCTCCAACAAATCGGAAGTCGATCCGAGGTCCAATAGTGGAGTTACGGCACTCGCAAGGTATTTTACGTACCGTTGCAAATTTTCACTTCGGCACATATAATTTTGACATAAAGGATTTCCCTCTGTTGCGTGACAGTCCGGGCATGCATAGACCTGTGTACGTGTGACGCCAGGCACAGGTCTTTAGCCGTCAGCTACAGAAGAAAGGAGCGCTCTACGATGAATACTACAAAAATACCATGGATCTTAATAATTAATATTATAGCGAATTGGCTCAATTTCCCATTGCGTGTGTCATTGTCCCTGATGAAGGGAAACTAAAGTTGTGGTCCGAACAGCTTTCATTTGTAGTGCGTACGGCGATTTTCCAGAACGAATTTGGCAGCTATTGGGTATTGAATCCGATTGGGGTATGGCAAGATGTTGAAAAAACCCGTATTGTGCTCGCCTTGGATAGAAAATGCGAGCGACTTTTTTTTGGAGGGGGGGGGGGGTGGTCGGGACTGCTCTCCCACCACTCTCCTTGAGAGGATAGCGAGAGTGATTGTTCACTCTCCTGGATTTTTCTTACACGAAGGTCTGCTGTAGACAAAACCTTTTCTTTTCATGAAAAATATCGATAATTATGGAAGGCCCCTAAATGTCTGTGTTTCGTGGCAAAAAATGGAGTTGAGGCTTATACTCCAGTGCTGCTTATACTCCAGTGCTGCTTATACTCCAGTGCTGCTAATACTCCAGTGCTGCTTATACTCCAGTGCTGCTTATACTCCAGTGCTGCTTATACTCCAGTGCTGCTTATACTCCAGTGCTGCTCATACTCCAGTGCTGCTTATACTCCAGTGCTGCTTATACTCCAGTGCTGCTCATACTCTAGTGCTGCTTATACTCCAGTGCTGCTGATACTCCAGTGCTGCTTATACTCCAGTGCTGCTCATACTCCAGTGCTGCTTATACTCCAGTGCTGCTGATACTCCAGTGCTGCTGATACTCCAGTGCTGCTTATACTCCAGTGCTGCTTATACTCCAGTGCTGCTTATACTCCAGTGCTGCTTATACTCCAGTGCTGCCTATACTCCAGTGCTGCTTATACTCCGAAGATACGGTAATCGCCTTTAACCTGTATACATATAAGAGCCGTGATCAGCCGAAACCTACCCATAGCCAATCTTCAAACGATGAAGTGCGATGGTCCGTGGACATTCTGCCTGTCAACCCACCTACACCCTAGTGTCCCGTCAACGTACCACAGCTCGTTTTCTTTATCCTGACTCCTATTGCTATGATGCTGCGCTGCGCACTAGCTGATGTTAACCATTGCTTTCTTTTCTTTTTGCTGACCCGTGCAGCTCTATCTTTAGTTTTTAGTGCGTGTTGTTGGCCGTGATGCCGAGACCTCAGGTCGGCAGAGTCATCAATGCCCCACCATCACTGCTGCGTCTCGGTGCAGCCCCTGCTCAGTAGTTGTCACGTTTGTCCTTGCCTCAGTACCATTGTCTTTCATTATTATTTACGAGTTGTGTATGTAAACATAGCAAAAAATTGCCTTTTGCGATAAAATGGCAAATCTTGCTTTTGCAGAATCGAGTGGAAATGTGCTCCCAGCGACATTCGTCATGAAGTGGCTCTTTGTCGCTTTGCTTTCTTTCGGAAGCCAGATGATACTCTTTTGAAGTTCACATCATGTCAAGGAACAGAATCAGCGGAATCACTTCAAACAGCTGCACTCTGTGTGCAGCCCTAAACCCACGAACACTAGGATTTGAACTGGCCCAGGGCGCAAACTAGACTCCCACGGTCGAATTCTATCAAGCAGCACTGTATGACTAGATCAGGGTGCAGTGAGAATACCCGGTCTTGCACTATGTGCTGGTCGCAATGAAATGTGAGTTTCGCTCCATACGGTCAATCACTGCATCATGGGTCACATGACGTCAAGCATGTTGGCTCTATTGGAAAATCTGCCATGCAGACATTGTACGCATAGCAGTGTGAAAATGGCAAGGATGGGGCTAGCGTAATTGGCCAATGTGAGCACTGTACATACCTGTAGGGGTCACCAAAGTGGTGTCCTCTGGGGCCAAGTCCTGTGGAACTCCGTCCAGCTGCAGGTGGTGTGGTAGAATGACGCACTTGCCAAGGTTCTGGAATCTGAGCGTGCCGTTGGGGTTACCAAAACACAATCCTATGTTCAAGTGTGTTACGGACAAATCCGGAGGTCTGCAAGGCAGAGTCTTCCCATATTGACTGGCACAGACCTTGGACAGCGAACAAAACAAAACATGTGGACAGCTATAAAAAACCAGCACCATCATCTCAGGCTTTCTGTCACACTAAGCAGGTGGTCATGTGTGCGTGTGCTGCCCGCGCGCATGTATTTCACAGCCGGAGTTTTAAAAAAAAAACGGAACAATTTAAAAAAAAAATGCAATACAAATTTAATGCAAACCCAGAAAACCGGAAAATGTAACTCAGCTCACAACCATGTACGTGTACATGTGTGTGCAATAAGCTGGGCCGCAAGTCACACAATCATCATGCCGCCTGTGTTTAGACCACAAGCATGGCAGAGGGGATACACTCATGTAATCTGCTATTCATGTACATGTCAATGTACATGAAAAGTGCCGCGTCGCTTCACTGTACACAATTACGTACAAATGCAATATGCACATACACTGTTTTTTTTATCAAAAAGTATTCTTTCTAGACCAAAGAGTGGTATATTTGATAACATTTAATAACGATAGAAATTTTTACGATACTTCTCCAGACGTTTCGTTGTTCTGAACAACACGAAACGTCTGGAGAAGTATCGTAAAAATTTCTATCGTTATTAAATGTTATCAAATATACCACTCTTTGGTCTAGAAAGAATACTTTTTGATATTACAATGAGAGTGAATAATCAACGGCTTGTCCACCAACTCTTTGACTGTTTTTTTTGGATGGCTTCTTTATTTTTTTCGCCCTCCCTCATTGATTTCATCGAATAAGGTGACGCGAAACATAGAAAAAAACGACGTGGCCTAAAAAGAGTTCGCTCATCATTATGAGCCAATCGACCAACCGTAACCAGGTCTAGAGAGCATGTAGAAGATGTACATGTACATCTGTCGCATGATGTCAGGTCTTTGAAGACTTTTTACAGACACGAAGCAGCTCTTGTGGTTGCGCTGGTTTTTTCCAAGTTCTTTTTCCTGGGTTTCCTGTTCTCGACCTTCCGTTACAAACCATGACTCCTGCGTCGTGCCACTACAGTGGGAGACGAGTAGGCTGGATTCTAGAAAAGACTGTGGCTTCACCACAATTCCTGGGTTGGTGTTTAGCTTTCGACAGGAAGCTGGAATACCTGACACCACTGGAGAGCATCAGAGTCTGTGAAATGGCGGTGAAGAGCCTTCATGGATGTATATATTCAATCGAGCGACTGAAAGAGATTCTTTCCTTTAGATTTTAGACGAGATCGTCCACCGACAAAATATTTTTATACAGTGACATTTCCATGACGTACTAATCATTTATTTTTTTTATTAATATTATCATCTCCACTTCATGGCACATAATAATACATAGCCAATACAAGAAAGGGAGGGTGAATCCAACCACGGGGAGGGGGGGGGGGGATCATGCAAGCAACGTAGCCAACACTTTGTCACTGAATGATGCCAGGACAAACTGGGGCAGAACATGACCATGGCCATCCTGACAGATGATGACATGCAGGACAGGGGGCAACAGGAGTTTTTGATTGTTCCGGGCCATACCCTGGTCTTTCATACAGTTTATATATGAACTCATTATGATGGCTACACATGACCTAACCAGCAGTTAACATGCAATGGTGGCCAGTAAGTTGGTGCAGCAGGAGTGTAGCAGCGGGTCCGGCCTGTTCGGCTTTGGCTGGATCACGTTTTTTTTAAACAAAATGCCAAAAGTGCCCAGAATGGAGGATTTTGCACCCTAATTTCAAATTTTCCCGGGGAGACCCCCCCTCCCCCCGCTGGACCACCCCCAACGGTGGTGCTACGCACCTGTTCAACCATGGCCCGACCAGCCGCACCGGTTCCGCCGGGCCTGACATGAAACAACTCACCGCTGGGGGGCTATACACTCACCAAGACGGCGCTGTCGGGTCCGAGGCTTAGGACGGTCTGGCCCATGCGCATGTCGGACTTCACCTCTGCTATTGTGCCTAGCACCGGTTCTACGGCATAGGATAGAGAAGAAAAATAACTCATTTGAGCACTATCTGCAGCTCGGAGATAACGGATGTGTGCCTTTGAATTTTTTATTCTCCCGATGGCACCATCGAGAAGTTCATGAGAAGGTGAGATGCTGTGGATAGGGTTGTGGGTTATGCAGCTGGAAATTAACTTACATCATTTTGAATTTAACAAGTGAGGGAGACAGTGATTGCCGCAGGAGCAGATTGAGTTAATCAGCAGTGAGTAGATTTCTTGTTTGAAAGTTCTTTCATTGTCATGTGTGGCAACCACTCTGCGTGGTACATACCCTCATCAGTGTACGCCGTACACCAGTATTTGTCCTTTCTGCCATAGCGTGTGTGTGGGTGGGTTGGGTGAGATGAAAGTACAGTCAACTTCGCTAATAACGACTGCGGATATAACGACAATTCGCGAATAACGACAGAATTTCCATGCCCAGAGCAAAGTCCCATCCAACTGTAATACATATAATGGGACTTCGGGTATAACGACACTTCGCGAATAAGGACACTTTTCTGATGCCCCGCCGAGTGTCGTTATACGCGAAGTTGACTGTACAGTGGAGCTATGATAAGAGGTACCCTGACTCGAGCAGGAAAGTGTACATTTTATCTGAGCTACATGCACTTCTTATCACACCGCGCTTCAGCATGTATCTCAGCACCCGTACTCGGTCCGCGTCACCAATATTGTCGCTTATCTTTTGACAATTTGAACTTAGACTTTGGACAACAGCGTGTGCACTTGAGGTGATAAAATTTGGTACACTGGAAGGTCGTATACTTGTATACGGCCTCAGTAACGGAGCTGCCACCCAACACCTGAAACGCAACGGCTGCAGAATCTTGGAATGTTCGAGTCTGCCTTGTTCGTTCTGCCAATGTGTCATGCAAGTAATGTCTTCTCCCTGAATGTTCGGAACGTTTTTGCAAATTGTCTGTACATGTGAAAATGGGTTGGCCATCTTGTGTAGCTTTCCACTACGTGGTTCGCGGCTGTAGTTTTTATGGTGGGAGATCTGCGCCAAGCCAATGCTGGATTGTTCAATAGTAGACGCTCTGCAGAGCCTGGGAGCCATTGCCCATGACAGACCAGCATGGCGAGATCTATGCATGAGGGTCTGTGCATTGTGATATTCCGACAGATCCTGAAACAGTCAAACTCAGGAAATAGCCCTATCATTATCACTCAGGCTGCAATATTCATAATTATAGACATATTCATAAATGACATATCTTCAATACCCATGAGCTACATTGTATATATTATGATATAAGTATCGTAATTATTATTATCATCGTTCTCATGGCCAGGAATCGAGGACATCTGAGAGTTGTAATTTTTGTACTCCTCCGAGGTGTGATTTTTGGCGTGCTGGGCCAAGCACAAGGAAGCCATCTGCAAAAAAACTGCAGAAAATGGTTGTTGTTTGATCCTTTAGTGTAATCTTTGTTTCTAGTAGGGTGTTCGGACGATTTTGAAAGTTGCTCCGATCTCCTCGATTTTCGTCTCATTGTAAAGAGTAGGATAAACTAGCCGGGAAATATATAAGGTTTTTCTAAATCCGACCAGACGTTCAAGAGTTATGATCGTTTGAAGTGCGCTTGTTGGCACTTTTGCTGGAACAGTTTTGATGCAGGCCAGTGGCACAAAACCGGGAAATTCAAAACCAACTAGAACAAGGTGAAAATCAATTTCGTTCAGGGTCTTTCAAATTTTCACAGATGATAGGCAATAGAGAGCTTCCATCACTTGACCAATTTTTTTGGTATTCCATTTAGCCAAATTCAAATTACGCCCATAGCAACCACCATAGCAACGCATACAAATTAGTCGAAATAAATGCGAAAGATGTAACCCTTCACAGGCTGAAGCTAATTGGAATACGGGTACTACAAAGACGCAGCACCAGGAGGAGATTACAGTTATCTACCCCATGTAGATGAAGCATCCAAGAAAATTACATACGCACTCATCCGAGACGGCACCCGCACCCGGGCATGTTGCGCCGCGGGACCGGATGGATGCAACCAATTAACAGGTATGCTGCACCATTGCAACACGATGTAAGCTTCAGCCAGGCCAAGGCAGCAGTCCTGCTAATCATCAGCTTTAGAACAACTTGTTCCCAGTCATATACGGCGCGTGCGGCACTTCGGGGCAATTGGTGTCGCACGTTACATGTAATTCATTCATACGATTTGCACAATCAACAGACAGTTCATTTATCGGATGATTGTGCAAGCGTAATTTGGATGTAAATTATAAAGTCGACAAATACACTGGTCCTACATTGCCCATGCTATGTGGATGACAATGTACTCCAGACACGGTGTATACGGCATTGCGTAGCTGCACTGCGTTAGCGCGCTGCAAATCCTCAAAGTGTCAATTCTGTGAAGATTTTCAGCTGCATATTGAACGCAGTATTGGCAAGAAATCTGTTCTTGACCAATTTGTCTGCACAATGGCTTTCTCCACTCTCCAGATACAGCGACCAGAGGTTTATCTGATGTGGTAGCTCAGCGAAACTACAAATATACAGCACTACAGCCAAGTCCATCAACTCCATGTACATGTACATGTACATGTACTCCATACATTTGGTATCCTGGCGCAAATCGATCGCTCATAGAACAAGAAGACAGCATCGTACAGCCTCCAAATTTCACACACTGCGTAGTTTTTCGACGCTGAAGACGATGGAATGGTCGTCGGCGTTGCGACCGGCCCAGAACAGGCCGAAATCGATACCCTGAAGTTGCGCAGGGCGTAACATTGCTAAAATTCGTCGTGTGGAAACGGGACTTACGGTCTCAACAGCAGAGCCATCTCCTCTTTCCAACAAAGAAACAAACTCGTCCTGAGCTGCTAAAATTTTACCTTGCCAAGGCAAGAAGCACAGTGATGTACGATTGTGCCACGGACCCCGTACAAAACTGTTTCCACTCAAAATGCGCCTGGGTTCGAGGCACCGAACACCCTATTTCTAGTCGAAGCTAGTTGCTGTTTGGAGCAGAAACGCTGAAATTGACTATTTTCTGCATGTACTCATACATGTACTCATGTACTCAGGCATGCAGTCTCACTCGTATTTTAGCTATTTTTCTGGAATGGATGCTGCTCTGCGCCCCTTGGTGAACATTTCCTGCGCTCGTGGAGCAGCTGAAAAGGACCACTGGTATGTCTGGTTCCTGGTTTGAAAGTGGAGAGTCGACTTTTGTGTCTTGAAAAAGGAGTAGAGAGCGATAAAGGTACGTCTGTGGCTGATTTTTGAGTGCTCCTCGTACATTTTTGATCGTGATAGAAATTCTCAGCCCAAAGTCAGACCAAAGTCAGCGCGATGATGGTCGTACAGTTTTCTTGTGGATTTCTTAGTTGTTTCATCTCGTATCTATGTCAGTATCGTGATGGTGAAGTGGAGAGGGTGATTTTCTTCCTCTAGGCTTCGTTCGGCCGACTTTGCTTCGTCCTCGTTGAAAAGTGATCCTGAAAAAAAGGTCGCTTCGCAAAATTATGTTGATTTTCAATGTACGTGATGACATGCGATTGCTGGCTATGAGCTCATTTTTTCCCCTGTCATAGTCCTGTTTATCATGTTCAGCATAAGCGAAGTTGTGGATCATGCTTGCATGGTTGACTCCAACGCGTACATTCAAGTAATAATAATAATAATAACACTGGAAGGTGAGGTTTAGAATGACAACTAGCCACGAGGAATTTGTTGTCCAAGGAAGGGTTCATACTTTGTTTGGTCATCCTCACCGCTGCTCTCGGCACTGGTGACACAACTCTTTAATATATTTGCTCGGAATCGACCGGAATCGACTCTCTCGATTTCCCAAGCTCATCTCTCTTCCCGTCAGCTACCTGGCTATTTTCTACAGGGAAGTCGATCATGACGGCCGCCTTCTCTCTAGTACTTTGCATGGGCAGCATGACTACCCGTGTGGTTCAAATCACTCGCCGTTCTTTGCAAGATTTTATTTTGAATGACGACGACCCATACAGTGCTTGTTAATCTCCATGATGCGCTGGATACTCCGAGGATTGAGTTGGAGGTGAGGGAACTGCAATCTCAGCTTGGCGAGCGATCCCCGAGGTGAGCGATCTTGGCCGCTTTGCAAAATGGAACTGATTCGGAGTAGCCGATTACTTTCTTGTGCATCGCACTGCGCTTGCCTGCGCAGTGTGACAAGATAATTTATTTTGATATGGCGTGGTATCAATCAGAATCACCCACCCGTCGCTCTCGAAATCCATTCGAAATCTAGCTAGACCTTTCAGGTACTGGTAAACTAGTTAACTAGGGGTCTGGGGAGATATGAACAAATATCGTCTTAAAAAAAAACATCGATATTTACGGACGGCCCCTTAGCCACTCTCATTGTCAAATCAAAAGAGGTTTTTTCTTCTTTTTAGACCAAGATGGTACATATGATTAGCAGAACAACGAAACGTCTGGAAAAGTATCGTAAATATTTCTCAGTTAATATTAAAATAGTTCTATCTTTGTTAATCATAATTATTATGCAGTGCCGCCAAGTGCTGCCAAACGGTCCGATTTTTCGGACAGTGTCCGATTTTTTGAAGGCTCTTCCGAAAACTGGCTCGAAAAGGAAACTTCCGAAAAGCAGCCAAAATGTCAGGGATCAGTACTTTCCTATGCGGGAGTCCTGTATTTTCACTTTCCAACGCAACTGAAGGCACAAATCAGGTACATGGCTGTGCTTCTACATTGAAATTTTGAAGAAGGCTAGTGCTTGGCGGTGGAAGTGCAAAGTAACATGCCTGGATGGCATGTACACTGTACAGCGTGTGACCACTGTGACCACACTCATGCATTCGCTTTTTTTTATCATTGCTATATTCTCCCCATTTTTCTCTATTGCTCAGCCGCCTACAATAAGAGGATACTGAAAGTCCTTTTCCGCAAACCATCATACTTTCCTTCTGCCGAGCTGTATGATATGTTCAACACCTTCCCCATCTCTAGTCAAGCAGATCGAAAACTGTGTATTGTTGTTCTTTCGATTTGTCTTGACAAAGCCCCGCCACACTTGCGTAAGTATAACTGGTTTCTTCCCTCTCGTCCTACACGTAATCCCTGCACTTTGCCTAAAGCCCGAACATCAGCATATACCAGATCTCCGTTTTTCGCTGCCTATTCTCTCTGGCTGGCCCTGCCTCTATCAGTAAAATCGTCTGGTACTCTAAATGATTTCAAGGCCAGCATAAAGCTTGTATTCTAAGAACTGCTATTTCTTCATCCAGATTTGTTTCTCTTCTCTTTGCCTCTCTCTGTGTAGGCTGTTGCCTCCAGTAATTTGTGATTTTTTTGCATTGTATTTGCTTATTGCCATGGCTGGCTATCTCCCCCCTCCCTCCATATTGGCCTATATTCCCTGGCCACGGGAAGGTGAAAAAAATAAATAAACGAGAGAGCTTGGAAGCTCAGGGCCCTACGCTATGCTTTTTTGCCTGGCCAGCTCATCAATGCATGTTATTAGAACGATGGAAATGTTTTTTCTCTCCATTGATTGGCTACAAAAAACTTTCTCTTTGCATTCGAGGATAATACGACACTGTCTACCACATTGATGACCAAGACAAAAAAAGCATAGGGATGATATAAATTTTTTCATTTCTGAACTCGGATGGTGAGCCAAATATAGTTATGATGGAGAAAGGAAAAGACTGTATAGGATCTGGTTACATTGGTGGACAGTTTGTCATAACTCGTAACATTTTGTCCTTTTCCTTTTTTCATTTCTCCTATTTTTTCAAGACATTATAATGTACAAAGTAGTGGTTGCGACTTCGGCGATGATTTGTAAGAAATGGTTTGCTCCCCACACCGGAGCTCGCGCTATTCCGCCGACTTTACTTGACACTTGACTGACTCACGACTGCCATCCAGAGCACACGAGAAGTCCATCGAACCTTCGACTCGGCAAACCTGCAAGAAAGCACCACTCCCTGCTCAATACACAGTGTTTCGGGGAATTCACCCCTCATCAGTTGAGCTTGAGTAGGCTGAGGAAGATTGTGCCTGAAGAGCACCACTTATATAGTGCTCTCCAGGCACAAACATCACCAGGGATTCAAACTTACAGAGACGCTCCGTTTCCAGCGCGACAAACACCTCGTGAACACCAGATAGCAGCGTGAGTCAGTGTATCTGGTGTTCACGAGGTATTTGTCGCGCTTGGTGCTTTCTTGCAGGTTTGCCGAGTCGAAGGTTCGATGGACTTCTCGTGTGCTCTGGATGGCAGTCGTGAGTCAGTCAAGTGTCAAGTAAAGTCGGCGGAATAGCACGAGCTCCGGTGTGGGGAGCAAACCATTTCTTACAAATCATCGCCGAAGTCGCAACCACTACTTCGTACTGTTGTGCCCAGCGCGGGCTTGCGACTAGTTGGTTTGGAGGTGACAGCGTTGCGAATGACCGAGGGTCCTCGACGTCTGTCTCACCGTCCAGGAGCGACACTGACTCACGCTGCTATCTGGTGTTCACGAGGTGTTTGTCGCGCTGGAAACGGAGCGTCTCTGTAAGTTTGAATCCCTGGTGATGTTTGTGCCTGGAGAGCACTATATAAGTGGTGCTCTTCAGGCACAATCTTCCTCAGCCTACTCAAGCTCAACTGATGAGGGGTGAATTCCCCGAAACACTGTGTATTGAGCAGGGAGTGGTGCTTTCTTGCAGGTTTGCCGAGTCGAAGGTTCGATGGACTTCTCGTGTGCTCTGGATGGCAGTCGTGAGTCAGTCAAGTGTCAAGTAAAGTCGGTGGAATAGCACGAGCTCCGGTGTGGGGAGCAAACCATTTCTTACAAATCATCGCCGAAGTCGCAACCACTACTTCGTACTGTTGTGCCCAGCGCGGGCTTGCGACTAGTTGGTTTGGAGGTGACAGCGTTGCGAATGACCGAGGGTCCTCGACGTCTGTCTCACCGTCCAGGAACGACACTGACTCACGCTGCTATCTGGTGTTCACGAGGTGTTTGTCGCGCTGGAAACGGAGCGTCTCTGTAAGTTTGAATCCCTGGTGATGTTTGTGCCTGGAGAGCACTATATAAGTGGTGCTCTTCAGGCACAATCTTCCTCAGCCTACTCAAGCTCAACTGATGAGGGGTGAATTCCCCGAAACACTGTGTATTGAGCAGGGAGTGGTGCTTTCTTGCAGGTTTGCCGAGTCGAAGGTTCGATGGACTTCTCGTGTGCTCTGGATGGCAGTCGTGAGTCAGTCAAGTGTCAAGTAAAGTCGGCGGAATAGCGCAAGCTCCGGTGTGGGAAGCAAACCATTTCTTACATTATAATGTAGCCTGGGATTCGAACCCGCATTATTGCCCTGCATGCATTCCCCCAATATACTTCGCATACAAACGCATTCTTCCAAGTTGCTTCACGTTATGATCTTGCATTTGAAAGCCCTATTTGAATATCGTGGCCAACTGTTTGTGGCCAGCTGTCTTTGATGGTACGGTACGGTATGGGACAGGTACGGGATAGCGCCAGGCATGCCGATGGCACAAACAAACAAACAAACACGGAATTAAAGCTGTGTGGACCCTGGCTAGCGCCAGACGTTACTGAAGTAACGTCTTTTGCATAGCTACGGGAATAAATGAATAAATATGTACCACTCTTGGTCTAAAAAGAAAAGAAAAAACTTTTTTGATTTTCAAAATCGATTCTCGGGAAAAATCAAAACGAACTCACTGTACAAACAGGTTGTAAAGCACAACTCACCGACTGAGTCCACATTCAGCTGTGTACAGGAGCCTCTGCCGGTGGGAGTCGCCTCTGACCAGGGACATCTGTACAGCACGCCTGTCCTCAGCAGGGTGTTATTAGCCGACCATGTGTCGTTCGTGTAGGAGGCCAGCGGAGCACCGACCAGCAACCTGAGCACACACACACACACACACACACACATACACACACATACACACACACACACACACACACACATACACACCTGGTCCTGGTCCTGGTAAACACTGCCATTACGGTCACGTGTCCCCTTACGGGGCCGACAATATAGAACGACGAGCGGGACCATGTTCGAGAGAGCCATCTCCAGCAGCTATGGATCTGGCTTATCATCGGAAACGATTCCTCTCACGGCTGCCGCTAGAACTGGTCCATCACTCTCCACAACAGAGCGAACATTCCATGAGCCAACGCTCAGAGTCGTTCCAAGTCGTCGTCTTCGTGCGGTAGTTTGCTCCACTCGCGGGCTTGCAAAGCCTCGCGAACATACACACACACACACACACACACACACACACACACATACACACACACACACACACACACACACACACACATACACACGGAACAGTATGCTCAGAACGGTGTGCAAGTCTGAGCAGCATGCACATGCAACTACCAATTGCCTTGTGGAGAATTATCTTCTCCATGCCATGCTATATATGGTGCGAAGCATGTGGAAAGGGCCCTTCAGGGTCAAATTTTGAGGTTTTGAGTCCTCATTCCCTCGTGGCAGATGGCCAATCCAGCGAAAAAAATAAAAAAATATACTCAGATGGAAATCCGCCAGCAAGTAATATTGTGGAGGTGTTTTTTTTGTACGGTCTTAAGCCAAACCAGTTGGCAAGTTCAAACTGCAGATGCGTTTTTCTCCGTTTCCGTCAAGTGCGGCCATGCACCGGTTTCACAAGCACTGCACCGTATGTTATGATCCAGCGGTGATAGCGAGTGGAGTAAGACATACTCGTCAGACAGCACTTCAGTATCTCCCAGTAAACAAAATCACAGTCACCACTTCCGCTGCATAGCTCGCTGGGCATCCCATTGCTTTGTAAGTTGCTAATCCCTTCCCACTTTGTGTACGTGCTCTTCATTTTCTTTTTTCTCTTCTTCCGTGGTTGGTCTCACCCTCTCCTCAATTCAATTGGCTGTCTTGACATGCCACGAGTTGCAGAAATAAATAAAGATAATAAATACCGCTTTTTCCGGAGTAGATCGTGCGCCCGAGCATAATGCGGAACCCCTTTTTTTGACCAACATTCTGCCTTTTCAAGATATATGCGGAGTATAATGCGCTGCCTACTTATTATTATTATTATTAACTTTTATTTTACTAGGGTGTTTCCCCACAGACCTGTGGTCTTCTTACGAGAGCCCCTTGAAGTAGGGTTGAGAGAATTATGGACTATAAAAGCAGTCTTGTAGTGTAACCATGGGCAGAATTATCATAAAATTATTATAAAATATGTACTTTTGCAGAATGAATTTGCTACGTATGGGGTGGGGGTCTAGTACCCATCTTGCACTGATTTGCAGTGTAGCTGGCAGAAGACACCACAAATGCATGGATATGGCTTGTGCAGGGTCAGAGACTCAAAGGGGACAAACTTCGCAACGATTAATTTTGATACCTCGCACTACTTTTCGATATGCATGTATTCTCATAATGGGAGCATAGTGCGCAACTCGGATTTGGGGCCTGAAATAGCGGGTCTAAAATGTGCACTATACTCCTGCAAATACAGTATTATGTGTCGTGCCCATCTCATTCTGAACACCGGAGAAAGCCGACATCTGGCAACTGGCAACTGATACCTACGGCTTGCAGGCGGCAAGATAGAGGGGACGTTTACCAGCCTGCACACATTTTATGCAGCTGTGTTCAACACCTGTCCCCAATCACAACAAATGGTTTCACAAAGGGCCCCTACTTTTGTGTTCTCAGCCAAGTCTCTGAACAAGAGCGTTGGCCTGTGAGCTGTCTCTAACAGCCTCTCATGCAGAGCTGCCGTGTCATGCAGCAAGTGCACCCAATTCCAGGCAGCACTTTGCTGAATACAGCAGTATCCACTGCTAGCAGTATTGCTTGTGCAGGTGCAGGTGCAACAGGAGTTTTCAATGGGACGCATGCATCATGATGCTGAAGCAAACCAGAATATAGGTGACCGGGGTCGGTCTTTAACCCCCCCCCCGCCTCTTTAGTACTTAAAAAAGATACTCGTACACTCTTCGTTACTGCGAGACACAAATCTACAAGACAGTACAAGTATAGCGCCTCAGTGCCAGGTTTGGCGAACGCAAAGAAATGAGAGCGGCGAGCCAACCACCAGGGCTTCAAGATGCGTGCACACGACGGAGCATGAGAAACTGCACAACTGCATGTTAGTCACAAAGAATGCCTGACCCAATCAATGTGCTAAAGAGTAAAGTGGTTCGCTCCTGACGCAGAGCGCGGTCAGGGCCCAGTACAGAATACAACCGTGAACTAAGGCCGTGGATCCGTAACTCTCCGCACTCTGCAGCGCTGCGTTCCATGCGCCTAGCGTCAATCAAGGACTGCAAGGACAACACTAAAATAACTCACATCTTCTCGTTGCCGATCGAATGAAAGCTGACGGAAACACCGAACTGAGAGCCAGCAGGACCAGAGAATCTTGTAGCCGTCGTTGTGTCAAGATTGAATGTCCACGCCACTTCGACGGCACCAGCTAGCAGCGCACATAATGATAGCAAATGCTCCATTATCTCGTCGACACATGAAAACCAGAAACAATCTCCGGGAAACTGTGAAACTACGCTACAGGTAACCGTACAGGTAGAGTATAGCCAACCGACTGCACTCTGCAGAGCCTGAAATGTGGAGTATTTCTTTTCCAGCACTACAAAAATGATCTCCCAGCTGCGAAGTTAGGAGACCCCACTTGATGGCGTACCCCAAACGGCCCAAAATGCACATTCGTCGAGGTAGCAGCTATTTTAGTATTTACGTACACACGCCACGCCGCAGTTTGATGTACAGTGCTAGTGCTGCTAAATGAAATCCAGTCGCGTCACTCGGGTTTGCGCCTTGCAGCATTTCTCAGTGTTCGCAGGTCTAGGGCTGCGCAACGCTCGGCGTGTGCTTGAGTGACGCGACTTGAGCAGCACCGTCTGTACTTGCACGACGTATACGTAGCAAGTGACCTCGGTACTCCATAGGCATGGGCATAGGCAATGCCGCATACTCGACTTCTAGGCGTGAATAGGTCTGGTGCAAGTGGTGCATTGGCATGGTATGGTGTTCTGTAGAAACGTCCCGCGTTCCTGTGTGACTTTTTCCACCGTCTGGCCAAGGAAGGTCAGAGATCCAGCGCTGCTAATGCTATGCTGAGTCTGTCTCGCCAGTCCGCCTCGTGTCTACCATGGACTACCACAGCACGAGCCTGGTGCTGTATGTGGTGCTGTATGTGGTGGATCTAGACACCATGTACAGGAAGATCTCTTGGAGTATCCGGTGCCACTCGCACCTGGTAGATCTAGTTGCCTCTGCGAAGCCATGATTCGTCACCTTCCTGGACCACAATGCTCGGGGCCGGCACCAGTTGTGGATTCACCAGAGACGGCTTCGAGCTTCCGCTAGATTTCAAGCGCATCCCAATTCCAGCTGGCAGAGACGTCCGGTAGATCTACAACTACTTACGTATGGAATCGAGCATGAGTACGAGGACGAAAGTGCGGAATCGGAGCCCGACGCGCGCTAGCGCGGAGGGCTCCGATTCTAGCACTTGAGTCCGAGTACGAATGCTTTGATACCATTTCTGACATGCATCACGCCTAGGCGTGCTCCGATTGGAAAATCGGAGACCTGCAAGCGCTCACAGGTCTTCAGTGGCTGATTCAAAGCACGGCAAGTCGCGCTAGGATTCGCTGTTGCCATGTCGATTGTCATGTGACATGTCAGAAAAGTCGATCAATGCATGAGCCCTTATCACAACATCAGCTCTACACAGGTTGTAGCCTCCAGCGCAAAACTTGGTATCAAAATCACGTAGATCTACGGGTTAGACCGTGCACTTGCACTCCGCAATCGTTTGGCCCTCGGCTTTGGATAGCCTACTGTGTTAGTACAACTACAAGTAGCTGTGGATAATAGTAGACTACGCAACGTGAACCGGTAGTGCCTCTCACTGTCTGTTACCAGTTGATCCCGTTTTCGGACCTATAAGCCTTTTTCTAGCCCTGCATAGCGTGTCGCAGGTTCTGGCATTCTCAGGTCATACAACTGTCACCTAACACCTATCCTTACGAATCCGTCACATTTCTATGTAGAAAGTGTTGAAAGTGGTTCGGTTTTGGCGGGGAATTTTGCCCTATTTACCAGCATTCATTCACCGGAATCATCCTTCGCAGGTTCAGCAACTAACCGTTACTTGCTATCTAGAGTACACCTACTGCAGTACTGGTAACTTACTTCTCTCCTACCAGTAGAGTCTACCTCCACTGATCCGGCTCGGTTGGCGAAATAATTATTGTCTTCGGTATGGTGGTGATCATGGTGATGTGCTACACTGCTAGTACCGGTAGGTGCAGTAGTTTGGTCGAGCGCGCACTGTGTGACTGTAGGGCGATGATGTGAGTGGTCAGTGAAATCCAGTCACGTCAATACAATCATGAGCTTTGCGCTTCGCACCATTTCGCAGCCCAGCGTTCCCAGGTCTAGGGCGCGTACTTGAGTGACGAGACTGGATTTCAGTGAGATTCGTTTGGAATTAACTAGTTACTTTCGCTATATTCGTTAGCGGGCACGAAATAACTAAAGTTTGCACCAAACTAAAGGTTTCTTTCTGAACAATCGGGGTTACAGACCTCGATCAAATCAAAAACAAATACAGTGCTGTTTTACTGAGGCGTTCGGTTTTTGATGATTCTTGTTCGCATAGCTTCCCCTTTTATTGATCTTCGCATCTTTTGAGCCACACAAGTTGTGTGGAATGTGGCTTTGCGTTCCTGAATCGTGGTTTGACCGTATTGACCAATGGTCTTGCCAGTATCGTCTCGACATGCAGGAACATCCGCCAACTTCCTTCACAGCTGAGACTTTCAGCTCGTGCTTATCTTGGTTGCGCTCACCTTCCCCTCCTTATGTTATTTCTATAACTTAGAATTTTCCGAGTTGGAAGGCTGTTGGAGTGCGCATCCAAGATGTGCTAGAGCTGTTAGCCAGTTAGTTGTAGAACGTCAGTACTATCGGTCAGTGTCGTGCAATGTTATCGCATGAGCTGATTCTTTAGTAACTGGTGGTGTTAGTGGACAGTATAGCGTAACTTGTAGTTCCTTAGTCTTTCTCTTTGTATAAATAGCATAATTCTGCAATTTTTCAGCAATGGGAAAAGCATAATTTCACGAAAATATTAGCATTATCTGTCAAGGCCTACAGCCATCAGCAGTCCTGGCCAGACAACTGACCGAACTGGAAGAAAGGAAGACACGGCAAGCACGATTCATTATGATGACACAGGAACTTTACTTGGAGAATCAGATCCTTTGGAGTGGGACGCAGACAGGCCAGTCTGTTGAATCTGTAACATAGCGTATACTCCAGAGCCAAGTCGGCAGAGTCAGTGCCTTGGTTGGTGAAGAATAGAGTGGAGAGGAAGAGAAGCGCGAACTGGCTACCACTATGCACGAAAAAGGTATGCAATCCCAGTTTATGATGAATGGACTACCGGCATGCATTTGTGAATCATTCTACAAACAGTACTGTTGCTTGTAGATCTACACGTTGTGCCTGCTGTTTATCCTAAAAACATGACTTGTATAGACCTTATGCAATACACGTCACAGGCTGCAATCTCCATAGTAACGGTGCCCCGCTGAGCTCATCATGAGGGACTGAGTGGCAAAAAAACTAAATTTTTGAACTTGAGAAGCAGCTGCTGATCTGATTATTATGAGGGAGGGGGCATTTTTTGTTTCGTTGTGGAAGAGTCATTCCTTCTGCAGTTTTGCTAGTACGATGGTCAAAAGTTGGGTAATCATGCAGTTTAGGGTCCCAAATTATTTCGCACTTTCCCAGTGTTCAGTGTACTGTCACACGCGTTTTCAGTGTACTTTCACATCGTGAACTTTATTTTCATGAAAACCGAGGACAGATCAGACTGGGTACTGCTGGTGAACACTGCGGAGCAGGGAGCCGAACGTGTTGTCTTCCGCGCGAACTCTCTGTCTCCTCACGAACTCGCAGAGGTACGTCGGGAACAACTCTCGCGAGGTGCCGAAGTTGCGCTTCAGCTGGCGCTTGGCCCGCATCCACATGTTTTCCACGTTGTTGGTGTGGATCGTTCGGTCGTCCGGATCAACAAAGTTGTCGTCGTGGACGACGACATCGTGCTGGTATACGCCACCGTCGATGTTCCTGATCTGCGCGTATGCGGCCCAGCCGTCAGAGATGATGCGTGAGCCAGGCAGAATCCACAGGAAACAAAACTTTGACAAAGGAAACAAAACTTTCACACGAGAAAAGAAGAAGCATAGTGAAAGTACACTGAAAACGCGTGTGACAGTACACTGAACACTGGGAAAGTGCGAAATAATTTGGGACCCTAAACTGCATGATTACCAAAAGTTGTTGTGCTGTTGGCTGCAGTAACCGGTCTAAGGTTGGTTCGGTTGTCAGTTTCTACCGCTTTCCGGCAGACCCTGTGAAACGGAAGAAATGGACTGTAGCTGTTCGTCGTGACAAGTGGTCACCAAATCAAAACACTTGGCTGTGCTCTGCACATTTTGTTGGTGGAAAGAAGAGTGATGACCTGTGGAGATCCCTGTGGAGAGCAGCGATAGGACCGACTCAGCTAGTCCAGACACCGGTGGTAAATGCTGTCATCACGAGTCAGAATTCGATAATTTGAAATGTGAGAACTTGCTGCTGAGAGAGGAGGTGAAGAAATTAAGGGCCCAAAACTCAACTCTCCGTGGTGGAGCAGCACTTTCTGAGAACGATCTGATATGTAATGATGACAAGGTGAAGCTCTACACCGGATTGCCAACGTACGCTGTGCTCATCACTGTTTTTGAGTTTGTTTCCAGCGACGTTGAGCGTCACCACCGCTCGGCAACCTCATTGTTCACGCAGTTCTTGATGACGCTAATGAAGCTCCGCCTGAACTTAAATGATTCTGACCTTGGGTATCGTTTTGGTGTGGCCCACAGTACCGTGTCGAGGTATGTGCTGAAGTAGGTGAACATTATGTATGTGCGTATGAAGCCACTTGTAAGATGGCCAGATCCGGGTGATCTAGGCAAGACAATGCCGCCAGAGTTTGCCAAGAATTTCAAGAAGTGTGTGTGCATCATCGACTGCTTCGAAGTATTCTGCTAGCGTCCCTCTGATCAAATGTACCTGTGCTGACAGTGGTAGAGTTGAGTCTACTCATGACCGCTGCTGACATCGACGGGATGCGACTGACAACATTTTATTAATTTCAAAAGAAATTCTATGTTTCGCGCGAGTTGTGTCGGTTCCGCAACCTGCATCTCCTGTGAAAACTCATCGAAGTAGAATAATATAGAAGTGACACGGATGTCTGGTAGATCTACATGTACATGTATGTGCACACACTAAAGGGAAGCTACAGCCTGCAGACCCATGTGAGGTTGCGTTTCAGACCTACTAGCAATTCAGATTCATTCATTAGGGTCGCCGGGGTGCATAGAGGGAGAGAAAATAGCTTTTGCTCATGCAATGCATGGATTAAACGGGATTACCGCAAAGTCATGTGGATCTACTGTAACGTTAGAAGCAGAAGTTTTTGGGGTGAACTGAATGATGTTCTTTTCGTTGGAATAGTTGTCTGGCTTAAATTACAGGCACATGTATATACCGGACTGACAGCGATTCGTCAAGGCTCTCAATAGATATTTTCTATTCTTAGACGAAATTCTTAAACGGTCGGATAGGCTGTCTTCAAATGTGGACGAAATTCCGCACCGACTAAATATCCTCCATATACAGTGATGGTCACCAGTTCGAATACATCATGATATTCATTTTCAGCATTGGGTATTATGCTCTGCGACATTCGTTTTGTTGAGCACTCTCAGTAGGCTGCTCTAGTGCTGCTGCATCACTCAATGCCCGCTACGTTTTGTAATTTGAGCACTCTGGCGCTAGAGCGACGAGCTATCTTAATGTCTGTGTTGCCTCCTTTGCACCATGGCTGGTGGCTCGGCCTATTTAAAGCTCGTAGCGGTACTGATGAGACCCTTGTGGCCGAAACAGCGGGCTGTCTACGGCATTGGATAAGAAATTTCATCTTTCACGCACTTTGCTGTGCTCTGCGCGACACTACAGTCATGTAGATTTACGGGTACGGTTGAACCTGATACTCAGTGCATGTACTAGCGACCGCTGCGATGAGACGTCCTTTGAGAGCATCCATGTCCGATACCAGCCATAACCCAGGGTACTAGTGCCCAGCCGAATCAGACCTCGGGGGCCGTGAGAACCAATCAACTTTTTTTTTAAACAGACATGATGCCAGCAAAACACAGCCCTAATGTCACAAGCTACATGTATGTGCTGTGCAATGAGGAAGGCTGGATGGTATGGCGGGGGGGGGGGGGGAAGGGGCTTTAGAACAGAATTGGCTTCATGGAAACACATAATACATCATTATACTGGTAAGCGTCAGCAGGTAGACGTACTGGAACTGTACGCTTGCCGAGAAAACAGTTCAAAGGAAACTACTAAAAGGTAGACTGGCAAACATTGAATACCCGGTACATGTACCAGCAGCAGAACAGTGAGTCAGTGATCAGCGTACAGCAAAGCGGAAGTAGCCTGGGGAGTGGGGGTAGAAAACTGTCATTGTAAATTAGTAGGTTCTGACGATGAATGACTGGCTCGAAACGTCAATAATGTTGTCAACATCACCGTAAAGAATGGTTTTATCCAGCGCATGCGCAGATTGTGAATGGCAACTGAATAGAGCGGTTGTCAGTTGACAAACGCCCCTTTCTTCGTAAATTAGAAGGGAGGGCAGATTTCCTCCACTTCCAGTAGCTGAGTACTTCCATAGCCATTGGAGGTATGACCTAGAGGTTGACCGGTCGTTGGATCCCCCACATGCACTGTAATGGTGTGGGAGCCCGTGCCAATAGCTCCACCAGACGTACCGCCACAGATGCCTTTGAGAACCGACGGGATATGAATGTTGTCCTCTCCTAGGCGAAGGTAGAATATGTCGATCGCGGAAGGAGCGGAACATTCCTCTTCATCGATCTTGACAAACCATCTAGCGCCACCCACGGTCCCCACGCCGTCCGCACTGAACACACGGATGTTAGCAGAGTAGGAGACCTTCAGCAGAGTGTCTGCACGTTTCTTGACATAGGTGATGCTGGCCAGCTGGGCATGGTCGTTGTCGTCAATGTACTGATGGTGTCTGGAGTTGAACGCGTAGCCAACTAAGGCCTTGTTACACGTCGCATTGTGTGCCTGTGGAAACAAATGAATAGAGACAGAATGTTGACTGTATAGCGTCACCCTAGAATGGATCGCTTCCCGAGAGAGTGGTTGCTTGACTAACCCTTCACGAATGATGCTAACAAAGTCTCATCTTACAAAGCATACCGTGTTGGATACCGATCTAAGAAATTCGTCAAATACATCGTTTTGCAATTGCTACTATTCCACTTGTTTGAGAACACCAAGAGCCTAATTTTTAAATCTTAATCTACGCTACAGGATCATCACACACTTACCTCCAGCGCATCCACTCTTGTGCTGACCGCCGTGACTTTGATATTGTTGGCTACAGTCGCCGACTTGACGGCGTCCAGTGACGTAGCAAGCTGTTGATATGTGGTATCTTTGCAGAAAAAAGTAAAAAATTGGCAATGAGATCAGGTCTGGGGCGGATTGGGAAGGAACTCGAAGGGAGTCATTCAATGGCAGGATATATTGCGATATGGCAATTGGGACGAACACATCAGATCACAAGTACATGTACCATCAGTCAAGCTATCAATGCACCTCAACCGTACACAGCTGTGTGATGTGAAATCCGCAACCTGAATTGAATCTAAACTTCAGAATGTGGTATGACTATGCAGGAATCAATCGATCACGAGCAGTCCCACAATCGCAGGAAATACGGCAGTAAAGCAAGTACATGACAAAAACAAGTGCTTAGTCATTTGGCTTGGATATCATCTATAAGTAGCATATGTATAATAATGGACGTGCAAGTGCTTCTTCTCATGATAGATACATGTACACTACCAGCAACACTCTCCAGAGCCAGAGGTGTCAGTCAATGATGTGCAGGTTTTGCCATACGCTGATGTAGAATTAGTGCTCAGTCACGAAGCTTTAACATGTATTCGTGTAGTTTAAAAAAATTAAAATATTGATATCGGGTACTGGGATGCATGTACAGTGAAACCTCGTTAAAAAGAACACTGATAAGACGAACTTTCGCTTTATAAGAACAAGTGTTCATAACTGTAATGGATAGAACACTGTTTACTCACTGGGTATAACATTTGGATAAAAAGAACTCCCGTTATTGCAAACAAATACCACCGGTCCCTTGGTGTTCGTGCTGAAAGAGGTGTTTGACTGTACATACGTTGCTGGCAGAATGCACCAGTCTTGTAGGGCGAGCATCTGCACTGGTATTCCGAGATGGTAGCTTGCAGCACACACAGACCTCCAACGCCACATGGGCTGAAATCCAGGCACGCTGCCAACGTGCCACCTGTGCAGACGCCACACACAACGGACAAGGGCATCGTTAATCAGAGACCGACCTCGCTCGACTACATGGGCTGCTCTCTGAAATCCGACAAAGCGAATCAATGCCACGTTGGGCGTTGTGCAGCCCTAGACTTGATTCCACTAGAATGTGATGGGTGCATTGCAACAAATTTCACTCACGCAGTCGGATTTCATTGAGCAGCATTGCACTTGCCACGAAGGGAAAACACAATGGTGAGAAACAGCGGCACTAAAAGTAAAATGGGGCTCTTTTCGGAGAGCCAAATGAGAATAGAGATGGTCAAATGTCCAGTGCACGCATGTTCAGGTATAGGAGTGTGCACTGTGGGCCGCTTAATAAGGACAGTGCATACATGTACGATGACCATGTAACTCCATGATGTGGGACAATCCAGACAATATGTTAGGATATGCTTGGACGTCAACGGTGTTCCCTTCCGCGACAATTTCGGATATTTTACTTACCCAGGCATCCCTGTACAGCTGCGGCATGCTGGGTGTTCTTCTCGAAGATGAATGCAAGCAGCTTCTCGTCAGCAGACTCTATCCGCGGAAGGTCAAAACCCAGCGAGGCCAGGTTCTGACGGTACACAATCGCCTTATCCAAAGGCACGCCTGCTCTCACGAGGAGCAGTTCGAGACAATTGGCTGCTCCTGGGAGACAGGACACATGTACACAGCGAACATGTATGTTGAAAGCAATGAAGTAGCTGCAATATAATTATAGGTATCCATTCAGCTCTGGAGAATCCGTAAAAAAGCAATACAATACCAAAAGCGTATGGTCAATTGGTGGCTTCACATAACAATTATCTCGTGTGCGAGTCGGACCTCAACACGCTATGTTCGTTCTGAAAAAATAATTATGGTATTCTTAGTTTGGAGAGCGAGTGACGCCGCTCGGTCATGGCCGTCAGCTTCGGCTGGCCCATGGGTAATGTCTTCTTCGCCAGGAAACAGGCAAGCTTGTGGAAGTATTTTGAGTAGCGGAGCAAAAGGCGAGGGCTTGTTTCGCATTGGTACGTTCAACGTCCGTGGACTTACTTCAAATTTCAAAAAAAATCAACTTATTTCAGACCTCAATAAATACAGAGTTGGACTCTGCTGTCTTCAGGAGACTAAAATCTCCGAAGGCTACGATGGAAATATTGACAACTACCGTCTACTGTGTCTCTCGTCGTCGTGTCGACATTATGGACTCGGATTCGTGGTGGAAAAGCAGTTACTGCACCGAATATATAGATATTGGCAGGTGTCGGACCGTATCGCCGTGCTACAGTTATGGCTCCCCGGGAGAACGCTGTGCTCATTTGTAAATGTCTACGCCCCGACATCAACACGCGTTGCAGCAGACCATTCATGCCTAGACGAGTTCTACAACAGCTTGCTGGAAACAATTCAAAAACTAAGGTCTTCATCGCTGCTGTTCCTGATGGGAGACTTCAACGCAAAACTTGGGAAACGACCACCCAGTGACTGCCACTCCGTATCCTATGCTGGTTCACACTCAAGGGGCCATCGCAACTACAGCGGCCAGACTTTGGCTGATTTCGCGTCCAGCAATTACCTATTTGCCTGTGACACGGCGTTTCAGCACCGTGCAGAACATATCACCACATGGACAGGCTGGCGCCACAACCCTAGTGGAGGTCCACCTTTACCCATTTACAACCAAATAGATTATATCCTTTGCCGTCACAGTGAAAGGTTTGTGGTGACGGATGCCAGATCATACGCCGGGACAAGCTTAGAAAGCGATCACCGTCTTGTGCTGGCAAACCTCAACCTGACTAAGTTGTACAAGAAGCTCAAGAGGCCGCCAGTAGCCATATCCAGCAACGCAAAATTCAATATATCGGAATTTAGTGACCCGACCAAGAAAGCAAAGTACAGAGAGGCTATCAACGAACATCTACAGGACCTCGGCAGAGAGCGGGAAGGTGTCAATGCGGAGCAACATCTGCAGTATATTGTGAACGCTATGAGTGAGGCAGCAAACACATCGGTGGGCCGCGTCCCTAAAACAAACAAGACGCATAGAAATGGCTTCAGCGGGGAAATTGAAAAGCTAGCAGCAGAGAAACGCAAACTGCGTCTCGACATTACGGTGTGCAGAGATGGAACGAAGGTAAAAGAAATGAAGACGCGACGCAACAGGCTGGCACACCAAATTCGCCGGGAATGCCTCAAGTTAGCATCGACTCGACTGGACGAACGTGTAGCTGAAATAGACCAAATGAAAGACGACGCGAAAATGTTCAAAGCAACACGACTACTGCGCCGACAGCAGCAGTCACCAGTTGTGGTTGAAGACTCTGATGGCAAACTCATTGCACAACCTAGTGAATCAGTCGAAGCATTAAGGCAACACTTCCGTGCTATATTCTGTGATCCTGCTCTGGAGTCATCTAGGCTCTTACGGACAGAGGAAGACCTTAAAAACCCTATAAAGCAGCCAGAGGTACATGCCGCAGCTAAGCGCTTGAATGATGGCCGAGCTTCGGGACCAGATGGGATACCTGCTGAACTTATCAAATATGGAACACCAGCACTGTTCTCGAACATTGCCACTACATTCAACAATTATGCCAAAGACAAATCACTCAAGCTAGGCGATGGGCTACTGATCCCGATACCAAAGCCGGGAAAGAAAAGAGGTCCTCCTGGAAATGTAAGGCCAGTTACCCTGTTGAACACCCTACGTAAACTTCTTTCATTGGTCATCCTGACGCGGATCAAGCCAGCTATCAACGGGTACTTGTCACTGAACCAGAGCGGGTTCCGGTCAGGGAGAAGTACTGGAGACGTGGTATATAGCTATCGGTGGTTATCAGCAAGATGCCAGCGTGTTGCGTCGGATATCTCAATCTTAGGCATTGATATGTCAAAGGCATTTGACACTATATCAAGGGTCAGGCTGATCGATATACTGTCAACAGTCATTGATCATGATGAGCTGCACATCATCCAGTGCCTTCTGACAGACACCACAATAAAAGTAAAGCTGAATAACATTCTCAGCCAACCATTAGTCACACATAATGGAACCCCACAAGGTGATTCTCTATCGCCAGTCCTGTTTACTGTCTACCTCGAGGCTGCATTGAGGTTGATTCGAGAGCGACTCTCACCGCGACCAGCATTGGATATTCAGCTTCAATTGCCCAATGAAACAGCGTATGCGGATGACGTAGACTTCATCAGCACCAGCCTACAATATTTGCATGACAATCAACCCATACTATCATCCTCGTTAGCGGAATACAATTTAAAAATGAATGAAGCCAAAACCGAATATACTACAATTAAAAGAGAAAAGGACAGAGTAGACGAGCGATGGCGGAACACGGTCAAACTAGGATCGATGCTTGGAGTGGAGGAAGATATCAGTCGGAGAAAACGTCTAGCAACAGGCGCCTTACATCAGCTGTGGGTGATATGGCTAAGAGGTAACCATGCCCGTGAACCCCTTCGGATTAGGTTATACGGCAGCTTTATTCTCCCAATACTTCTTTATAACTGCGGCACATGGAGCCTGACAGAGACTCAAGAAAAGAAACTTGACTCGTTCCACCGCCAGCAGTTACGAGCAGTCATAGGGGTCAAATATCCCCGTATAATACGCAATGAAGCACTGTACAAGCGCACTGGCTCCAAGCCACTCAGCAGAATCATCCAGTCTGCTAGGTGGAGAATGTTTGGCCACATGCTTCGACTAGACACCTCATCCCCGGTCCAGCAGGCTATGTCAGCATACTTTCAGCCAGGAAGCTCAGGGTTCCGAGGCCGCCCGAGAACAACACTCCCGCGATCCATCAACAACGACCTGAAAAATTCCAGATCCACAAACTCCCTCACATCACACGAGGATCTAGTTGCACTGAGGCAGCTCGCCCAGGATCGTCGAAAGTGGAAGGAACTAATGTGTGCTGTGTGTAATGGCTGAAGTTATACAATTACACTAGATACCCTTAACAATAATAACGGATACAATTACACTAGATACCCTTAACAATAATAACGGATACAATTACACTAGATACTCTAGATACTAGATACTCGGTACTCTAGATACTAGATACTCTAACAATTTTATCAAACATTATGATAATTACCACATCAAATGCTGCGGAGACCTATCCAGAATCGGCAATATGCTGGCCCTGGCCTGGAGATCTGCAACTATAATCAGCTTCTACTTTGCAACACTAACGGATTAGTCCCCTTTGTCGATTGATGGATCAATCGGTAGATTCGGCTCTGTTTTTCTTTCCTTTCTTTCTTGTTTTGAATTGTACGTTGAACTCATTGGATTTCTTTGTATTCTGTATCTCGTTATCGTTATATTTCCCTCTAGCCCTCTCGCTTAGGATGAGCTTTTTTTTATTTTTTATGGCAGCTTAAGCGAAGGCTATATACCTGCTTTATGCGGGTTGATGCCAACGCGAACAAGCAAAATAAAAATAATAATAATAAATTCTTAGTAATGAATCTAATTATATGGACGGGGTATAGAAAACAGTTTAAACGGTGTGAATTTCTCCTTTTGTCAAAACCTCATTAGGAATCCATAAACTACTGTTTTGTTGTCCACGTGATGTGCATGAACATGTTCCTTTTCTATTGACGTGCATGTACAAGAGGGCGATGCGCCAAGGGAGGAACGTGTGCTGGAGATTCAAATTCACATTCCAAGTTGGGAGTACTGGGCTTACCTGTGCTTCCAGCAGCGTCCTGGCCCTGGACAGTGCAGCCGCTAAGGGCACACAGGCACAACAGAACCACCGTGGCACTCCGCAAAACTGCCATTTTCAAGTTACAGGGACTTGCGGCCGGAAAGAACAAGATAATTAATTGGGTTTCAGACTGCCTCTAATGTGTCTTGGAGGTCATAGAGTGGATACCTCAGGATAACTCGGTGGATGTGCGTCTTTTATACGAGCAAGCGTGCATGAAACAAACAGGCCAAAGGTTAGGCGTACTAATCTGAACAGGGTAACCTGGAGAGTTTGATATTCACACCGGTGGACGGGCAAGATGCTGGTAGCCCCCAGGGACTCGTAGAATCTACACATTACTACGTCTTTGGTGGCCACACACACACAGAGAGGGTTGCGATGCCTGCATACCGCCCAGTGCCATGCATTGGTCGTCACATTCAGTAATGGACAGCGTACGGCTATTCTCATTCACGTTATAAAATGTCCAACTCTTCTGCAAGGCCATTTAGTACGAGGACAGACGTAGTCTAGCAATCGCGATGTGGGGAGCATGGGGTCTCGAGTGGGGGACGAACGGGATTAAACTACGACATTTGCAACAGTGCACAAAGTTTGAGAACAATGAGGCAAAATGACCGCACTCCGAACTCCATATTGGATGTCATATTATGGTTTTGTTCTGATATTGCGCAACGAGGATTCTATATTCAATCGCAGGACCTCGCTATCCGATGTAACCAAGCTACTCATATTTAGGGGGAGCGAGAATGAAGTCGCGTAGTCCTGATAAAGCGCACACGTGAATGCCTATGGTTTGGGATGATTAGCCACTCTTAGATGCCTGTTAGACCGTGTAGTGTGTGTTTCAGCTATTGGGACACTTTTGTCCTTCACAACTCAAATGCAACAAACAATATGCAACAAAGCGCAGAGTTACCTCAGCCAGAGCAGAAAGAGAGGTGGCGGTTTTGATCTGCAATAAGGACCACCTCCGCGTGACAAACTGTGTCAACAATAGGAATAGTTTGGAATTTCTCAAAATGCGAGAACGTTTGCGCAATGTTTGGACATTGTTTGCAGAGCTCAGACAGACGTCATTATTAGACTTATTCATGATGCATATGCATGCACACTGTACAGTCACGTGACATTTTGTCAACAGTTGAATGGAACTCTCAGAGTCAGGGACTACAAGTACAATCATGTAGGTATTTTATTGTACTGACATGTGACTAGTGGTACATGTGGGTACAATGTAGGTGATGTGACAGCTCGAGGGCACTTGCACCTGTCAAAATAATCTTTTTTATACATGCTTTAACACATGCATACATTCATGTAGCATCTGCCTTTCACACTTGACAGCCCAAGAACCCAGACTGGCCATACATGTACATGCAGCTGTGGACTAGCAGCAAGCAGTAGAACAAACTCAGTGGTTGGATGGCATCAATAATACATTCGTACTCGTGGCACTACCATAAAGCACCTGTCTGAATCATTTGTACACTTGACAGCCCAATGGCAATAACAATAACTAGACTGGCCATAACTGTGGATCGGGAACAAGAAGCAGAATAGATCAGTCATTGGATCGCATGAATAGGGCATTCGTAGTCTAGCACTCTAACAAAGCACCTGTTTAAATCTTCATTTTTTTACACTTTAAAAAAATATTTAACAGCCCAAGAACCCATACTGACCATATTCAGTTGTGGATTGGCAGCAAGCAGTGGAATGGGACAGTGATTGGATGGCATGAATAAAGCATTCATATTCTAGCACTACCGCGTGTAGCGGATGCAGACTACGGAGACAGTGGGGCAGGCAGACAGTCAGTGGCAACTGAGTGTTTTCCATGTGCTGAATCGGTGTACGACAGATGTATGTTCGGACTGTAAGGTCTTGTCTCGTTAACGCTCTTATCAATATCTCTGTTGGCGTGATATTTTGAAAACGTTTTACACGTTAAAGTGATTTTCAATCACTGTCGTGTAAACGAGGCCCAAAAACGCTTCACACAAGTAAACCACGTGATCTGAACTGAAATGTTCATGCTATCGCTTCGTCCCCGAAGGAACCCATGATTGCGCAACAACCCCGGGGAAGTGTACTTGGGCTCCAGTTATCATCGGCATCCTGACACGTTTGCACATCATAATTTCAAATATTGTTGTGTAAAATTATGTCTAGCGTTCGGCGTATTTCATCGTACCCTGCTATGAGGGATACATGATATCACCACGCAGCACAATGATTGGCAGCCGCTCTGCATAATCATAATGAAGGTGTTTTTGCTCCCATCCATTACTCCTTGGTACACACAGCCCCCCCCATCATTTCTCACAGTCTTCCTCATTTGCAAGAGAATGGGGTCCGTTTCTTTCTTACCAGATGGTACTGAACACGATAGCCCACCAACTCCGAATGCTTGAAGATATATCACAGATAGAGAGATAGAGAGAGAGAGAGATAGAGAGACAGAGAGAGACAGAGAGACAGAGAGACAGAGAGACAGAGACAGACAGAGAGACAGACAGAGAGGGTGAGAGACAGAGGGACAGAGAGAGACACAGAGAGACAGAGAAAGACAGATAAAGAGAAAGAGAGAGACAGCGACGGAGAGACAGAGTAAACGAGAGGGAGAGAGCGAGAGAGAGCGAGAGAGAGAGAGAGCGAGAGAGAGAGCGAGAGAGAGAGAGAGAGAGAGAGAGAGAGAGAGAGAGAGAGAGAGAGAGAGAGAGAGAGAGAGAGAGAGAGAGAGAGAGAGAGAGAACGAGAGAGAGCCAGCGACGGAGAGACAGAGTAAACGAGATAAATAGAGCGAGAGCGAGATAGATAGAGATAGATAGATAGATAGATAGATAGATAGATAGATAGATAGATAGATAGACAGAGAGAGAGAGAGAGAGAGAGAGAGAGAGAGAGAGAGAGAGAGAGAGAGAGAGAGACAGAGAGAGAGAGAGAGAGAGAGAGAGAGAGAGAGAGAGAGAGAGAGAGAGGGAGAGAGGGAGAGAGGGAGAGAGAGAGAGAGAGAGAGAGAGAGAGAGAGAGAGAGAGAGAGAGAGAGAGAGAGAGAGAGAGAGAGAGAGAGAGAGAGAGAGAGAGAGAGAGAGAGAGAGAGAGAGAGAGAGAGAGAGGGAGAGAGGGAGAGAGAGAGAGGGAGAGAGATGAAGCGAAAGAAAAGCTGAATTGACGGCAGTTTGCAGAAGTCTTCGATCTCAGCGCCTCGCAGCACATTACGGAACGTTGGCCACATGATCAGTAGGCATTGTGCTTAGAGAACTATGTAGACCGTCAAAGGAAAACATTTCCGACGAGAATATCTCTCTCGCTAAGCGGTATTCATGTCACGAAATGGTCTTACGCTCAAAAACCTCATCTTTGTTAATGATAACAGCAATACAGGCGTAGAAAACAGTAATGGCTAAGCACGGCCACAACAGGCAAAATAAACGTTACTTGAACAACTTCTTAAAAGGTGATTGCACTTTGTTGTGGCCGTGCTTGACCACTACTGTATTCTGCGCCTTCATTGCTGTTTTCCGCTCATGTTTTGCTGTCATTGTCCTACTACTAGTCCTGATTACACCATTGTATTTGTACACGTGTAGGTCTAGCCAAATTTGTGCCACTTCCAGGGCGTCAATGGCGGACTAGTTGAGGGCGCCAAATACTAAGTATGCACTCTAGGTTGGTTTTCACCGAGTGCAACCTTACTAGTAGGCTATTAGCAGCTTTGTTAGTACCCACTTAATTAATATGTGTTTCTCACCCTTTTACTAACACGGTTACATTAATTCCTTCCTTACATGATCGCCACAACCCAGCATGGGCAAAGGCTAGCAAAATAGAAAAACACAGGGCGGCACATAGCGATGGCAGCTGAAGCGGTGGAGGTGGGGCAAGAGCAGCTAAGCCATCAACACTGCTATGCGCACCAAACAGACAATAGAAAATGAACAGGAGTACTAGAGAGCAAATGAGAGGTAAAGTTGGCTTCACGGTCACGGAATGTGTGTTATGAGAAAGAAGGTCGAGAAGCAGGGACGCGCGTACGTTGGCACGTGCAGCAGCAGATAGCCGCTTGCGTGCGCGCTCACACACACACACACACACACACACACACACACAGGCGCGCGCATGTACACACAGTTTCCATCCCTATTCCTTTAGAAAAATGGTACAGTAACACTATGGACTTGTTTCCCACACCGATTGACAACTCTAGACTGCCTCACTGAATTGAAGCGTCATTTGCAAATTCACATTTGTAAAGTACATGTACATGTATCTGTTCGACTGCACTGGCAAACTCCTTTACGAACAATCATTGATTTACATGCTTGTTCTTTCCCTGTGGATCCTTTGTAGAGCATCTATCATCTTCACACTAACTTTCTACACTCTGTTTTCCGATTTGAAACTCGGATGTTGAGCACTTACAATGTACTCTTACTCCATTCAAGAGTTAAAACTCATATCCATAATTACATGTATGTCCCTTTCCTTTCTGCACTCTCTTTTTCCATTAATTATGTTCCTAGCACAGAAATATAGGTGATCCTCGAGCCTCCCCACTCCCCACTCACCCTCCCCACCCCCCCCCCGTTTAAAAAAATCACGATTCGCATGAGGCTCAGCTGGAGGTCGAGTTTTGCGCATATGGATCAAGGCGCAGATGCAGCACTTAAAGCGGTGGGAGTAGATCAGACCCACCACGAAAGTGGTCCCACCCCAGTTAGCCTTTGGGAAATCCTGAATTCTGTCTGCCGTTCGCTCTGCAAGTTTGCAGACTTGGTGTTGTAATCCCTTGTGTTTCTCTTTTTGCAAGATGGTCCTTTGCCCAAAAGTAAAATGTGATGAACCAAATCAATCTAGGAATGCCCTGAAAGTAGTGAACAACCGCGTGAAGGACATTCTCCCAAAATGGTGAACAGCGCGGTAAGAAGGAATTGAACAAGTAGTACAGATAGTACAGCAAGGCGACTCAACTGTGAATATGCAACAGCAGCTTGTTTTCTGGTTCGCGGAGATGGGAGGATGGCGGTTGAGGTTGTGCGGGAGAGCTCAGTGTGTGAGTCAGTATCCTCTTGTTTGTGAAATCAACAAAGCAAGGCACAATGATTGCGTACATGAAACAATTATTTATATTGTTATTATGCTTGTTCGCGTTGACATCACCAAGCAAGCTTGGCTAGTCTTCGCAAAATCCAAATGAACAAAAGAAATGAGGAACGAGCGAGGCCAATGATGTGACACACGCGTGCAACTGCAGAATAGACAAAATGAGTATACATGTACATGTAATAAGACGCAAAAAAACAATAAAAAAGAGTAAATTATCGTGTCCGTTCCCGAAGGGAGCTCACGACGGCCGCTTCCACCCGATAAACCCTAGCGGCAGATGCAGCGCCTAACGGTGGGGGTGAGTGGATAAGTCTCACAACCACTGGCACAAGTGCGGACACAAAAAACAATGCACCTGTCAAAACTCCCGTTGTCTAATCTTATCACTATCAGGTCTTGTGCATGGTCGTCCCTGCCCTGGACTGGTCCTTATGTCATGGCCACACTGCACGTGCCAGGGAGTCATAATAACATATACGACTCCCTGGCACGTACATTGACACGTACATGTCATTGTACGTGAACACTGCACAAGTAGACCTACAATGTACATGTACATGTGCCGTACTATCTCTATTATAAGCACGGTCCTTTATTTTTTCAATGTACCTCCGCCCCGTGCTATTATTGGAGACGTTCCTTTATTGGAGACTGTTCCATTATTATTTCAACCTCATTTCAGAGGCTTGTTGCCATGCCAAATTCATGTCAGACACGCACATTTCAGGGGGTTTTCGCCGGTACAGATAATGAATTTACACAGTGTGCTTATAATGGAGACTGAGCACTTTATTTTTTGAATGCCGCCCCAAGGTGTTCTATTATTGGAGACTGTGCTTATATTAGAGATAATACGGTATGTGATAACAGGTGCAATGCCAATGGGGCTCGACTGAATTTATATTCTATCATTATTTCTATGCAGCAACAAGGAGGACTAAGTTCGCTGTAAGAATTTCCTATTTGTCAACATGCATTAGTATAATGTAAAACGATGCTTGTGGGGCACACATCGAGATAGGCCGAGAATGGGAGGATTTGTTCAGAACTGTCATCTTTCCACCGTCGTCAGTGAATCTACTACTAGTACTAGTATCCGAAAAATATTATTTTTCTCTTTCCTTTGAAAATGCATCGGCCCGTGAGCATAGTGAGCCGGCCACGAACACTGAGAGTACGTCTTGAGGATGTTGATGTGCACGTGGTCGATGCCACTGTGCGAAAGCTAGAGCCTAGGTGATGAGAGCTCTGGAGAACCCGTGCACATGATGCAGCAGGCCTGTGGTTCTGCCAAAGCGAAACACGTAACTGTACACACCAATAATCATGATAATTACTATTAATAGTGTAGTACTACTACTATGATGCTACCAATAACATCAAGAGTAGATAAACAAGAGTGTGCAACTCGCGGATGGGTTGGCCCACGGCGGAATTTTTTGTTGACGTAATCTTTTCGACGACGCACGCGCTGCGAGCCTTTTGGAGAGTTTTCCCTCGTGCACTTGGCTGGGCTTTACACAAGTACATGTCCAAGGTCGGTGCCCAGCACGTGCTCTCACACTGCTCTGCGGCAGAATCCGCGTTTCTCTGAAAAAAGGTGACGTAAACAAAAAATTCCGCCGTGGGCGCGGGGTATCTGCAGATTGTGCAGGAGAGATCCGGAGTTGCACACTCTTGTTTATCTACTCTTGATAACATGTTTAGCCTTGTCACAAGACGACCGGTGTTGACGTTGCCAGGTGTTGGTTGTATGCTGCAGTAGCGACGTGCCCGTTGCAATGAGGTAAGTACATGTCTATGCATGCCCGCTTCATGTATTGCACCTCTGGCTCTCGCCGTCTTGGAGGTATTGTACATGTAGCGGAGATTCAAAAAAGACATTATGTCCTTACTATACTAATGAATGATCCCGAGAAGGCCCTTTGAGGCGCCACTGCGTGTGACCTGCATGCATTTGGTGGGCCTGTCTATCGAGTGCATCTTTGCATGGAGGCAGGGCTAGTCGTCTGTCAGCGTCAGCATCTTTTTGACAGCAATTAATGCACAGCAGATGTAATCAGTCAATGGCTATAATGGTAATTGCTAACTCATACTCCTGGCTGTAAACACCTGCTATCTACTTTACCAGGCACGCTGAAAACATGTTATGAGAACACTACGGTAACCTGTCATACAATCAGACCACAATGGGAATCCAATCGAGCTGCAAAACGTGATTCACGTCCATAGCCATGTGCACAGCAGGTCAGTGGAACGGATCCAGCGAGGCAATCCCACGCCGCGCCAGGCGCTGTGCAGCACCACATCTGTAAAATACATGGATGGGAACTGGCGCAGGGCGCAAACTGACTCAACCCATCGGATTTCAATGTGCAGCACCGTACTTCAAACGTGGCTAGGGTTATCAGGCTATCCCCAATCTAGCGCACACAGACGAGTATAAATACGGCTACATCCATCGGGAAAAGCAGGCATTGCTGAGGTCAAATCGGCGAGAAAGACGTCCAAAGTCTGAATACTCTCCAAGTACATTTTCCAAACAAAGGCTATTGAGAATGATTCACAGCCTCTTCCTGACGTTCTTATGCCTCCTGGCTATGCGTAGCAGTGATGCGCAGGCATATGAAACCTCACAAAGTCAAGGTAACGTACAGCCACCAAATGCTAAAATGACCTTCCGATGAATGTTGTATTTGTAGTTTCAAAAGTTTACGTCCTGTGACTATCCGACAGTCTGTCATATCCGGGAAACCTAGTAAATGTACTTTAATAATATATTTGTGATATGTGAGGTGGAGCAAAAACCTTTCTTACTAGCTTAATCGCACGCCTTGAACACCTATTGTAACCGTGCATGTATTCCTGTGTAGCTTCATACTCTAGCTTATGTCCTTTTGATCTGACGAACCTCAGTCCTCTCCATCATGCCTTTGCCGCCCTTCAGGCGCAGCCGATTGTCTTGAACTGCTCCTCCTGAGATCTGGCGTTCCTTTGGACAAGGCGATTGTGTACCGTCAGAACCTGGCCTCGCTGGGTTTTGACCTTCCGCGGATAGAGTCGGCTGACGAGAAGCTGCTTGCATTCATCTTCGAGAAGAACGCCCAGCATGCCACAGCCGTACAGGGATGTCTGGGTAAGTTGGAAATCTCGACACTGTTATCAAACTGATGTATTCACGCGGGTTAACGTTAGCTTCTTTTTGTTTGCTTGATGTAGCTGCTACGTCTATCGTTATTCTGGAATAGGTGGCAAAGTCGAGCCATTGCGATCGTATTGTAATACTTTCATGTGCTGAATCTCCCTACCGGACTATCCTCGTCCATGTAGTCGTAATAATTATTAGTAATAATTATGTGCGGGACTGTGGGCCCAACACGTCGCCAGAACTGATGATGTTCTAAATTTCATGCGTGTGTGTGTGTATGATTGATTGCGCATGTACATGTACATGTAGGTGGGACCCTTGCAGCGTGCGTGGACTACAGTCCGTGTGGAACTGACGGTCAGTGTTTGGTGAGCAGTGACAGCTCGGGCTATCACTGTGACTGCTCGCCATTCACGACCGGCATGTTCTGTGAAGAAGGTGAGTTTTTTTTAGTTTTTTTTATTTTGTAAGTCGTCGACTATGCTCAGGCTGCCTACCGAGAGTGCTCAACAAGACGAAAGCCGAGGAGCATAGTATTAGATAAAGGTTTTCCCCAACACGGGAGCTCGCGCTATGACACTTGACTGACTGTCGACTGCCATCCAGAGCGCCCGAGAAGTCCATTGAACCTTTCCTGGTATTATTAGTAGATGTTGAAAAGAAGCATTTGTTTTAATGGTCGCAGCTGGGATAACGACTACACCAAGGCTTCGTGATAGAGCATGGCCCCGGGCCAAAGGCGAGAGTCTCTGACGCTGGTCCACACCCTGATGGTGACATTCAATAGTGTTTTCAGACTTTCCACGTTCTCAACTTCCTCGCACTTATTATGTGTGGTCATTTCCCCCTTCTTATTCATAATACATGTAGAAGGGTTTATCGGGTTTTAGCCGGCGTCGTGAGTTCCCTTCAGGAACGGAAAAGATAATTTTTTTACTATAATGCATAATAGTCTGCCACTACAGTCAGCATGGGTTACTACTGATACTACTGATATTTTCTACTCTGCTCGTGTTTGCACAGACACAACGCTGCAGACGCTGAATACGTCGGTGAAGATGGTCACACTCTCTACCGTCGCTAACAGCATGAAACTAGCGGCTCTCGGCGCAAGAGTTGCAGATCTGGAGGTAATTCTGGAGGCTATTATACATGTACATGTATGCGTAACTACCAGAGTGCGTTTGAAGAAAAGTATAGACCTCTGGTTTAAAAAAACATTAGGCCAGCGTTTATACCGCATAAAATCTGTCATCACTTTGTACATAACATTTCCGAAATTGGGCGTTTATTATCCAATCTCTTAGAAATTAATATGAGAACATTTTGCGTGACGGTGTGCCTCCTGAGCGATATTCGGAAGAAATGTCTCAAAAAGCTCCAACCAAATTTGAAGTAGTCGCAAAAGTGTAGAAATCTATAGTTTTGAAACGCACTATAAGGCCCTGCTCAATGAAATCCGACCAAGTGAGTCAGCTTATTGCCCTGAATGTGTGATAATCCCAGCGTGTGTAGGTCTAGGGCTGCACAGTGGCCGGCACATATTCACCTTGCTCTATTGGATTTCATTGTGTTCCACAAGTCTGTAGTGTCACAGGAACGTGAGTGATTAAATCTGAAGAACTATGTTGTGCAGTCAGGGCTGGGATGACGCTGCACACACGGCTAGTGGTAAGAGTATCGCCGACCTCTAGTCCCTAGTTCGAAACCTGGTGATGATAGTCAATTTTTCTTCATATCTTTCCGTCATTTAACCATCCTTTCATGCCCACTCATTATTCATATTCGTAAGTTTTTGAAGTATGCATGATGAGTAGATCATGATGTAATTATGAGAGCTGGTCCCAGATTAAACCAGGTCACAAGTTTATGGAGCTACTAGTTTCAGGCAACTGTCGGGAGATTGACCGCACTGCGATTTCTAAACCAAAACCGTATTGATTGTATTTTTAATTTAGTGGTATGTTTGGCTTAAGGCTGGAGTACGTGCTATGACCCTCCTCCACCCAACCAAAACAAATTGTTACCAATCATACCCACACAGAGTGGCGTGGAGGTACATGTGAAAGACAAGTGCCGAAAATGACAAGACAGTGTATAAAATTGTGCACATGTAGCCAGCAGTGTGTTGTTCCACTAAAGACCTACATTGTACATGTATGGGAGGGGTATGGGGCAATATCCACTACGCAGAGTGTGAACGATAAACCCGATGTTCAGCGTTTCGGCCAATATTTTGATCGCATCCAGGCTAATATTCCAGGATATAGAAAATGACAGAACGTGCATGCTGTAAACATGCATTTTTCACATAAGTGATATGGAGCAGAGAGAATGCCCCAGAGGCTCGAGGCCTCTTGAAGGCACACTTTATATTCTCATTATATGCTTACATTTTCTTGATCCCACTGCAGGAGCACCATGATGAATGTGAGCAAGCCTTGGTTGGCTACGCATTCAACTCCAGATATCATAATTTCATTGACAACAACGACCATGCCCAGTTAGCCAGCATTACGTATGTCAAGAAACGTGCAGACACTCTGCTGAAGGTCTCCTACTCTGCCAATATCCGTGTGATTGGCGGAGGTGTGAACGGGGGTAGGGCTGCAAGGTGGTTTGTGAAGATCGATGGACAGGAGTGTTCTGATCCGACCCTGGTGGATATCTGGTACTATCGCACCGACACGGAGAACATTCACATTCCGTCCGACCTGAAGGGTATTTGCCGCGGTACCTCTGATGGGCGAATCGGTGCTGGATCCCACACTATCACAGTCCATGTGGGTGAGTCGCCCATTGACAATTATCCTCTCGGCCGTACTTCGAATGGATATGGTAGCACGCAGCTCCTTGAGGTACAGGAGATTTGCCCTCCCTTCTAAACGAATTGATATCTTTCCGGAATCGTTTTACATGCTGCGCTGCCATTCCCTTTTCCACTTCATTACAATATTTTATGAATAACTATGCGAAGGTGCATGTGCATGGCGGCAACATCTCCTTCTTGGTCTCACCTTTTGATCTTTTTTTGATCTTTTTTTTACAAAATACACAACTCACCGGCAGGCACATGGGGCTAGCATGGGGTGAGATGGTGCTGGTGGGGCTTGCCATGCTCAACCGACCAGATGTCTCGGCATCTTCACATGGCAAGCGCACCAAATTAGGGAGGGAAGCATAAGCATGAGGTGAAAAAAGCACGGGAGAAAATGGAAGATTTAGAACGAAGGAGAGGATCGAATTATTTTGGAACACAGCAGAAAAGAGCAAAATAATCAAACAGATAATAGGAGTGAAAGGAGAGTGTCAAATGAATCTGCTGTCCTTTGGCTTGCGTTCTATATCCCTTTCTTCGAGTCTTACATCCATCTGTGGCATGCAAGTGCATCTTCTGATTCAATTGTATTGCATGAACACCACGTTTTTTACCTAGTGTGTAGTTCACGCATGCATTAAAGTTACCCTAAACACCCAGCCAAGAGAATACAATAATTATCTATATTGAACCTTTTCGCTCCATTATCAATAAAATACTGTTACAGGGTGCGACAGAGCTCTCGGCCATTGAAGAAAATGTTGAGTCACCTCCACCATTACACTGCGCTCTTTAGCCGACTAGACCCTCCTGCACACAACCATCACCATTGCGAGGACACTTCCGTAGGCAATATTGATAAACTCCTTTAGACATCTGTTTCGGTAAAACATGTACATAGCTCATCAGTGAAGGTAGATGTTGAATGATTAAAAATATAGACCAAACTGCTATTATATAGGGGGTTTCCACATACAAAACTGGCATAGCTGAGGTGATAACGCGGGAAAAGGAAAGTGTGAAGTACTGTTGACGCGCATTGGCGCTCGGACAACTGCAATACTAGTACACAGACTCTCACTAGGTACATCTACTCTGATTCTGGCACGTTATTTCTGCATTGAATAGTGATTGATTTTCCGCGCCGAATTTCCGACGCTGCATGCATGTCCAATGCGCGTCAACAGTACTTCCCACTTTCCTTTTCCCGCGTTATCACCTCAGCTATGCCAGTTTTGTATGTGGAAACCCCCTATATAATAGCAGTTTGGTCTATATTTTTAATCATTCAACATCTACCTTCACTGATGAGCTATGTATTAGCGAAACAGCTGTCTGAAGGAGTTTATCAATATCGTCTACGGCAGTGTCCTCGCAATGGTGATGGTTGTGTGCAGGAGGGTCTAGTCGGCTAAAGAGCGCAGTGTAATGGTGGAGAATGAGGAAATAAAAGCAGGAAACACATTACAGCTCAAGAATTCTTCTTGACATATTCACGATCAATGGTGCCAAACAATTCCAACGCCAACATGTTCTCCTCGTGAACACATAATTCAGCATCCAACTTACGAATGCAAAAGACTCCTAATACAGCAAGATACAACTTAGACCTACCACGTGATCTAGCACGTGACCTACCACGTGTCTAAACAGAAAAAGACAGAATCTGTACACTACTCACGCCAACTGGCACCGAGTGTAAAGTGATTCTTGATTGGCCGAAGTCCGCTTTCCTGACTCTGACGCATCCGTTGCTCTCACCTCCCATGTCGCACTTCCCGGGTCCCCTCAATTATAAGCAATGCCCCCACTCCCCCGAGGGACTATTCTTGCATGTGTTGACTCTGTGTCCAGTTTTCTTGGTTTCCGCGGTCTGCCACGCTTCCTGGTCTTTACTGTATCCCCTCCACCCCAGGCAATTTTCGCGCCGAGGATTGAGGATTTTTCGAACGATTCCATAATCGGCCGAGCTGCTGCAACTCTCTTTCTCTCTCTCTCTCTCCCTCTCTTTCTCCCCCTCTCTCTCTATCTATCTGTCTCTGTCTCTGTCTCTCTGTCTGTCTCTCTTTCTCTGTCTCTCTTTCTCTCTGTCTGTGTGTGTGTCTCTCTCTCTCCCCTTCTCTCTCTCTCGCTCTCTCTCTCTCTCTCTCTCTCTCTCTCTCTCTCTCTCTCTCTCTCTCTCTCTCTCTCTCTCTCTCTCTCTCTCTCTCTCTCTCTCTCACTCTCTCTCTCTCTCTCTCTCTCTCTCTCTCTCTCTTTCTCTCTTTCTCTCTTTCTCTCTCTCTCTCTCTCTCGCTCTCTCTCTCTCTCTCCCTCTCTCTCTTTCTCAAAACATTCTGACCAGTGAGGACAAGGCATTAGTTTGAAGGCGTTTGAAAAAAAGAAAAGGATGAAGATTATAATTGTCTGTCACCGCCAGGAATCGAGTATCTTATTTCGTAAATCTTCCAATGCATAATGTGAGATGTAAAATAAGAAAATATTGAAGGAAAAGAGGAGAACATGAGATAGTAGAGCAAGCAAAAAGTACTCGTGTGCTAGCGTTTTAGCAGAAGAGGAACGTGCATGTAATAGATGGGTGTAAGGTTGGAAAGAAGGAATGCGAAACACTAGACAAATGGCGAGAACAGATTAGGAGGTAAGACAGAGAAAGAGGTGGTGCGGCCGTGCACGTGTACGTGTACTTTCGCATAATCACACACATTATCTAAGAGCGGTAAGCGCAGCCTGAAAACGATTTCCACTATATTTCAGTCGGTTTAGAAGGGAGGGCAAATCTCTTGTACCTCAAGGAGTTGTGTGCTGCCGTATCCATTCGAAGTACGGCCGAGAGGATGATTGTCAATGGGCGACTCACCCACATGGACTGTGATAGTATGGGATCCGGTACCAATTCGCCCATCAGAGGTACCGCGGCAAATACCTTTCAGATCGGCCGGAATGTGAATGTTCTCCGTGTCGGTGCGATAGTACCAGATATCCACAAGGGTCGGATCGGAACACTCCTGTCCATCGATCTTCACAAACCACCTTGCAGCCCTACCCCCGTTCACACCTCCGCCAAGCACACGGATATTAGCAGAGTAAGAGACCTTCAGCAGAGTGTCTGCACGTTTCTTGACATACGTAATGCTGGCCAGCTGGGCATGGTCGTTGTCGTCAATATACTGATGGTGTCTGGAGTTGAACGCGTAACCAACCAAGGACTTGTAACACGCTGCATTGTATGCCTGAAAAAGAGAAAGCAAAGGAAGGGTTTGGAACTTTCCAGATGTGTCCCCGCAGACCATAGTGACCCATAACCCAAGCTGCTATTCTTAGTCGTGCGCCCTGACTCCATGGTTAAATAGCTCATTGCGTCCAAAACACCCCTTTCATATCTAGCAAACATAGAGGTTGACACAGATGTGTCTAGTTATCGTCGGGATGGGTTGAAACTCTGGTGCCCAGAACTAGTAATATCAGTAGAAGTAGAAGTCTAGTATAAAAGCACCGTACAACGAACCATGTTTTTACAAGCCCGAACTGCGAGGTTTGTGTGGTCAGATATAGAGAATGCTCCGAGATGCTGCCTGATGAGTGTGACAGATAGGTCTGAGTAAGAGCCGATAAGAGACTTGGTTTGGTGTTGGTTTTCATGTTACTTTGTGGCTGGTGTCTGAAGCAGCAGCCTCCAGTATTCGGTTGCTGTCTTACCTCTAGCACATCAACTCGCTTGCTAACTGCAGTGACCTTCTTGGTATTCTTGACAGCGTTTCCTCGGACGACGTCAACTGCATTGGTCAACCGTTGCACTGATGTGTCTATAGTGAAAACGAAGAGAGACGACAGCAGTGAGATGGCGAACTCTAAACAGGGTGATCCTTGACGCCAGGTCGGAGCGCTCAGTGAACGTTTAAAACTTGACATTCACGGATCCACGTCACCGCAATCCAGTACGGACGTATGGGGATCGATTGTCACAAAGATGTACCCATTTAGACTGGAAGGATATTGTAATAAGCCCCTAATCAGTAGTTGTCACGTTTGTCCTTGTCTCTGCACCATATTATTTACGAGTTGGGTATGTCAACATAGTAAAAAAATATTTTAAAAAAAATAAATAAAAATTGTTTGGAAAAAGAGCACTACGTGTTGTATGGTAAATTGAGTTCCCATTTGAATTGCTGTTTGACAAGGAAATCGTTCACTGATACGAGAGAGATTGTGGCCAACTCACCCACTTGGCAGAAGTCACCAGTGCGGTATGGAGAGCAGACGCAGTGATACGTGGCCAGTTCCTCACTGAACTCACATTGACCCTCAGAGCCGCATGGGCTGTAGTCGTGGCATGCTGGTAGATCTCCTTCTGCATGGTATTCGCAAACATATTGCAGAACAATACTTTTTCATTGAGCTTCAAGATACAAAGAAAGGGGGCGTAAGGTATTTTTGAACAAAGAAATTTATCTTGGCCAGGATATCGCTGTAATCAAGCAGATTAGTATGCAAAAACCGAACTGAATACTCTTCATCCATCAGAGACATAATTTTGGCTGTTTGAATATTGTAACTGTGCTTAAATCCACGTATACAGCACACGCGGCGGTCAAAACGGGCTTTTCTCAGGAAAGCGCAACGCAAAGCAACAACAGAGCCATATGGAGGCTCAATTAGGTTTGAACGTACCATAATGATGGCTCTTGTGCAATGTAAAAGTACCTGTGAAGATCGTTTTGCGAGTTTTTTTACCACTTTTTATAGCCCGGCGTTTCTTTTAATCCAGTTATATTGTCTAAACTACCTACAGTTTCCCAATCATAATTACAGAGGCTTAGGTTCTGCGAAAGTGAACCACAATAATTACGTCTTTTTTTTACGTGTAATAACATTGGAGCTCTTACGATGAAGAAGGTGGAGGGTTTCGGTTACAAGGCGTGAAAAATGTCCTCAGCATATTCTAGGAGTCTATGTGGAAAGAAATGGAATACCCATCATCAGAACTTGAGGTTCGTGCAAATACAGTACATTTACTTACTCAAACAACTTTGCACAGCCCTGGCATGTGCCAAGTTCTTCTCCAGAATGAACGCCAGCAGTTTCTCGTCGGTGGCCTTGATCTTTGGCAAGTCGAATTGCAGCGAGGCCAAGGTTCCTTTGTAAGTTATGGCTTTGGCCAGAGGAACTCCAGACCTCACCAACAGCTTTTCAAGGCAGTTGCCTGGATAAACAGAGGTTGGACGATAGAAATATTCATGAAATGTACTCAAATACTCTAACGATACATAGAGATGGTATACATTCAATGGAAGGATATCGGACTGCCAATCGTTACATCTATTGGTAGCGACCTGGCTCACAATGATAAGAATCTTCGTTGCTCGAAACGCTCGAGCTCTAGCCGTACTCGCAAGGCTAGAGGTGAGACTTGATTGACTCACACCTGCCATTTACAGTATACAAGACGTTCTGGACACGACAGAACTAATTCGTGGTGGTGACCTTGGAGGCAATGATGAGAAAGTTGGTTGCTCGCAATGTTCGAGCGTGTTAAAGGTTCGGGAATACATCTAGCTGGAATATTGTGAGAAATCGACTTCTTACTAATTTCACCAAGGTACCTAAAGGTATCGCCAAGGCACCTAAACCAACTGCTTACACCTAAGTACTAACACGTTAAGAATCACGAGTTATACTGGAAGGAAGCAATGCCCTGCACACGAAATACGTAATGGAATCCACTGAACATACTGAACCACAATAATCCTGCAATCGATGCTCGTCTTCTCTTACGATATCTGATTGAGAAAAAAAACTAAACAGAACACACTTACCTGCAGGCAGGTTGAGTTGTACGGTTGCTCCTGGCTCGTTTTGTGCATTGCCACCTTGAAATGATAGCATGCAAATCAGAAGTAGCGAGAGGGTGAGGCTGACCCCATCCATGATGATTATGCTCAAACAGTAGTGTTGTAAGCAATCGACTGCAGAATGTCTTCAGATGGTCTTTACTGAACTTCACCACGAGTGGCTGGGAAACTGGAAACTGATAATTACAGATTGCACCACTTCTGCTTTTATAGCAATCCAAGACCATTTTCCTTGATTGATATAAATTTGACGCCAAGCCTCAGGGAATAGACGTTGCTCCATCGGCTGACACCCCAACAACCATCAACCGACACCAACACATTCCCATGGGAATATGGCCTGGTTATGGAGAATGCATGAATCACTCGTGTTGGCGACTAGACTTCTTGAGAAATTTGTGCACGTTTTTGACACCTTTGGGGAATGAGGTCAGTGTTTGAAGGGGACTTCAGAATCCAGGAGCTGTATGCGTGAAGAGGTACCAAATGCATCATGATGTCGGCCAAATTGATTTGCTTGTACTTTCACCGGAGCCGATTGCAAGAAAGTATAGATCAAAATGCGTGGCACAAGCGCTTGCCTGAGGCCTGAATGCTCTGAGCGGCGAGCTCTTTGTTGCATACATGTATAAACAAAATATTTGCGTAGGGGGCAAGTCCCACCTTGTAGGTGTTGAATGCTCTGAGCGGCGAGCTCTTTGCTATGTAACCATTATAAAGAAATATGTGCCTTGGAGGCAATTCCGACATTGTAAGCATTTTGCTCTGTGGACAAAACGACCATCTTGTTTACAAGTGTTGCACTCTCTGACCTTTGACTGCAACATAAGGATTATGAAAAACAGCCCTGGTAACTTTTCAATTCTTCTACTCGTAGACTTAATTAAACATCGGACGGCGAATGAAAGATATTCAACCCATATTTACCTGGCATAGGATATTTGGAAATTTGGCAAAACAAAATAACAAGATACAGGGGAGGCAGGGATGACGTGCTGATGTGCTGGCAGTTGTATTTCTCGCCGGCAAAGCGAAGCGAGATAGGGGAGAAATGAATGATTGATGGCGCAACATACTCGGTTGCAAATAAGATTATGGCATCTGGAGTGTTCTTTATCGTTGTTTCTTTTCCTGGCTTCCTCAGTTAGTTTCGAGTCTCACGCCTGGCTGTGACCGACCACCCTTCACTTTGTCCTGTTGCTATTGCTGCCTTTGTCTATGCGTATTTGGTTGGTTGTTTCTTTATATTTTACCTCGCACATTCAAACCGAATGACGACCCAATAAAGGAGAACAAAAACAGAGAACACGGCAAAGGGGAGGTGGGATGATGTCCAGTGATCTCTAAATACACCGAACTGAGACTGAGTCTAGGGTTGGATAATTACCAGCCGCCACCAGATGCCACCAGTAGTGCCCGAATGGATGCCTTCTGATCCCTGTCTGACCTCAACTTATTTCCAGTGTTAAAGGCAAAGGCCATATGCGCCGTTTTTTAACCTCCCATATGATGGGTAGAGGGTTTGATGAATGACTGGCGCCTACCTTTGGAAACGAGTTCTAATTGAATTCACGACCTTGTCTTGTCACACAACAGTTGTTGTTTACATCGCGCTGCATACATGTCAAGTCTGATCACTATTCATTGTGCGCTTCCCAAGAAATCACCTTTCACCTACGGGCACCTGCAGTGCGCGGTTGAAAGTGCGTGGTTGAAGACACGTGATGGTGAAATACCTAGGCTGGCGGACTGGTGCAGAGCGTGGCAATAACCTCACTTTAGGTGTACGGAAATTCTAGCGGCGTATGCTTTGCGCCATTTCTTCCCCTTCCCGAATTTCCCCCTATTCTGCGAGGAGATTAGCCTCCTCCTTCTCTAGTAGTAGTGATGTCATCCTCTGTTGACTTTGACAAGGCAGCTGATGGGCTGCGCTGCCGTATAGCTTCGTTGTTGGCGGAGAATCGAGGAGCCGCACAACTTGGTCGTAAGTTTCGTTCCTTGCCGACTTTTGTACGTATTCAACATTTCCAGACAGGTCAAACGACTGCCAATGAAAAATGAATGTGAAATGAAGGGTGATAGCCAACCACGGCAACTTCTGCAGTTTGCCTTTGCATGTTTGCGTAAGACATGGGCAGGGGGGGGGGGGGGGGGGGACTGCACTCTGAAGCCTGTCCAGCTCACAATGCTGTCTGTGTCCAGTTGCCATATTCGTTATTTTTAATGTCAGCTATGGCGACATAGCAAAAGGATAATTAATTTGAGAGTAATGTCAACTTTAGATGTCAATGTACTTTCTCCTTGACCTCTTGGGTCTGCTTTGTCACCTTTGAAGTCATGATCGTTTGGTCTCTTGCCAAATGCATGATGTGTGGGCTCTAGAACATTCCTCTGGCTTTACTATTTGTAGTTCATGCTTTTTCCTGCCCTTACTAACCAATGCCCTGATGATAGCCTATGGGCGAAACGTCGGTAGTCCTTTCTTTCGTTGCGTGCTGCTGACAATTGTTCGTGGAAGCCAAGTGTTAAAATGTGGAAGAAAAGCGCGGCAGTGCCGTTGGAGAGTTCTAAGAAAAGGCACTGTCACTGTTGTTTATATCTTCATATCTGTCCTTTCAGACAAACAAGGCGATATACCTGATCATGGTTAATGCGGTGCAGCCTGCGTAGGAACCGTGGACGTGTTTGCAAACTGCATACTTCAGTAGTAGAAAATTACTCACTTGTACACAGAGGCAGAACGCCTTACCTACATGTACATGTACTTGCACAGATTTGAGTATTATGCTCCCTAGCGTCAGCAATGTCGTTAGGTTGAGCACTCTTACCTTAGCGCGAACCCTTGCCGCTCGCCTTGTGCAACGCTCACTGCTAAGTTGGAGCATTTCGAGCACTCTTGGCGGGGTTTGCAGCTCTTTATAAAAATGCCTTGCTTCACGGAAACGTATTTCATTGCGAAGAGCTGCGCTTCGGTCCTCTGAGCTGTGCTACAATGTAAGGAGCTCTAACAGAGCGAAACAGTTGCTGTCCACAGATTTGTGCACTTGTACATGAATATGTACAATCATGTACATGGTACAATCCCATCATGTAGGTCAAACTATCAGAGAGAGAGAGAGTCTCACTCTTGTATTCTGAATCTCTGATACGGGTGCAGGTGTAGGAATACATTCATGAGAGCAGCATTGCTGCATGCATCGGATCGTGCAGGAATTCATCCGAGCTGGCGAAACTCTTTTATAGAATAAACATTGATGTTAAAAGGACGACACAAGTCCCAAGAGTTTGTTAGGCCGGAGATTTGTTGTCGGCGGTTTCTTTGACTAGTCACAGCTAATGCGGCCCAGTGAAGTGAGCGCTAGAAACAATATTCATTTGCATCCAATGGCGGTTTCGACTTTCCGAGGAAAGCATCAATGCAGCCTTGCAACGCCCACTTCGACTTCCAGAACCCGGTAGCAATCCAATCCTCGCACAGGGTCATCATCACTCTTCGTCTGTGACGGAACGATGTATTGGAAACGCATGATGAACTTCGCGCAGTGCATATACCGTACATTGTGAAATACACCTAAACACCAGCACACGTACATGACTGTAATAATTTTTTTTACAGTCGTAGTTTTCACGTACCTTCTCTGTAGATGAGTCTTGCCTAAGGTAAACCGCGAGCAGTAAATGGTTCGATATCAACTTCAGGTGAACGTGACTATTCTCTTCCAGTCTCGTTGTCAATGGCTGGTAGGCTAATTACATGATTGTACTTACCAACAAATACGGGTATGTCTGGTACGAGTCTTCGACTCGAAAACAAGGCAATCAGCGTGATCTACTACATTGGGGCGAAACTGGGAGATGACATGCCATTGAAGTGTCGCATGGCAGATGTCAAAGCATTGCGCGTGCGGTGCAGATTGGGTAATTCACTGTTCGTTCTCAGCGCTGCACTTGAAAGGTGATTTCTTGGGAAGCGCAGAATGAATGGTGATGAGATTTGACAAGCATAATAAGTATTATGCCGCGCTAAGTGACAAACAACCTTTGTTTGATTAAAGAGAAAGTGGTGAATTCAATAAGAACTCGTCTAAAAATAGTCGCCAATTATTCAGCAACCGCTTTACCCGTCCTATGGGAAGTGAAAATGGCGCATTATACATTAATTTTATGGGCTTTTGGTCACTGTCAATGAGCCCAGGTCAGACAGGAATGGCGACTTATCCATTCCTTCGTTGCTGGTGGCGTCTGGTATCTCTCGACCGCTAGGCTCAGTTTCAGTGTTTTTTTTAATTTATTATGTAGTGTGCAAACTTGCAAAGTATTCCCTGATTTATGCCGCTTATATCCCGCATTTGTAGATGAATTCCCGACATTTCGAAATTCCTCTCGATTATGCCGAAAACCACTGTACAAGAAAGAAGTCTTGATAGTGTTCTTGGAGCACTTTGAGTGGCTTGTCTAGTCGTCCTTTTTGATACTGTACAACTATACATGTATATGTAGCTGCAGCATCAGTACTCAATCAGACAGTAGAGTTATAAAATTATGATGTACTACATGGACATGTACATGCAGTACTCCTTCCATGAACAGCCGCTGAAAATCTCTTTTGATTCTTGAAGATGTGCTGGATGTACCGTCACTATCGCGTTGTCCACACTATGCCGATTTTGGGGCCGATATTTAATCTCATGAAAAATACTCAAGGTTGGCACGACAGTCACCTGGTGCGCGCGGTGTTGTCGCACAAGTTTCTTACAATTGTGTGTGTGTGTGTGTGTGTGTGTGTGTGTGTGTGTGTGTGTGTGTGTGTGTGTGTGTGTATGTGTATAGAGGTAGTCCGACACAGCGGGCTGATTTCATGTCGGTGTCGGTGTCGGTGTCGGAGCACTGGCCCAAAATCAGCCTAGTGGGAGGCAGACATAAGGTGAATCACTACCTTCCATTCGCCGTCCGGATGTTAACTCTAGAAGAATTGAAAGGTTATGAGTGATGTTTGCATAATCCTATTCTTGCAGTCAAAGTTCAGAGAGTGCAACACTTGTGTCTGTCAACAAGATGTTCGCTTTGTCCACAGGGCAAAATATCTACAGTGTAAGAATTGCCCCTAACGCAAATATTTTTTTACATGTAACAAAGAGCTCGCCCCATTCAAAGGACCCTTGTCTTCAGCACTCAGGCAAGCGCTTGTGCCACGAGCTTTCATCTATAACTTCTCGCAATCCGTTCCGGTAAAAGTACAAGCTTATCTACTTCGCTGGAATCACGATGTGTTTAGTTCCTCTTCCCGCATACAGCTTCTGGATTCCGAAGCCCCTTTCAAACACAGACCTCATCGCCCAAACATACCGACAACGTGCACAATTTTCTCAAAAAGCTCAGTCACCAACATCGGTGATACATGCATGATCCATATCCAGGCCATAATTTTGCCCATGCGAAAGTATTTACGCCTATTGATGGTTCTTGGTGTGTCAGGAGATGGATCAACGTCTGTTCCCTGAGCCGTGGCGTCATATCACAATCCGGGGAAATGGTCTCGGATTGCTATAAAAGCAGTAGCGGTGCAAGCTGTAATTATCAGTTTCCAGTTTCCCAGCCATTCGTAGTTCAGTTGAGAAAACACCGTCTGAAGACCGCCTGAAGTACATTGCATACGACACTGGTGCATAAGCATTATCATTACCATGGATGGGATCAGCTTCACCCTCTCGCTACTTCTGATTAGCATGCTATCATTTCAAGGTGGCAATGCGCAGAAAGAGCCAGAAGCAAACGTACAATTAAACCTACCTGCCGGTAAGTGCTTGCTGTATAGTTTTAATAGCGTAAGAAGAGACGAGAAAGGCTCCGAAAGGAAAAAAAGGATGCCAATTCAAAGAGTAGAGTCGAGGATAGATGGGGCCGGTGGTCCAGTATGTTCAGTCGATTATTTTAAGCATTTTGCTTGCAGGGCTGTACTTCTCACTTCCACTGTAGCTCAGAATTCCTCCCACGTTAGCAGTGCATCGTGCGTGTGGCGTTAACTATCAAAAAGGTGGTTGCTCGCGACATTCTAGATTCACATTTTCATTGGTTTGAGGGAAAGGTGCAAGAGGGAAATTTTCCCGAACCTTTGCTCAGGATTCTTCACCCATCATCAGTAGCTATCTAGGCAATAGCTGTAAAAAAAACTTGGTTGTTCACAGAATTTCTGCTAGATATTTTCACGCACGAACGCTGCAAGCAACCAACTTTCTTATCATTATCGCCAAGATAACTACCACGAATTCCTGCTGTCGTGTCCAGAACTCACTATGTTTTCGGGACGACAAGAGCTAGTCACTAAATTCTCACCTCTAGTCGGCGGGCAAAGGTAGACCTGGAACATTTCGCGCAACGAAAATTCTTATCATTGTCATCCGGGGTCGCAACTATAGTAGATTGAACGATTGGTCGGCCTATATCATTCTCATTAAGAGTGATTGAATTCTCTCTTTTCTGCAGGATTTGAGTATTTTAATTTGAAATAGTAGAATTTCATTACTATTTCTATCTTCCAACCTGTCTTTATCCAGGCAACTGCCTTCAAAAGCTTTTGGTGAGATCTGGAGTTCCTCTGGCCAAAGCCATAACTTACAAAGGAACCTTGGCCTCGCTGCACTTCGACTTGCCAAAGATCAAGGCCGCCGACGAGAAACTGCTGGCGTTCATTCTGGAGAAGAACTTGGCACATGCCAGGGCTGTGCAAAGCTGTTTGAGTAAGTAAATTTACTGTATTTACACGAACCTCAAGTTCTGATGATGGGCATTCCATTTCTTTCCACATAGACCACTTTATTATGCCGAGTACATTATACGACGAAGGTCTCTCGACTTGGTACAGGAATCCTCCACCTTTTGGTTCGCGAGGGTTCCGATATACTAGTATAATATTATTGTAAAGTAGTTATGGTTGAGAATCAGAGGGTCGTCGTTTAGATAGTACAGCTGGAATAAAGTACATGGTCCACTGTAAACGTTGAGTGGTCTAAAGGTACATGCACCCGCACACGTGTACATTGCCCGGTGGCATTACGGTAGGCGTTTAAGTTACAAAGTGGTGCGTAAGTTTGAGCATTAAAGCGTACTCTATAAGGTGATATGAACACAGTTACGATATTCAAACCGCCATAAGTCTGTGATGGAGGACGATTTTTCAGTGAGGTGTTTGCACACTGATCGGCTTGATTACAGCGATGTCGTGGTACCAAAACATTCTATTTCTCATTTATGGATCTGGAAGCGCAATAAAATGATTTCATTCTTCTGCATTATTTTGCTACTGTTACATATATGTAGAAGGAGATCTACCAGCATGCCACGACTACAGCCCATGCGGCTCTGAGGGTCAATGTGAGTTCAGTGAGGAACGTGCCACGTATCAGTGTGTGTGCTCTCCATACCGAACTGGTGACTTCTGCCAAGTGGGTGAGTTGGCCATAATCTCTCTCGTACCAGTGAACGATTTCCTTGGAAATAAATTTATATTGATCAATTCAAAGTCTGGTGTTCTACACCATACGATATCTCGTTCACCTATCCAAGAAATGACAAAATTCTTTCAATCCACGTAGGCACCTTCTTCAGATCATCCATCCACTTTAGGTATGTAATAGATTGAGTTGACGTGAATTCGGGCATGCAACGTGTTACAATATCGATGAGCACTCTGACCTGGCTTCAATTATCATCCTGTGTAGAGTAGACTATCTTACTGCTGTCGTCTCTCTCCGTTTTCACCATAGACACATCAGTGGAAAGGTTGACCAATGCAGTTGACGTCGTCCGAGGAAATGCTGTCAAGAATGCCAAGAAAGTCACTGCCGTTAGCAAGCGAGTTGATGTGCTTGAGGTAAGACAGGTGCCGAATATGGTAGACTACCACTTCATAGAACAACTACAATGGAGCATGAAAACCAGGCAAACACTGGGCTCTAACTCAGACTTATGTGTCAAATTCATCAGGAAACATATCCGGGCATTTCTCAATTATGATCACACAAGCGTCACAGTGAGGGCTGATAAAGGAAGTGGTTAGTTGTACTGGTGCTCTATCCTACACTTCTATTCCAGCAATGATATTATTAGTTCTGGATCCCAGACATTGAGCATTCAGGCCATGCCGATGGTACCTATATACATCTTCATTAACCTACTTCGATATCTAGCTTACATACTTCTGTAGCATGTGAGTTAGATATCTCCAGGGATATGTTGGAACCAATGAGCTATTTGGACCTGGAAGTCAAGGCGCATGACTAACAAAACACTGTGCCTGGTACATGTGGACACATAATAATAATATTATGTTGTGATGTATTTTGTGATGCGAAAATTCCAAACCCTTCCTTTGCTTTCTCTCTTTCAGGCATACAATGCAGCGTGCAACAAGGCCTTGGTTGGTTACGCGTTCAACTCCAGACACCATCAGTTTATTGGCAACAACGACCATGCCCAGCTAGCCAGCATTACCTATGTCAAGAAACGTGCAGACACTCTGCTGAAGGTCTCCTACTCTGCCAACATCCGTGTGCTTGGCGGGGGAAGTGGAAGAGCTGCAAGGTGGTTTGTGAAGATCGATGGACAGGAGTGTTCTGATCCAACCCTGGTGGATATTTGGTACTTTCGTACAGACACGGAGAACATTCACATTCCGGCCAATCTGAAGGGTATTTGCCGTGGTACCTCTGATGGTCAAATTGGTACCGGATCCCACACTATTACAGTTCATGTGGGTGAGTCGCCTATTGACAATTATCCTCTCGGTCATACTTCGAGTGGATACGGTAGCACACAACTCCTTGAGGTACAGGAGATTTGCCCTCCCTTCTAAACGGACAGAAATGTTTTGGCAATCGTTTTACAGGCTATACTGAAAATTCTTTCCCCAGAATTATAGATGATGTGTTTGATTATGCGAAAGTACATGTACATGTGCATGGCTGCACCCTCCCCCCTCCCCCCCCCCCCCACCCCCTCTTGCTCTGCCTTGCCTCCTAATCTGTTCTCGCACTTTTTCTTCTGTTTCACATCCCTTTTCCCAACCTTACACCCATCTAATTCAAGTATTCCACGCACGTTCCTCTTCTGCTAAAACGTTTGCGCACGAGTCCCTTTGCCTGCACCTACAGTCCATTCAGAAAAAGATGATATCCTAGCTTTTGGCAATAAATGGATCAAATTTTGTGTTTTGTCACAATATTTTGGCAATACCCCATGGAATGCTCTTCCAATTGTGTTTTTGAATTCTATTTCTCCAAAGAGCTAGCAAGCCATAACAAGAATAGGATTTCGGCCAGGTTTTGCCCCCAAAGCAATTTGGGGAAAAGCCATGGAAATCCAACCCGCGCACTCCACTTGCAGAACAGTACATTTGCGGTTCAAACCCCAGTTGAGGTATTTTTTTGGACCCTTTTTCAAGTTTCGAATCTCGCGGCACTGGCAAAATCACCAAAACACGGGAGCTCTCCAGAGCCAGCGCTCATCTTTTTCTGAATGAACTGTAGTGTACGGAATATAACGTACATGTACACTAGTAGTCAAACGGGAAATTTTTAAAGTGAAGTTCAACTTTGGCTAGACCCAGACAGGTGGAACCTTACAAAAAGACTGCTTTCGACGGCAAGCTATTGGCAAGAAAGAAAAAATAGTTTATTTCTACAGTCTACAAGGGTGGGTCCTACACGTTTGAGCATTGTCTGGGCAGTGGCAGGGAAAAGCTGGGATGCATGGTCCATGGACAAACGTAGACTAGTCGTTTTCTCAATTGTTGCTGGGGTGACCAGCTGCTCGTTGAAGTTTGGTTCGTTATACATGTACCTCTAGAAAGAAGGCGCATTGTCCTGCAAAATCAACACCACCGCAAAACAACTGCAAGAAAACAGAAAGGCGATGCCAACAAGGACAAGGATAACCACGAGACCCGACCGCTGTCTGGGTTCCGCTTTTGTAGAAATCTCTCCATTATTTTAAATGCCTCCTACATGTATCAACGTTCCGCGGTCTTCTCTCACGAATTCCGTTCCGGCTAGATATCTCATCCCATCCTTGCTGCTAAACTAACTGCACCAGTCCCAGTCACTTGCTCGCCTAGCTAAGTTAGCCGACAACAGTTACTGACCATGACACCACCAACATCGTCTACAGAGAGCACCTTCTCACGACAGTGTCATGGTGGTGACAGTAACAGTTGTCCCCTGACGAGCTGAAAGAAGGGCGCCACGGGCAGAAATTGAAAAAATAATAATTGCAAAAAAGAGAAGCAAGCAGAACACTTTCAGAAGATGACGTCCGGGCGTGAACAGCGTACATGACTGTACATGTACGGCTTCAATCATGTTGTGTTCTTTCCAGGGATATTTAGCTGACTTGTTATGCCCAAAATGGGGCGTGCAGTCACTGGTATACGAGACCTCTGGTCGGCGGAGCTTAATGGGCCCCACCACCACACTCCATCATTCACCCCAGTGTCTGGAGATATGTGGATTTTGTAGAAGAAAAAAAAAGAAAAAAAATGTAAATAATGAAAAAAAAAAATGTAGTTTAATATACTTATAGTATGCAGTCCGTGCGCCAAGGGGTACTCAAGGGCTCATTTTATTTGCAACCGCGGGAAACGAAGTCACCAAGACGCCTTCATTTGAGGCTTTTGGAATTGGAGAATTTATTGAATTTAGGTATGACTCTCGTCCCTTCTAGAGAACTAACCAAGACCCTGTGGGGGCAGAAAGAGACTTCTTTGGCTCCGTGAATACACTAGCTATGCGGTGGTCTAGTTAGTTTGAGTGTGTGGTTCGTATTCAAAGTGTTCCAAGCCGCAGTTCACTCGAAGGTCATCGTGGATACGTCTGCACTTGAAAATCAAGGCTGGAAAGGACTGCCTGGTGTGTCCGAACGGTATGTTTTGCACTGAAGGCATTTTTTGTATGAATTGTTGAAAGTGTCTACTTGTTCGAAATGCAAAAGACATGGTCGTAGATCCTTGGCCCACAACACCCCACTAAATAAACTATGACCTGTCGTGAAATTATGTGAAATTGATCAACACAATCATCCACAAATTATCCTATGCCAAAGTACTGCAAATGCAAATAATGACATCCCTTTACCTAGGTCATGTTTGTAGGGCCTTATGCCACATCTTTGCATGATTTCTTCATGCAAATCTTGTGCCTAGCTTCGAAAACACATTGCGCTAAGGGCCGAATATATACCTGTGAATCAGAACAACAGCACTCACTATTGCTTTCATGAGTGGTAATGGTCAGCTGAAAGGAAACTTCTATCCATCAACTCATAAGTAAAGTAATGACTAATCTCCTTGCTGCGCATGTGGTTCCTTCATATTTACATGTACCGTAAAGTACCGCCAGAGCGCCCCACCATCTCGTCCTTTCGGGGTCGTATTGTGGAGGTGGTCTCCTGTCTGTAGGTTATACGACACGAACTTTGTACACATATTGCACGTTCTGCAGACAATCCGTACCTTGGAGCGGACACGAGCTTCACACAAAAACCTGCTTAGTGTGACCTTAGTACACTAAGTTGCTCACGCCGTACGAACTTCGTTGCACTCTGCCATACGATTTTTCTTTCCCTAGCTGTAAAATCTGTCGCGGCAAAATCAAGGTGGGGCGCTCTCGCAGTACTTTACGGTATGTGCGCCTCTCTGTGTTCGGTGAATGATTTTGAATATTTGCGCACGACTTCAGGATAGTGCACATTGTGTGGATGTACCTGCGTATGTAATCCTTTCATGATTTAAAAATTAGGAGCCGTGCTTCTCATCACCGTGGACAAGTAAATGTCGGCCAATTACGTAGCGTTTGGAGACTTGCACAAGTACAGTTGCATGTCAATTATGCGGCAACCGCGAAATAAGATGAATATTCTGGACGACTGAAGCTACAAAGCCATCTTGTGTTAACAGATCAAAAAGACAGTACTTCGAAGTACCTGTATTTATCACTAGTATTACCCTGAGACAGTCGTGCTCATCTCTAGAGACTGGCTAGTATTTAACTCTACGTAATGGCAACTTTCATGATGCTGACTGTCTACATTTACTTGAAGTAGGACTATAAATACGAAATATAAGGTCTATCAGCTGTCAGTGCGGTGCTGTTGGATACCCGACATGCCATGTGACTGACCGCCAGATACTAGTAAACGACATGCGATTGTACCGGTCACAGTGTAGCTGGGTTTTCACGAAAAAATGAAACTTATACGATTGTGAGAAAAGGTCAGAAACCACACTTACACATACACACATGCACACACACACACATGCACACACACACACACACACACACACACATGCGCTCGCGCACACACACACACACACCCACACACCTGTCCTGTTCTGTTCTGTTGAGCCACTACCACAACTTGGCACAAGGATCGCATCGGCCCCAAAGGGGCAGTAGAGCGAAAGTGAGAGGTGTTGGCTTCGAGTTCACCTATCTCTACGGTGAACGCAACCTCGATCGAAAGTCATGCCAAACGGATTTATCTACCACGCGCGCGCGTGCGCGTATACAAAACGGAGGAAGGATTACTTACTCTCCCTGTATGATGTATCTGTTGTATTCGTGAACAATGTCATTGATGTTTTTCCATGCATGTTTTTGAATATGCGAGCATAACTTCCAACATCAAGCACATTCTTGCTTCTCATCAGCATGTACAAGTTTATGTTGGGCAGTTATGTAGCGTTTGTTTTACCGGCTGCGTTTGTTGGTTCTTGCAGGTCATTGGCATGCTGTCTGTTTCACAGAAGCTCGTGTAACAGGTTCACCGTACAGCTATGAATGCAATGTAGCATGTCGAAGCCACTTCTGTATGACGTGATACCTAATTTCCTGGTTGTACCAAAATTGCGAGTATGCAAGTGATCGTCAAGCCTGTCCCCTGTACAGTAGCCGTCTTGCCTTGCTACGCCTGGTTCTGACTCTGCGTTCTCGTATACTCCATGCAATGTTACAAGGAATACTGCTCCCTTCTCAATCAATTCATTGGCAACAAAACGCTCGGCTATGCCCTGTAACTTTGCTGTGTGGTTTGTGCTTTGTCAATGTTGTGTACCAGTTCATGATCTGTGCTTGCTGGTCTGTTTGTTTTCTCTCGCACAATTGAGGCGCTGTAGCACAGTCTAGATCATCCTGCCCAGGCTCTGATTTCACGTACCACAGTACGGTTTTTCTTGTTGCTCACTGTAATGTGCATGATACAAGCTCCTTGGTACTCCATCATCACCTGGTGCTGTTGCTGCCATTGTTGGACCCTGCTGATATCATTCTCGCAATGCCCGAACGTTGTTCCAACAAATGCACAACTCGCTCTTAGTTGTCACATTCGGTTTGGTCTCGTTCCAGTCTTTCGAATTGAGTGAGTGCGTAAACTTGTATGAAGTGGTGAAGAAAAAGCCGTGCGCCGGCAAACATTCAATGTCCGGGTGTAATGACGCACCAAGGCCCCGGGACTTGCGTCCAACTCCTGAGTGATTTTTGTGTGCCTAGCCTCTAGGTATCATACCATATTTGTTTGGTTCAACCGTTTTGGATGCCCACTGCAATACCATTCACTGTATTATGTGTGTATGCTATCCAAGAAATCTCCCATATTTTTGGGTGGACAAACCTTGCCATAAGTCAGTAACCTGGCATTTTGCACCAACAGAACTCCTAGGATATCAGCCCCGTCTCAGTACCTGGGGACAGTTGTAAAGAAAAAGAAAAAATACTCTTGGCCCACAATGCCCCACTAAATAATCCGAAGGGTGTCGCGAAGACGACAATTTTCTTACCTTTCTTTCGTGGACGAAAAAAGACACTTCGCTTCGTCCGTTGCGCATGAAACGAAACATGAGGGTAGTGTTTATCAATTAGAATAGGTATCATGCACGAAGGAATGGCGAAAAGGTACTATGCTCGAGCGCTGGTCGTCGTCTTGTTTGTCAATTTTGAGTCCCATTGAGAATTTTCTCATTCAGACCCCTCAAATTTCCCGCGGTTGCAAATAAAAGTGCAACTTCTAGACGACTTTTTTGAATTTGGCGCACGGACTGTATGGTGATGGCACTTGACTTGTGCCGGCATACATGTACATGTACAGTACATGTGCATGTACAATGTAATAGACCGATCCCCTTATTATTGTCTGGGTTCGAGCAAGGGGGCAACTCCGCAGTCGCGTGGGATCCTGCTGCACACACGCGACTAACCCCTCACCTCGGCAGTGTGTGCGACTTCTCGCATGCGAAGTGCAGAGCACGCGAAATCTACATGCAGTGCAAGCCTGTCTACAAAAAATGCCACAAGGACTTTTGATTTGAGCTGTTTTGTTTTTGTTTAGACGTCTTCCTTTTTACGACTTCAGGTCTGAGGATGCCTTCTCAGGATCATTGCTGCGTTCCTCACTGTCAGAACAGGAGGACGAAGCAAACAAGTCATTTCACTCCTTTCCTCGTGTGGAGCCACAGCGGCCTGGAGCAAGCGGATCCAGGCTATTCCCCGTGAGGAAGGACGTAGTTTTAGGGTCACTCTGAATATTTGAGTTGCAGCGATCATTTCGATCCCGAAATCGAAATCGTTTTGCCCAGCTCTACAAGGGCATGAGGAGTCCAGGAAACCAGACAGCTGTCCTACGGTACCAGGTTTGCTTTTCGCAAGAGAGTGGAGTCTCGACGCCATGCTCCCCATGCTCGCAAAACAGTATTTGCTGAGCCTAGTGCAGTTCGGTCATGGAAGTGCAGCGTCTGCATCACGAGCTCCCCATGCTCGCAAACCAGTATTTTGCTGAGAGGCAACGGCACTTTGAGTTAGAAAGGAACCTGGCTTAGTGCAGTTTGGTCCTGTAATGGAAGTGCAGCATCTGCCTCAGGAGCTGGCAGCAAGTAGAGCTCGTGTACAGAGTCTTGTGGAGCAGTTGGACGATGTGAGGACTGGGGTGAAGAAAGCCGAAAAACAGCTTACGTACAATAACATAAAGAAAGACTTGGAGCCGCTCCAGTTTCTGACTGGTTTGCCTTCAGGTGTTTGGACCGCTCTGTTGGACTTCTTTGAGCCTAGCCGAGAAAATGTACTGCACCGTGCCAGATCTGCGAAGACGGAAGCTGAGGGACGACGGATACAGTTGGAGGTGGCCGTAAATCGCCAATGAGGATGTAATGGCGGATCAGCTGCTATTGGTATTGATGTGTCTAAGCCTGGGCCGAATGGAACAGAAGCTGGCATGCGTGGCACAAGTTAATCATCCGTTTCACTGTATATAGCTAGCTGAGCTGGAAAGATGTCTTGTTCCTCCGTGTGGGCATGATCCCCATTTGGGCGAGCTGGCGAGATGTTGTTATCAATGCCATGTACCGCAAGACATTCTGCGTTGTGGATGAAACAGTTCTATTTTGCCATGCACTTAGGGTTCTCGCACCGGCACGGCAAAACAAGACCCAACAGATCCTTGCGCTCTTATTTTCTCCCATGGTAACATTGCTGATCACAACACCCAGTAGCCAGTTGATTACGGAAACCAAAGGTATACCAATATTTGCATCGAATGCAGTGATGATTTCAATACTGTCCACTAGTACAACGCATTACCAGACTGGCTTATAATCATAATAATTATTATCCATTTCGCAATCACTGTCATTGCTTTCTTAGATCTCCAATCATCAATATCGGACCATAAACCGTCTATCATCATTAGTATCCTGCTACTATCCTCCACTAACGATGAGCTCGAAGAAACGAAACAGCTGTCTAGAGGCGTAAACAATATCTGTCAACGGATGTGGGTGTGTTTATGCTTCGTGCATTAGTTCGGCCAAGAGCGCATGGTGGTGGCGGGTTGAGGATGTAGTACAGCGGAGTATGACCGAAAGCTCTGTCACAATGTATTTTATTAGGAAGGTATAAACGGAAAAAACTGTATCTTCATCTTGGGCGTAAACAGCCCGTCTCACATTAAATATACTAGAAAATAGTTCACTCTGAACATGCAGTCTTCCTAGGAGAGAGAGAGGGGGGGGGGGGGTATATTCATAGGTTCGAAAGAACCGCACACACACTTTGCTGCAGACAGCGGCAAGCTTTGGCCCTCGTGCTTTGAAGAGGGAGCAATCCACTGCGCTACGCTTGCGATTAACAGCAAGCTTCGACTTTTCAAAAGTACGACTCATCACTGGCTCTGGGGTAGTGTTCCTGGGCGAGAAGTGTTCCAGCACAAGAAGCAGCACGAATACATGCTGACAAAGACCACCATCATCACCAGCTGGCACACAGCACACTGTTCTTCAAACACCATCCACTCCGTCCATGTGTTTGCACTGTCCTCCTCTAGCTCTTCACGCTCAACAAATACCACGCACTGCTCATCGGTTTTATTTTAATGCTTCCTCTGGGTTGGCTAGCCCTTCGACTTGACAAAACAGCGATCACCACTGCACTGCTATCGTCACCTCATAGCAGTCGCTTCCATCAGTGGCTTTTCCTGTCTTTGCAAGGTGTCCAAGGATGGCTGCTGTTGTCACTACAGGCAAATCTTTAGTGGCTGATGTCCAACCAGATCGTTGGAAAGTCGATTTTTCCACTTCAGGGCTGCTGATCGCGATCGCGACTTGGTGACTTGGCAGCACCACGGTTACCTTCATAGAAGATGGCTCTGGAAAGGAAAAGACAGACCAGAAAAAGGTTACTATTATCTTCAGCACCGATCTCAAGGAGAAAGAAATACGGTCTGCTGTAGCCTAGGCACAAAATAAATCTCACAACACGATTCGCGATTCGAATATTTCAACAACAAAAAACTCACCTCTGGAGTAACTCCTGTTTGTGGCCCGAGATCGTTCCCTCCCGCGCCTTGAAAAAATCCTGCAGCTGCATCACAGTCCATGTCTCTCTCGGAGACTCTGCTCCTACCAGCAGGAGGTTCAGCACCGCTCGAAGCCATCGCAAACTACTTGAACTAAGCAGAAGACATTCCAAACCAAACCTGAAACACACTGTCAAAGATGCTGTCACGTTCAAAAACTAGCTCGATCGCGAGTGCAGTTGCCCCCGTGCTCGAACCCAGTATAATAAGGGGATCGGTCTATTACATTATCAAACGGCTGCACCTTTCAAGAACTGTGACTGTGAGTGTGATGTGAAAGCTAGGGTGTACATGTACCTGTGTAAAAGCACATGATAATTATTATGTCATTGTACGTCACTATGTGCAACTATAGTCATCCGACGTCTGCCATGCATTCCATGCAGCCAGTAGCATGAGTGCTGCACATGCATGACGCCACTTCGCCAGAGATAAGGCAGCTGTAGCTACATTGTAAATGGTACATTTGCAGAATCAACGAGATACGTTACACATCACTACACTAGGCAGCACTGATTTCTGCTCCAATTTTGTGTTGCATTGTTAAAATCCATTGTGTTTGTTTTTGCCGGTAAAAGAGACTTAGCTACTTGTCTACATGTATTTGATGTAGATTTACATGTACAGTGTACAATGTACAATGTCATTATGTACACAATATTTGTATACCTCAGTTCCCTATCCTCCAGTGATGAGCGGAACAGTAAAAACGCGATTATATGCCTGGAAATACAATACTCATTAGTTTTTTTTATTGACAATACTCAATATTATTACAGGGTGCGACAGAGCTCTCGGCCATTGAAGAAAATGTTTAGTCACCTCCACCATTACACTGCGCTCTTTAGCCGACTAGACCCTCCTGCACACAACCATCACTCAATAGTACTTTTAATTAAACTTACTTACACAGCACTAGGCCAGGCTGTGAATGGCATGCCAAGCTGCATTGCACTCAAAAGTAGAAAAGAAATCGTTCATTATTATCATGTACGGTCACCAGCTAGCACGCATACCGTACTACTACTAGACTGCGCTTGATCTATTCTAGGGTTCAGACACGTGACGCGTGGGCAGGAGGCATTCTTTTCCCTTTCGCCGGGCCATGGCATCTGCTTCCTCCATCATCATCAACTAATTACTTGATCAAGTAAAATACATGTATGATTGTACATGTACATGGTGTCCTTTTTCCCTCTAGTTTTCTTTTGCTCAAGGAGAAGGTGGAGAGCCCGAACGTGCGCATTGTTCTTTTACCCTAACCCTAACGCAAAAACCACTATTAGAAATGGAGCAGAAGTGCCTGCCAATTTCACTGCTTTTCGTTAAAATTATATCCGCACAAAGTCACATTTAGGGTTCCCAGTAAAAGGCAACATTGCCTGTTGGTAAATCCCTAAACAAGATGAGAAAATAATGATAATCCGCGAAGGGCTACGCTGCGGCCGCGCCCGCTACCCTTGGATGCACGAGCAGCTCACCATGGGCCAACGCCCCCGCGATCCGAATGCGCGGTAGCGCTATAGCAGCGTAGATTTTTCATTCAGTCGGACAGCTGTCGGGACCCGGTCGTAGATCTACCCCAGCCCAGGGCCATGCAATCGCCATGGCATGGCATGGCATGGGGTTGTCACGGGCTTGCACAGCAGTTTTGGCTTTCAGTTGATTTTTGAGTACAACAAGCATGTATGGCCTTGTGCCCAACATGGCATGTGGTCAAGCTGGGCGAGTCAAGTGCGACCACTGCACAGGCTACGCGGGCTACGCAAAGGCAGAGGCGCTACACAGCCGCACACTACACTTTAGTCTCTACAGATTCTTCATGACTGTAGACCATGGGCATGGGCATGGCAGACTACGAAGCATTGATGTTTTCACGATGTACAGCACGCTAGTGTAGCGACCAAAAAATTTGAAAATAGAAAACAACATCAAAGCAACGGCTGGTCGCTCTGCTTCTCTGTAGCGTCTGCCTCTGACTCTGCTCTTTTCAGGGCTTGGTGCGTGCAGTAACCACGTTCCCTGAAGAATTGCTGGGCATCGTTTGTCCACGACTAGGTAGGCATTCTTGCCTTCTCTCTTTGGGATTTTATCTCGCGTCCTTCCAAACGCTGAGTCAGTATGTCGTCCACACCGGGTGGAATGACGCTCCAGTCTCCGCTCTCCTCACCTGGCAAGCTCACTCGCCAGCAGGAGAAGGAGCAGCTGTCCGAGCTCAATGGTCGCTTGGCGGTCTTCATGGATCGCGTGAAAACCCTGCGCCAGTCCAACGACCTGTTGCGCAAGGAGCTGGACGATGCCAAGGCGGCAGCGGCGCGAGAGCTCGCAGACGCACGGCGCATGTACGAGCAAGAAGTAGCCGACCTGAGGAAAGTGCTGGACGACACAGCGCGGGAGAAGGCAAAAAACCAGATTACTGCATCTAAGAATGAGGCACTTGCCAACGACCTAAAAGCAAAGTAAGATAAAAGTAGTCTTTACGAGTAAATTTTCAATGGAACATTTTTCGTGTGCGGAGGGAAAGCGTAGTCTACTGTTTCCGTATACTGTTGATTGTGCATTCGAAATGTGAATTATACCGGCGTTTCGGCTCAGGTGAAATAATGAAAATAATTGAAACAGCGGCGGGATGTTCACTGGCCGGTTGCGAATCTTTTGTGGGTGATCCTCGAACCGGTAACTGCGAGGCATTGGTCCGTAGACCTACGCCGTAGACCTACGAGTCAGTTGGGTGTGTGGCAGCATCCTGGCCATCTTATGCGAATCAAGTAATGCTGTACGGAGACCTCTGCGCAGTGTAAAATCGCTGTTATCATAAGTACTATCCTGCGTCGTAGGAAGAAGAAATACACGCGGCTCCGTTCAATGCACCCACGCCCATGGAGATGACAAAATCAAGTGCACTGTACTCTACACGTGACAAAGAAAGGTGTCTCTTTCAGACTCAATCAGAGACTGCCTGGGCTAGTGCATTTCCACTCCTGCAAATCCCACAGCATGGTCACTGCCATGTACATGTACATGTATTGTACTACAACTTCTCCTTCTCTTCTGATCTACAAAGTGACTAATCTATTTTGAGAGATTCTTACCAATGTCACATGCCAATGAATAAAATTACGTGTACTACCAGATCACAAACCAACGATAGTGTGACTAGAAAACGTTCTACAGCACAGTGTTTGTTGCCATGGTGGTGATATGAATTCGCATACAGTCAACTTCGCTGATAACGACTGCGGATACAACGGCAATTCGCGAATAACGACAGAATTTCCATGCCCAGAGCAAAGTCCCTTCCAACTGTAACACCTAAAGTGGCACTTCGCAAATAAGGACACTTCGCAAATAAGGACACTTTTCTGATGCACCGCCGAGTGTCGTTACACGTGAAGTTGACTGTATTACTCTATTCATTTATGTTCAAACGAAGGTCTCTGATGCGAGTCCTGGTTGTGACGATCAACGTTTTCTTCAGACGTTTCCCGGTTACATCTTTCTCTCAAACCACTGACGTTCTATTTCATCAATTATACTATCACCCATGAGATAGCCTGCACGCTTGCATTCGATTGGGAATATCTGGCAAACCATGGGTCGCAGCCCCCCCCCCCCCCCCCTCCCGGACAGAGACCATTCAACTCAGCATCCAAACTCTACGGAACTTGAAATGCACCCCATTCATGTTATCCTGTACAACAGCTTCAATACCATTTGACTGGGTGCCAGGAAGCAGAAAATGTTTCTGCAGACTGCTAAACAATCGATCAGCGCCTGTTTCGTTGGGTAAAAAATTCAGATGGTTGAAAACCGAAACCCCTCTTCGTGGCACCTTTGCTAGGATTATGATGGCTTTGTATAGTCACTGCTGTACGTTTTCATTGGACACGATGTATCATGCAGAGCAGAGCCTAACGCAGTGTACCAGGAAATACTTCACCTTGTCTGAGGCCTTTGATTGGCTGTGTCCATGGATACAGTCTGATGACCTGCATTGATGGAAAGATGACCTGCACCATTTTAGTAGAGGCAATAACAAAATTGACCAAGCATAATTATCCCAATTGATTTGGACTTTAATAATAAAAGGTATATCATAGCCTAATCCAGTTCTGCTCCGTATGCAATCAACCTCTCCTGCAGGACTTCTTCATATTCATTGTGTACATGAAGAGGTGGAATACGAAACCTGCTAAAACCATTTTATTTCTTTTCGGATAATGGTCAAAACAGGATTCATTTCTTGGCTGTTTTTATCTAAATGAAGATAGGGGCACCGTTTATCGGCTTTTGCGTCTCAGCTCTTCACATGTACTCTACACCCTCCAGAAATGTAGAGCTAGTTTTTAGGGAAGATGTGAGTACTGAGCCGTATACAGCTGTCGTCCGCATAGCCAGTTCTTGCTTGGTCGTGTTCGCAAGACTGAAGCTTGGAAATAAGTAGCAGACTTGTGAATCTAGCTTGTCCGCTGATGTTCAGGAAGGTATGTAGCTAAACACTAATTACCGACGCCAAAGATGTAACCGTGCAGAATTGGCACCATGATCGTGATGGCACAATATGCCAATCTAGGTCAGGTAGCTTTGGGTACTTCACTACTTTTTCAAATGCCTGGGTATGAGTTGCTAGCGGGATTTCTGGCCTCTGGTGAGAAAAGCAAGTGCAGCTTTCATGAGAAATACAGTACTACTTTCATGAGAAATACAGAACCACTTTGCTGAGAAATATAAGTACAGCTTTCACCTGAAAATACTGTGTTCTCATGTCGGGTAACAATGTGGTGACTGTTCTTTTTTGTGTTCTACATTCTTGCAGATTAAGAACGGAGAGCGATGCCCTGGCGGAAGCACAGCGTGCTCTGCGCACTGCCCAGCAGGACCTGTCCAAGAGGGATAGTGATCTGAAGGCAGCTCTGGCCGACTCGGCGGCGGCAAAGCGAGCGAAGAAGGACATGGACAAGGAGCTGGCCATGGCCAAGGAGGATGCGGACGCGGCGCGCACGCAGCTGGAAGGGGAGACGGTGGCGCGTGTGGATGCCGAGAACAATCTCCAGTCGGTTCGCGAAGACATGGACTTCAAACAGCAGCTATTCGACAAGGTAAAAACACAGAGTGTGACAGAGACTATACCCGTACCATAATTCAACGTTTTACTGTGTAAGCAATGTCATAGGTTGTTCTGTGCGCTCCGGTTTAGGGGTTAGGGGTGGCATGCGATGAACTGTGGACATCAGTGTATAGCATCCATGGCAGCCACACTCAGTGACATTCACACATCACACATCACCTTCTCGGGAGGACTACACGTAAATTTCCCAGTTTTCTCCTTATCTTGCTGGTATAGTCGTGCCCCGAAGAAATCCAACCCACATGCCGAAAGCAACGCCACGGCTAACGTGGGCCCCGCGGCCCACAGATAGGTTTTTAGAACATTACATGATGTTATTGGAATGGAAATGCGGCGCTGCGTTTGATTCGTGGGAGGGATTTCTTTGTCCGCGACTGTCTTGTATCCTCAACCCTGATGATGGCTCCTGACCGAACATTTGATTGAGAAATTAGTACTTTGCATTGAAGAGACCACTTGATTTGAGGATGGTGTGTGTAGGGTTTTTCATGTAATGAAATGGCTTCAATGGAGTTTGCAAACCTTAAGAAACGACTGTATTCGGATGGAGAGCCAAGGATTATTTATAAAAAGTGAAAAGACCAAGGAACTACAAGTTACACTATAATGTAACTTGTAGTTCCTTGATCCTTTTTACCTTCCCCTCCTTATGTTATTTCTAGAACCTTTCTAGAACCTTCCAAGCTGGAAGGCTGTTGGAGTGCGCATCCTAGATGTGCTAAAACTGTTAGCCAGTTAGTTGTAGCACACTTGCCAACCCCTGGCAAACAGTTTCCTTGACACTGATTACGTTTTTCCTTGATTTTGCCCATTTTCCTTTTTCTGCAATTTTTACATCATAATTGTGCAAAGTATTGTATATGACATCACAGTGACGTTACCATGACCACAAGACATTAACGAAATAGTACAGCATGTACAACAAAAAGTACTTTTTCATGCGCTAACTCCCAAAGTTCTCGCTCGCTACTACGCTAGACCTTCGTTTTGGGCACGGCACGGCGCGAGCGAGCGTCCAAAACACTGAAAAATAAGTGAAAATCAACAAAAAAGGTGTTGACGGACATTTTCGAAAGTCCGGTAGATGTTATAACTTTATAACATCTACCGGTATACCGGGACGAAGGAATTTTCCTTGATTTTCCCGGAAAATCCGGTAGGGTTGGCAAGTATGTTGTAGAATGTCAGTACCGTTGGTCAGTGTCGTGCAATGTTATCGCATGAGCATACTGTTAAGAAACTGGTGATGTTCGTGGACATTATAGTGTAGCTTGTAGTTCCTTGGTCCTTTTTACTTTTTTATAAACGACTGTATTGGATACATTTTCTCTTGCTGGTCATCAATGATGTTCATGTGTGTGGTCGAACTGTGTAGGAACGAACTGATCTGTATGCCAAGCTATCTGCTAAGGAACGTGACCTTGACAATACCATTGCTGAGTTCCAGGCAAGGTTGGATGAGCAGCACACGAAGGAATTGGACGACCTGCGCGAGCAGTTTGACCACGATTTGACCGCCCAGCGAGAGGAGATTGAACGAGCGGCCGAGGATAAGGTATGCATCCGGTGTGTGTGTGTGTGTGTGCGTGTGTGTATGCGTGTTTGCATGTGTGTTTGCGTGTGTGTGTGCGCGCGCGCGCGCGTGCGTGTCTTTATGCGTGGCAATATATCCAACACGTCTTAGCATGCTGCCGAGCAAAATCCCCCTGTGACAGTATCAAGTTTCAGCAAATTCATGTTTTGGTATGGGATTGCTCTGCAATGTTCATTGTGGTCGATTTGATCTAAATACCTACACCAGTACACATGCAAAGAAGGGAAAGCGTGAGTTTACCTACTTTGCTGTGTTTGTATTTTTAGACAAATTTTGTAATTCATTTCCCTTCATTGTGTTTATTTTGCCGGTGAAGAGACTCTAGTGGGTCTATGTGACACGAATATGTTAAATCGTACAGAATATGATGGTGTTACTAACCTCATAATGCATTTGGTGTGGTTTTTGTACGCATGTCCACTTTATCTGCAGTATCGGGCATTGGCAGACAGAGGCGATCGTGACAGGGCCCTTATCAAATCACTCATGGACGAAAATAGGAAATGCCGCGACGACGCTCAGAAGATGGACAACGCAAACACGATTCTTGATGCAAAGGTACAGTTTAACCCTTTCAGTGCCAAGGACGAGATAACTCGTCCTACAGAACCCCACGCGATTGGCCAAGGACGAGATATCTCGTCCTCGTAGTGCGCACGTTATATTGCAGTGCATAGACCAGTGTACAAACTATCGTAACTCTGTGAAACATAAACGCATCGCGACAATCAATACACCGTTGGAAAGGTCTTGAGCTCATCTTTCCGCGAATATAACGTTCGTCGCGATGGGATAAAGAATTACTGAGCGGCGACAGGATGAACCCCAAATTCACGGGAGATATCTCGTCCTCGTAGTGCGCACGTTATATTGCAGTGCATAGACCAGTGTACAAACTATCGTAACTCTGTGAAACATAAACGCATCACGACAATCAATACACCGTTGGAAAGGTCTTGAGCTCATCTTTCCGCGAATATAACGTTCGTCGCGATGGGATAAAGAATCACTGAGCGGCGACAGGATGAACACCAAAATCACGGGCCGGAGCGAACACGAATTTTTTTGTTCATGACTTCGCAGTTTTTTGGAGCGTGCTAGGGGATTTCCCTTTGCCACGACGCATGCGTGATGGACATCAAATGAAGCGCTTGGATCTCAGCTTTGCAGCGCAGTTCGAATCGTGAAAATTGGTTGAATTATTATTTGGGCAAGATGCCGAACAAGAACGTGAGATTGAGTTGTTGTGCCGTTCCGAGGCACGGTGGAGTAGTTCGGAGAGGAGATGGAAGTGGCCCTGGTGTGTCTGTCTATGGTGCTGAGATCTACCATGATGGATTCGCTTGGTCCTGATCTTTCCAACAAGCCCAAGATGATGAAAATCCATCATGGTGGAGTGAAATGAGAATAAATTCCATTCAGAGCTGTGCACGCAAACTACACCAAGAGAGTCAGTGCACTGGACAGCCGGCCGATTGGAGAAAAGGGGCCCGGCATGGAAAGGGTTAAGCTGGACGTTATTGTCTTTGTGTTGCACGGAAGAGGTAGTGGAGCATTGATGCCGCTGAATGTCCGCTTTGATTTCCCAAGCATTGCGAAACAATCGCTGCCTGTGGTGTATCCAAGGACTGTTCGTGTGTTGTGAATTGGAGGTGAAGTGAAAGATGACAAGGCTGCAATGGATCTTCAAAGCTTTTGAAAAAAAAAGAGAGAGAAGGACAAAATGTTACGAGTTATGACTACCTGTCCACCAAATGTAACCAGATCTTATACAGTCAGCAAGTGCGACGAAATGGCACAAAACTAAATAAATTAATTAATTGGCTCACCATCCCAGTTGAAAAAAGAAAAAGAGCTGAGCTTTGTACATTCAGCCCCCCCCCCCCCCCCCCCCCCCCCAGAGCACAAAGTGGACATGGACATTGATTCCTTTGGCCTAATTTATTTCAAATTCAGACACTGTAGCCGGTGAACTAATTTGGTGTGTGGGCAAGATGACGCCACGTTGGGTGCGTAGCTCCCTATTGGATGCTGGTTCTTGTATGCATGATGAAATTTCTACTTGGGAAGGACATGTAACGTTAAGTCAAACAACCTCAACTAATCAAAATGATAACAGTAAGGTATTATCGAATTGAAATTTCTGAAATCCCAGTATTCTTCCTCCTACCTATTGCGTTCCCTGTGCTCTCCAGAATGGCGAGCTGCAGAAGCGACTTGATAACTCCGAGAGGGATCGCAACGGCGAGCGTGCACGCCACGATCAGCGCCGCCGTGAGCTGGAAGACGAGATTAGTGCTCTGCGCGCCGAGAACGAGGGCTATCGCAAGGCCTACGAGGACCTGATGGATGTGCAGACGAGAGTGGACAACGAAATCCAGACCTACTCGGCACTCATGGACATGGAAATGCCAAAGTGAGAACCACTGTATGCATATAGTGCATGCTGTTGTAACGTGATCATAATAGCGTGCCAAAAACACTCTGGGAGAAAACTTTCAGCGTGCTGGGATATTCCGTCTCAGAGTTGTGGCTTTTCGTACAGTGGACTCGGCAGTGCATGCATGCGGTATGCGCACTGTACACTTAGTTCATGGCAAGCATGCTCGTCATTGCCCAGACAAAATGGGATCTACATGACGAGTTCACTTGTCGTAAACCCTCAAAGGTTCTCATTGTGCTCCAACGGGGCAGCCGTGGCCAGTGCATCGCTTACCTTTCTCGCAAATTGATCAGAAATGCGTTTTGCACGGGCACATGCACCCCCCCCCCCCCCCCCTTTAACATTTCGACCTAGGTTCAGCATCCGTATAATGATCAGGATTGACATGCACCAGCCATCCTACACATATGCGACCGTGCCCCCCCCCCCCGAGAAAGGGGGACCAGCCTCCTCCTCTTGAAAGGGGGACCAGCCCCCCCCCCCTCTTGAAAGGGGGACCAGCCCCCCCCCCCCTCCCCTCTTGAAAGGGGGATCAGCTACACCCCTGTTGGCTGTGTTTCTATTGCTGTATGAGTGACGGGTGTTGTTATTCTTTCTCTCTGACCAATACTGCGGCTTCTGCAGGGGCCAGCGCCGGGGCAAGCGTCGCCGCCCAGCTGATGAGCAGGAGGAATCCGTTAGTATTGTCATCAGCGAGGTCGGCGTGAACGGGGACTTTGTTCGCATCAGCAACACAACAAGCAAGGTGACCGAACAGTCCCGAATATAGATCGTCTGGGGTTGTGACAGGGGGCATGCGTGCATACTAGCAAGACTAGAGTGCACCATGTGTGTGTGAGTGTGTGCGTGTGTGCGTGTGTGTGTGTGCGTGTGTGCGTGTGTGTGTGTGTGTGTGTCTGTGTGTGTCTGTGTGCGTGTGTGTGGGCACACGTGTGTCTCATATGTCAGTCCATGGCGGAGGAAGCAGAGTGCTTTGCTCATGGGTTTGATGGAGTCCTGCCGCATGTTTCTGCTTGCTCATGTCACATACCTGAAGTATTTATGTGTAAGCTGACGAAGCTTCACAACCTCCACTGTTTCCGGGTAACGGATGACCCGAAGTTGTCTCAACTGAGCGTACAACACTGCTTATGGTAGCAGAAAAGAAAAACAAAAATTGTGATGAAACTGCTTGCAATCTGTGTTACATTTTTCGTTCTGTTTGCCCGTAGGACACTTCTCTTGGGAACTGGAAGCTTGTTCGAGGTCCCGTCACGTACAAGTTTGGCGCACGCTTCACACTCAAGGGACATAATTCTGTGACGGTAAGTTAACAGAGTACCGCTCTAGGAGCTGCATCTGCGCCGTGATCCTGAAAGCGCGGTGGCGTTCCTACGGATGCGGAAAACTCGGCCTTTAGCTGAGTCTCGCGTGAGCCGTGAATTTGCTTACCTAGGTATGCTTGGACAGTGGTTGCTGGATTACTGGTGAAACGCGTGCATTATGTCCACGGTATGAATGAGAAAGTGTTGCGAGATGTGAAATTGCGCACGTTCCCTGCTGAGACTATTGTATCTACTGTTAGTCAACAAATATTCGGCGCATTTCTGTTTTCGGCTGTTTTCGGCCTGGTCATGTTTGGCGAAAAAAAATTTGCGGCCGAAATATTGTTTTTGCAAAGTTCAATGTGACAGTGTATACAGGCAGCAGTGGTACAGGCCGAACATTATTTTGATGTGGCCGAAATGGGCTTTAGCCCTGGGAGGCTGAAATTTGAATGGGCCGAACATGTGTCGACTTGCAGTAAGCGCAATGCCTCTTGGGTGATATGAGAGAACGTTCTAATTTGTATCAATTTTGCACTGTAATGAATAGTCTGAGTGTGGTGTGGCGGAGGAAGATTTTTGCCAGGAGGTAGAGAGTAACATTCCTGTGTTACTGGAATTGATCATCCAGACATGTGCCCCTATTCCCCGGGCACATTTGTTCGTGAATGTTCCGAGCGGTCGTATATGGCCGCACTCACTTTGTTGCCTGGAGTGGCTTCAAGTTCGTATATAATAGCCTGAGGTTGCGGTGCGTGTATCTAGTCAGAAGTAGTCCATGACTAACAGGTATGAATACTTCAAGTAGAATGTATGTGAACCCGGAAACCAACACAAGCACACGCACGTGCGCGCACACACACAGACACACACACACATGCGCATATGCACACACACACACACACACACACACACACACACACACACACACACATGTGCGCACACACACACACATGCATGCACACACACACACACACACACACACACACACATGTGCGCACACACACACACACATGCACGCACACACACACACATACACACACACACACATCCGTCTGCACACACACACATTCGTCTGCACACACACGCACACACACACACACACACGCACACACACACGCACACACACACACACACACACACACACACACACACACACACATGTCCATCACTTTTCTTTTTCTCCTTATGAACTTGTGCAGGTGTGGTCTTCGGGAAGTGGTAGAACTCACCGACCACCGAAGGACGTTGTTGCCAAGACGTTCAAGTCCTGGCCGACCAATGCAGAAATGATCTGCACTCTATTGAGTGGGGACGGACAGGTGAGACGCTAGAGGAGCAATAACGCTCGGGGAGCTTTGAAAGCTTTTACAGTCAACTTTGCGTATAATGACACTCGGCGGCCGGGCATCAAAAAAGTGTCCTTACTCGCGAAGTGTTGTTATACCCAAAGTCTCATTATACTTGGTCCGTTTCATCGCAATTGTCGCTTATCTCCCACACACCTTTTGACAGGTAAAACCCAGTCCGATCTCGATATCTAACTCACATTCGTTTGGGAGGTTGTGATGGAAAGATCAAAGGAGACCAGAAAGAAAAAATCATCGCGACTGGCGCCAGTGGCATCGCGATTCGTACAATTTTGATGGGAAAGTGTCGAACTTTTCGCTGCAGTGAATGCACTGCACTGCAGTCTGCAGTGAATGTGTGCATTCACTGCAGCAAAAAGCCAAGCGCAGCTCTCAGCAGCTCTCAGGGGAAATCGACATCCTGACCTGGAGAGCGTGACAGTCACGGCCAGGCCAGCCAGCTCAGTCGCCACGTTTGAACTGCAACGGCCTGGCATTCTTTGCAAGCCTGCAAACTGATGGGAGATGGTGGCAAAGAAGACATTGTCCGACCTGGCAGTGGCAGTACAAGAGTCGTGGGCAGCGTATCCAGCAGAGCGTATGACAGCTGTCTGGAGAGGGATGTGTGCCTGATTCAAAAACGTTGTTGAAACACATGTACGTAGTGACAGACGGATCACGCTGCCCAGTTCCTCCAAGTGCCAAAGTGACAGCCACGACTGTTCCTTTCCCATCGCTGCCATACGCCAAGGGGAGAAAGCAAGAGATACTCTACGCCAGCAGCTATACAGACCAGCCACGGAATGTCAGCTCAAGTGACATCAGCTGGAATGATACAGAGCCAGAGTCGGATAAAAGCGTGAGTGCAAGAACGCGCTCCGTCGCTGTTTTCTTTAGTACATTTTTTGTAACCTTGCTTCCTTTTTTCGACTTGCTTGACCAGATTCCACCGCTGAATTTTTTCTTGTGGCGGACAGGAATCCTGTATCATGCTTCTTCACTATGCGTATTGGAAATTTTACAGAGCGGTAAAAAAACTACTGTTCTTAGTTGTGATAGATAAGCGACAATTGCGATGAAACGGACCAAGTATGTATTACAGTTAGATGGGACTTTGCTCTGGGCATGGGAATTTTGTCGTTATTCACCATTTGTCGTTATATCCGCAGTCGGTATTAGCGAAGTTGACTGTATTATGGCGAGACGTTTGAACCGTGCATCATCTGTGGCGTTGTGCCCGCGCCGTCAGTCTTAGCTGATAATGCCCTGTGGCGCTTGTGGCGCTGTAGCTTGCACACAATTGTTGGGTGCAGATGTTAATACGGTGAAGCCCGCCTAAGACTTTTGAAGTGTGGTACCCGTGCACTCGTGATCACTGTATCCAGGGTCACATGAGTACTTTGAGCTCTGCCCCTGGATGTGGGTGTCTCGTCCGACACGTAGTCGCCTTATCAGAGTGGTGCCCCTATCAGAGTGCTGCCCCTATCAGATTGCTGCCCCTAGCCGAGTGCAGCCCCTAGCAGAGTGCAGCCCCTAGCCGAGTGGTCGCCCAGCAGTGTTGTTGCCTTGACAGGTTTTCCAGAAAGGAGACTCTAGGCTAATGCTGCTAGCCTATTCTAATAACTACTATGTTCCACGCCGTGCACTCGCAAACAACAAGACTTTAGGTGCTACACAAATTGCATTTATGGTATACTTCACAAGGTAAGAGTGGGCACATTTCTCTTACAAAGATTGCAGGCAAAGGAAAGCTGTTTTCACTGTTCAGCAGATTTTGAAATATGTCCGGCACTGATGGACATGGAAATGCCTAAGGCATAACCACTGTATGCTTGCAATAAGTTGTAAATATGCACAGTTTTCGTGACACTCCAATTAGACCAAGTATTCCTTTTGAGCAGATACTAAAGGGGATAAGCGTTTTGTCAAGTGTGAGAAGATGCACGTCACTTCATCCATGTATCTCGTCGTGTGGGCATTTTCACTCCAGATTCAACATGTTTTGGACGGCGTCACTCCGTCGAAAGGTGCACCTGACTCGGCCACACAAGTGTCGACACCTCCGGTGAGGGATGATGACTACGATGTAATAGATGGAAGCCAGACGAAAGACCCGAGCAACGAAGACCTTTTCCACCAGCAGGTAAGGAGGCTAGTGCCTTGGGTTCTGTCTTACATTTTTGGAAGTGGGACAGCAGACGGTGGGTTGATGTCAATCACTACTTTTTCTTGTCCCTGATAAATCGTAGCGATGTGGTGTCGGCCAATTAACGAAAGATGGACTTGTGCCGTGGTCACCACTTCCGTATTTTCCCAATTACGGTATTTACTGTGGATGTATTCTTTTGGGCTGAAACGTCAGAAGCGCGTTATACCGCATATCGAACTCTGCCTGGCTCTTGTTTGCAGCTGTTCAGAAGTCACCAATTCTTCTTTATTTTATTTTCTCTGTGCAGGGTGACCCGAAGAAGGGAGGTGAAAAGACGGAATGTGTTATTTGCTAGGAGCTGCTCGCCCCCGGTTGAGCGCTAGACCCTCAGTTTGGAGTGTTCCATGTTTGTTGCGTGGCTGGCAAACCTTTGGCGTGGTGCTGCCATTCTGATTTTTGATAGAGCCAGCATTGTAGGCCGTATTCATACTTTTCCAACTGTATTGATATATGATTCGACAAGGCTATGGCTGCTTCGGAACCTATGCCTTTCATTGACCGATATCCCCCGCTGTGCCTGTGCCGGCCTTGCAGCCTCTCAGCAGAATGGCAGAATCTTTAAAAGCAGGCTTCCACAGCTATCGCCTGTGTTTATCTTCTAGTGTTTGGTTTTCGGTATTGACAGGCTGTTGTGTTGCCTTCTGCCTGGTTATTGTGGAAGGCACCGCAGCATTCACTAGTATGCTCTCTGTGGTAACGTTGCTGCCTGCCGGAACTGGCGGATGCCGTGGTGGTGTTGCCGTGTCCGTGTGGCTATCCGTGCAAGCACAATGGATATCGTTTGTTCGCTCTAGCGGGCCTGTCTGATTTCTTTACCCTGCACTGTTAATGTTTGTATGATTGTTAGGCAGCTCTGTTTCAAACTGAGGTGATATTTTGTTGTAGCTGTTCTATTTCATTCAATAGAAGCGATTTGCAAGGATTACTGCTGTGGCCATATGTACCATTACAATGCTTCACATTACTGCATACTACATGTACTTGTAGTATAGCGAAACACACAGCCTGCTGTGTAAGTGCCTACTCAGCACACAGGAATGACAGGCTAGTGTGCGCCCAGTGCATGCGTAGTTGCGTACTGTGACAAGACGGTGTACGTCAGTGTGTAACTAAAAATAATTTATAATTGGACGCAGCTTACGTGGTTTTCAGCAGCTCTGCCGCGCCAGTGGTTGTGAGACTTATCCGCTCTCCCCCACCCTTAGCGAGTTCGGCACTGCATCTGTCCCTGGACTGGGTCTTACATAGTGGCCGTCATGAGTTTCCTAGATAATGGTGACAAAAATTCTTTTTTTTTCCACGCATTGAGAATATCAACCTAATTCAACCAGGCCAGGTCGTGGTATCAGTAGTGACCGTAGGCTGTAGCGGAACAGGTTTCGAAGCAGAAGCCTTCAACATGACATTGTAGTTTCCCCAAAAATTCGCCTTCCCATTTATTGTCATCGCGAAACTCAAACTGACTGAAAGCGGAACTTCCAAAAGCGCCTTTGCAGCTCCACATTGACGGCGCCGCAAAAAAGTGCAATGACACATCCAAACGAATCTATTCTAATAGTAGAGCCCTCCTAATGTAACAGAGAATAGCAGGCCCGAGAAATGAACCCACAGAGACAGAAAAGAGAAAGAAGAACTGCTTGTAGGCTTTGCAGAGACCGAGCCAGGAGGTGAAGAACATGTACAAGTATGAAGAGTAGAGTAGAGTTCGCACGTCCGGGTTGCAACTGGCTACACAATTGTATTGCGTAGCCTAGTATTGAGAAACACAAAATGGCTATACAATTGTATTGAGAAACACAACCAGCTTATAGGAAGTTTTGCTTGTGCTAGGCCACCACCAGCTCCCAGACAAAGCACGCCTCGAAAGAAAGCGCTCCACTTTTATATCGCTTAGCCTGGCCTTTCTGTTAGGCAGTACCCTCAACTAGAATGAACTCATCTGCTTCACTACCTCTCTCTTTCTCTTTTTCTCTATTTCTCTCTCTCTCTATTTCTCTCTTTCTCCCTCTTTCTCTCTCTCTCTCCTTCTCTCTCTCCTTCTCTCTCTCTCTCTCTCTCTCTCTCTCTCTCTCTCTCTCTCTCTCTCTCTCTCTCTCTCTCTCTCTCTCTCTCTCTCTCTCTCTCTCTCTCTCTCTCTCTCTCTCTCTCTCTCTCTCTCTCTCTCTCTCTCTCTCTCTCTCTCTCTCTCTCTCTCTCTCTCTCTCTCTCTCTCTCTCTCTCTCTCTCTCTCTCTCTCTCTCTCTCTCTCTCTCTCTCTCTCTCTCTCTCTCTCTCTCTCTCTCTCTCTCTCTCTCTCTCTCTCTCTCTCTCTCTCTCTCTCTCTCTCTCTCTCTCTCTCTCTCTCTCTCTCTCTCTCACTCTCACTCTCTCTCTCTCTCTCTCTCTCTCTCTCTCTATTCCGCCGACTTGACTTGACTGACTCACGACTGCCATCCAAAGCACACGAGAAGTCCATCGAACCTTCGACTCGGCAAACCTGCAAGAAAGCACCACTCCCTGCTCAATATACAGTGTTTCGGGGAATTCACCCCTCATCAGTTGAGCCTGAGTAGGCTGAGGATGATTGTGCCTGGAGAGAACCACTTATATAGTGCTCTCCATGCACAAACATCACGAGAGATACAAACTTACAGAGACGCTCCGTTTCCAGCGTGACGAACACCTCGTGAACACCAGATAGCAGCGTGAGTCAGTGTCGCTCCTGGACGGTGGGAACAGACGAAGACGACCCTCGGTCATTCACAACGCTGTCACCTCCGAACCAGCTAGTCGCAAGCCCGCGCTGCTATCTAATTCTTATAATTTTGCACTCATTACCACAATACTGTTATACTTCCCAATCCGCTGCTCCCAAAAATGGCAACTTTGTCCGATATACCCTTTCCTTGGTCATGTACATGTACATACAAGTATCCCTTCACCGGTCATAGTTCGAAACTCCCCCCCCCCCCCACACACACACAATGGTTGCCTCTTTGCTTTGTCATACCACAACCATTCAATGCGGTGAACCCCTCGATAGGCGATTTGCTTTGGGGTCATCCTAATAAAGTTATTATTATTATCTGGTGTTCACGAGGTGTTTGTCGCGCTGGAAACGGAGCGTCTCTGTAAGTTTGTATCCCTGGTGATGTTTGTGCATGGAGAGGACTATAATATACACATGTACACGTAAGTGGTGCTCTTCAGGCACAATATTCCTCAGCCTACTCAAGCTCAACTGATGAGGGTGAATTCCCCGAAACACTGTGTATTGAGCAGGGAGTGGTGCTTTCTTGCAGGTTTGTTGAGTCGAAGATTCCATGGACTTCTCGTGTGCTCTGGATGGCAGTCGTGAGTCAGTCAAGTGTCAAGTCAAGTCGGCGGAATAGCGCGAGCTCCAGTGTGGGAGCAAACCCATTCCTAAAAAAACTCATCGCCGAAGTCGCAACCACTAGTTCGTACTATTTTTATTATATTATCATTATGCCTGATGGTAGAGGATTGAAAGTTAGTTGCTATAGAAGTGTTTATCACTCCCTTAGTATTGACTCCCATAGATTTTTGCCATACCTAAGCAGTCAAATATTCCTGCATATTTCACTCCTTTTAAGCGCTATATTGACTGCTTATGAGTTCCGCAGTTGAACGGTGCTGCCTAGTGCAGCATGGTCACTGTATGAGTAGGTGATGGTGCAACGGTTGTGCAATCATAAAACCGGGATTCATGAGGTTATCGTTCTGGAATTTGAAATACGGACTGTTTGTCGTGATAAATCTAATATTGACTTCGTACTTGGTCAGTATAGGAAATAAAAACCTCGTAAAAGACCTCGGCTTCGCTTCAGTCTTTTACTCGGCTTTTATTTCCTGACCTCGTACTCAGTCAATATTAGATACGTAAGCACTCGTATGGCGCAGACGTGAAACACTTACCTACTATGTGTTAACCATCGCATCAGTAAGCTAAGCTGTACCATTGCTATTACCGCAGTTATCATCAGTGAAGCAAGGAAAGCGATTGTTGTAATGGTTCGTCAGGAGGAAAGCTGGGGCATGCAATGATTCATTGAAGAATACACCAGATTTGTGCGCCCATCCTATCAGGGGGACGCGATTGGCAATGCTGCCAGACATCATAAAAAAATGTTCTAGTACAGACAACAGTCCCAGTGCCGTGTACGTCATTCACATACTAGTATACAATACTGCGTTGCACCACTCCCTGCTATACACAGTGTTTCGTGGAACCCTACCTCATCCGTTGATCTGGAGCAGGCTGAAGAAGATTGTGTCTGAAGAGCATCACTTATAATAGTGCTTTCCAGGCTAGACCATCACCACGGCTACAAACTACTTACAGAGACGCTCCGTTCCCAGCTCGACAAACACCTCATGAACACCAGATGGCAGGGTGAGTAGGTTTGGCCCCGGCGCAGCCTACTCAAGCTCTACTGGTGAGGGGGGAATTCTCCGAAGCGCTGTGTATGGAGTGGAATGTGTGTCTGGGTACTCGGGAGCACCGGATAGCAGTCGCGTGTCAGTCAAGTTTACCAATGCGTGTCTGTTCCACGTAGAAGCAACCAACTGCATTTTGCTAATACATGTACCTCTAAAGCTGCTGCACCTACATGTACATGTAGGGTCCGGCGGATTCTGCGGATTCTGCCGGCAGAAAAATTGGCAGAATTCGGTACTTTTTCTGGTATGTTTCATGCATATTTGGTATGTGGCTAAAGAAATGGAGCAGAATTCGAGGAATTGTCCGCCGTAAGGTTTGTATGGTTCTGCCAATTTCACTGCTTTTCGAGCAGAATCTGCCACCTTTTCGAGCAGAATCCGCCGATCCCTACCTACATGTCCATGTCATAATTATTGCTGTCGCCCAAGTACTTACATGTACATGTACATGTAGTTGACGTGCGACCATTTTTTGGAGGTAACATCATTGTGTATAGCTAATAGATATCCGTGTCTGTGCGAACGCTGTAATCTGTGCTGCGCTGCAGAATCCGGCTTCATGTACACTAATAAAAGATAATCTTTGAGGATCTCCCAAAGGCCATAACATCTCGGAAGGATCTCCAATATGAGACAAGAAGAGAGATGCTTTCAAGTGTTTAATATCAAACAACAGCTGCCTCGCATCCTATAGATTGCCTCAGGTTATTAGAGCGCACTCGAGCCCGTCCAAGTCGCTCTAACGTTTCTTACCGCCTTCGCTGTGAGTACTTATCAGAGCAGCCAATGTCCCGAGTTCTGGTTCCAATTTTCCTGCATAGATCTAATACATGTACTGCTTTTTAAATATCACCTGCTACATGTTCTTCGTTCTACAGATTCAATAATACCGTATTTCCACAAATAGTAGGCCGGTCTACTATTTTGTTCAACCTCGTCCTAACCCGGCCTTATAATCGAGGACAGTCTTGTATTCGAGGACGGTCTTTTATTCTTTCAACCCAGTTTGACCCCGGTCTTCTATTTCTCGCCACACAGTTTTACCCCCGTTCTTCCATTTTCTTCTACACAGTTTGAGCACGGTCTTCTATTTTTTTCCACAGTTTGAGCACGGTCTTCTATTTTTAACACAAGAACAAAAACTCATTTAGTAGGCCCGGTCTTCTAATCGGAGACGGTCTTTTATTTTTTCAATCGCCCCCTGCCCCGACCTTGTACATGTACATGTATACGAGGAAGGCGTTGCATACGAGGACGGCCTTTTATTTGCGGAAATACGGTACGTACTTCACGTTTTCTTCTTTAAAGAATTTTTCTGCATTTTGCTGGCTTTCTCTAGTTTTTCAATCTTGCCAGTCACGCTTTGAATTACAATAACTCAATCAAATAGTAAATCAACGCTTCCACATACAGTAAACCTTGTGCTAACCGGACGCCCTTGGTGCTTGGTCCATGGGGGAACATTGGATCCACAGCACTTTGGTGCAAGACAATTTGTCCGGCTAATAGAGGATTCCGTTTGGTACATGGTCCGGTAAACACAGGTTTAACAGTAGTTGAGTATTCGTATGCTAATTCGATCAAACCAATAAATCACACTGTTTAATTCTGGTTACTTTTCGCTTTCCAAAGGCTGGATCTCCGACTGCACCCTTTGAAAAAACGTCGTGATGCCTGAACATCAGGGTGTTGGCAGTCAGCTTCAAGCTAATGATTTACACAGGATACGAATGTACAATGTGTAGTCCACAAGGGTACACTGTAGGTTCCGGCGGATTATGCTCGCGAAATCATGGAATTATGCTTTCATGGATTCTCGCATTATGCTCGCGAAATCCTCATATTATGCTTTGGCACGCAGGGATACATACTCACTTTGTTGTACTTATGGAGCCTCAAAGTTCGGAAAATTGTGCCTTTTCGTACTTGTAAGTGGCCATTAGTACAACAAAATACATGAATATCCCCATACCAAGATGACCACGCATGCTAGAAATCAACATGGAAAGAGAAAACATAACTCCTTCTATTCATTAGTTGATTTCTTTTGTAAAAAGATTTTTTCATTGCTAAATTAGTTTGAGTTACCTTTGAAAATTATCATGTTCAACTGTCTTCGTAATCGTCATACTCGTCCAACCGATGTCACCCTCACCCTGCGAAAAATCAGCTCACCTCTCCCGTAGCTCCACCTCTCCTTCCACCATGACCGAACATCACCTATACCTCATTTTTATTATTAGAACAATAACCATAGCTTGCACAGTCGATGGTCTCGATCCAGCGCGCTTCTCTGCACACCTTTTCGGAGAAGTTGTGAAGTAGTTTGTGAAAATGAAGAAAGTTGCGATTTCTTGCAAAACAACGGAAAGTTGCGAAAAAGTGGCCAGCATCTTTGGAAAAGGGCTACTCCGAACCCTTTACCATGCGGACCACCAGCACTGATCAGGTGCATTGTACACAATTGTGTAGCTTACATACTGGAATTGTGGTACAACCATGTAGTTATGCTCCTACCTCCGAAAGGATGCCTCATTATGCTCCAAATGTTCAACCTCCAAATTATGCCAATAATTATGCCGGCATAATTCGCCGGTGCCCAGTACACTGCCGTGTCTAAAACTGCACAATGCAAATGATGGGCATTGCTAACCTTTCAGAGGCGGCATCTATAACAGAATTGGTTTTAGAGAGCGTAGAGATAGGCACAATCTGTGCACATGTACTTCGTTTGAGAATAGTTCATAAGATTGTACTCTGGTGTAATTAATGTCCAGTACAACTGGGAAGGAAATAATGGTACGAAATTTGGGTAATGGACTATGCAAGAGGGATCTGGAGACATTTTGTTTCATCTGCATAACTAGCGTTGAATGACGGTGGCAAAACACTCCTTGCAGCTAATGCGAATGGTGTCTTACTGGCGCCTATGGCAGAGTACTGTGAAGCGCTGGCCATGCCATGTGTTTGCAACGCACTGTTGTACAGGTGAATGGCGTAAACGGAGCCCGGACTGAAACTGGAGTCCTTCGCGTCGCGCCTGAACAGTAATGTCAGGTCGTTCACGTACCAACTGTAGGGGAAAAAGCCCGATTTGTGGGGCAGAACAGTCACGGCCGGATACCGTTTGGCATTCCCCAGTAGCGAGGTGACGGCGAGCACACTATGCTTTGCCCAAGAACCATCATAGTCCTTGCACATTCGCTGACTGTACGCACACATGAAGCAGGAATTCTTGCGCGCCACGATCAGCCCATTCCCTATCGTGCCGTCTATTTGCCGGGAGAACACTGCTTCGGCCGTCAACAGGGGATCGAATGGCTTGGTCAGGATTGCATCAACATCCATGTAAACCCCTCCATACTGCCACAGAGCTGCTGTGCGCATGAAATCAGACAGATGGGCGAGAAACTGAACAGTGGCTCCGTTCAGCGCTGTGGGCAAGGAACTACGTTGGACCTCATTCAGCTGCACAAGAGGATGACTTTGAATACGCCTTGCCCAGCATGTACTGAGTTTGCCTATGTGGTGCAGAAACACTACCCGAGGATGAAGGAATTTTATTGCGGACGTAATCGAAAGCCATTGCGTAAATCCCATCTTGTCACCAATCTGTATGACGTGAGCTATACGTGGTACTGGACCGGATCCGGAAACGCAGGATTTCGCACACTGGTTTATCCAAGACGTCTGCTTGGTGCATTCGAACGCATTCAGGCCACTGAGCAATGTCGCCGTCTGGTTTGTAGGTGAGGCTGCTGTGGAGGGCGATTTCTTTTGAGCAACACTGGATCCAGACCTGGACGAAGAGGTCTTCAAGGTCATATTTGCGCCCTCGTTCAGTCCCGTATCATTCCTTCCTCGGTGGTATTGTGAACGCATGATCAGCCGAGACACCACTTGCAAAGGATTGCTGGAAAGTTCTGCAACTAGTTCCGGTGTAAACGATATCACCAAAAAGCAGCAGGTCACAGTTACCAAAGAGCAGCATAGAGCTCGCTGAAGTCTCGCACCCATCTTAGCTCGGCTATCCGTTTATAATGTTACCAAATCTAAGTATGTTAACTAGGGATGAAGTTAGCGAATATCTACAGTATCGCACAACCTGGAGATTGCCAAAGCGACACAGCTCCAACGAATGTCTTCAAATATACAACGGGTTTCGGACAACAGCGAGCTATTCAGGGCAGATACCCCGGTGTACCGGACCAGCAGTCGTATACGCAGTGCCATGCATTGATACGGTGATACAGTGCATGCAGCAGTACTGCTATAGGGACACTTAGTGTCATCTCTTAGTTGTGTTGTTCCTCCAACTAGATCCTAGGGTAAAGCAACTGTGTTGATTTGTGCCATAAAGCTATGCTGTGTTCTCATCAGAATTTCCAACCCGAGTCGAGTTCAAACCGGGTCGACAGCTTGTGTAATGGAACATAGGTGGCTGCTCACGTATAGAGGACCCGAGTCGATTTCTCTATTTCATATTCAGATTTCCATAGGGCGGTCCCCATAGACGCGAGGTCTTCTTTCAACCCGGGTCATGCGCAGTGCAGCATATACATGTACATGTACATGCTTACGTCAATCTGTGTTCACGGTTGTTTGAAACTCTGCTCTGTGTCGCATACATGTGTACTGCCCCCCCCCCCCTCCTCCTGAAAATTGTTACAACAGTATAATCATTGGACCTCGGGGGAAAGTACTAAGCAGTGATTTTATCCGCGAAACTCACTTTACCATGCAGGAGAGTACCAACCCCTCCCCTGCCTCCACCTCCTTTGTGGCTAAACCTGTGGAGCTATGGATCTGTATCAATGACATGTGATCGCGTGAGTCTAGTTTGCTCGCTGCACCAGCTAGTCCGTGGCGGATAATGCCGGCAGAACATTGACAGAATTTGTTACTTTTTCTGGCATGTTCCAGGCATATTAAAGTCTGTGGATAAAGAAATGGAGCAGAAACCAAGGAACTGTTTGTGATAAGGTTTGTGCACACGACACAGAGCACCACGCATCGTTCATAGTGACTAATACTTTCATGCCCATAGCCATAGGCAATCACCAGACAACAAATGGTTTGTATGCTTCTGGCAATTGCTTTTCGAGCATATGCGCCAAGGCTAGCACCAGCGCACACCCCAGTGTTCGCACTTCTTGGATTGCCACAGATCACGACGGCCGCTACCACCCAATACACTGCGCAGGCAGATGCAGCGTCTAACGGTGAGGTCGAGCGTATTAGTCTCACAACCACTGGCATAACTTGTGTAAAGAAACCCCATTAGCCACATTCATGTGCCCCTTGTGCCTGGACACAAATCGCTAGTTGACTGTGGGTAGCAGCAAGGCTGGAACACCGCTCTCAGTGTCACCTTTGACACCCAGCTGTCTTTCTCAACTCACTTCCACTCCATTGCAACCAAAGTTGCTCAGCGGCTCCACTTCCGTGCCAAGGTTGCCCCCGTATAGACGCCAGAGGTCGCACAACTGTGTACAAGGGTTTCTTCCGCCCTCCGATGGAGTATTGCTCCTTGGTGTGGATAGGCTCCAGTACCTCCCGCCTGGATAAGATGCAGGACAGGGCGCTAAAGATCATTGGCCCGGGAGTTTGGCTTGCCAGCCTGGAGCACCGCAGAATGGCTGCATCCCTGTCGCTCCTCTTCAAGCTAACGTATCTTCCCCCGACGAATCCCCTTTTAAGGCCATTCTACCAGCCCCAGCCGACCCACCCCCTCCGTGCAGACCATCGACTAGGCTGGCTACTAAGATTGCTCATCAACACCATAACCAGCTAAAATACACACTCCCAGCACGCACCCGAAGCAGCCTCTGCATTGGGTTCCCCGATTGCGCCATTCCAACGTGGAACAGCCTGCCTGGACATGTCTTGCGATCTGCACCGCACCCACAACAGCTGCAGTCCTTCAAGGAAAGATGCCATAAGTACCTGCTGCGCCTTGACTGGCAGAGAGCAACTGACGCTCTTTGACTTCCTTAGCTTAATTTAAGTTCTGATTGACCTCAATTTCCCTATCCAACATACATGTATCCTTTATCTTTATCCTTCTGCAGTGGATGTGTGGGTGCTGCACTTCCGTATACATGTCTTGCTCTCGTCTTGTTTTTCTTTTCTCTCTCTCTCTCTTATGTCTCCCATGTCCTTCTCTATTTTTCTTCGCGCTCTTTGTCTGTGCAGATGCCGAGACCACCAAGGTCGGCTGAGCAGCAGCAGGGCCCCGCCACCACTTTCCGCATTCATTCAGGAACATGGTGGACTTAGTAAAAAAGAAAAAGAAAAAAAAAGCAGGACTGGAAGCACAGGAAGTGCATGTACATGTGCGTGTATTTCTATTTGTACTCGGACGGAGAGCCAAGGATAAATTTAAGAAAATACATGTACCAAGGAAATTTGGGTTACGCTATTGACGTGTTACAACTAACTGCCAATCAGCTCTAGCACGTCTTGGATGCGCACTCCAGCAGCCTTCCAACTTGGAAGGTTGTAAATTATAGGAATAAAAAGGAAGGGAAGGTGCGCGCAACCAAGACAAGCACAAGCTGATCAGTACAGCTGTGAAGGACTTTGGCGGATGTAAGTGCATGTCGATGACAATACTGGCAAGACCAGCATGCACATCCGCCAACGTTCTTGACAGCTAAGGCTCTAAGTTTGCGATTGTCTTTGTTGCGCGCAACTTCCGCTCCTATGTTATTCCTATTACTCAGAGCCTTCCAAATTGGAACTGGCTGTTGGAGTGCGCTTCCAAGACGTGCTAGAGCGGATTGGCAATTTGTTGAAGGACGCCAGTTACCGTTGGTCTGTGTCGTGCAATGTTATAGCATGAGCTGATCGTCAAGTAACTGATGGTGTTAGTGGACATTATTTATAGCGCAACTTGTAGTTTCTTGGTCCTTTTCTTTCCAATAATTTTTTATTTGTATTTGTATTAATTTACATCGATATCAAACGGGTATGTGGCCCTAGGGTGTGCGGATAATGCTCGAAAAGGTGGCAGATTCTGCTCGAAAAGCAGTGAAATTGGCAGAACCATACAAACCTTATGGCAGGCAATTCCATTTCTTTATCCACATACCAAACGTGCATGAAACTTACCAGAAAAAGTACCGAATTCTGCCAATTTTTCTGCCGGCATTATCCGCATATGCCTAATGGCCACCCAATGTTATGATCCGATGTGCAACACAGGCGACATTTTCACAGGCCACGATTGTACTAAGATAGGAATAAAGAGAACAAATTCTGCCGTCATCACTATACAACTAAGAAGTCATGAATGCGTGGAAAACCTTCAGTTCAATTTTTTTGGAACACTTTATTGACTTCGTTGTTGTGTTGCGATGGCGGCAGAATTTGTTCTCTTTATCGGTATTTTTCATCATTCATGTCTTCACGTCGACTGCTTCTAAGTACAGTCAACTTCGCATATAACCACCCTCGGCGGGGCATCAGAAAAGTGTCCTTATTCGCGAAGTGTCGTTATACCCTAAGTCTCATTATATGTATTACAGTTGGATAGGACTTTGCTCTGGGCATGGAAATTCTGTCGTTATTCGCGAATTGTCGTTATATTCGCTGCCGTTATTAGCGAAGTTGACTGTATTGTAAATTATTTTTACAGTAATCTCGCGCATTTAAGGACATGTTCTTATTTTCGAATAAGACCACTCTCGCTTGTAAGAACATTCACTACTAAGTGAACGAAATCACCGTAACTACACGAGGTTAATCATGGTTCCATTTAAAAAAAAAGTAAAATATCGTGTCCGTTCCCGAAGGGAACTCACGACGGCCGCTAACACCCAGTAAACCCTAGCGGCAGATGCAGCGCCTAACGGTGGGGGTGAGTGGGTAAGCCTCACAACCACTGGCACATGTGCCAAGAACGACCCCATTAGCTGCATCCATGTACCCCTTGTGCCTGGCCACAAGTTCCCAGTTGACTGTGGGTAGCAGCACGGCTGGAAAAAACCGCTCCCAGGCAGGACTTGAACCAGGTACCTCTCGTATCTCAATCATGGTCTTTGACCAACCCACTGTGCCTGCCTGCATGGTTCCATTGTACTGGCATTAGCCAGTAATATGCGTACTTGCACATGTACATGTCGATGCGATGTTTGTCTCTCGCGTGTAATACCATGGTCTTATATTCGAACAAAATGCAATTGTGAAAGGACCGAAAACAGCGACTTTTAGATTATAAGACCATGGTCGTATATGCGCGAGATTACGGTGCATACTTTAGAACCGAGATACTCTTGGAGTCAGGTGGAGATCCTGAATGGTGTTCTGCGAGGGATAACCTTTTGTCACAACATTCCAATGATATAGAATGTGACATTTGATTTTTTTGCCGAAAACTCGGCCTCTAGCCGAGTCTGACGCGAACCGTGAATGTTTTTGTTGCTATTTTTTTGTCTCCACGTGGATTATTTGCAATTGTACTACGAGGTGATTTGGCTTTTTTTTTAAATATTTGGCATTTTTTAACAAAATTAATGTGTAAAATTTGCTTTTCTTCTGGCTGCTTCTCTGCTGCGGATGGCTGTAAAGAAACATGGGTGGTGGCAAATGAGAGCCAGATTATCGTAGATCAACATTGACCAGGAAATTTGGTGCATATAATTTAATTCCCCCTGCCACGTCGATATAAATAGTGGTAGGTAGGGTCCAGCGGAGAATGCCGGCATTATATTCGGCATTATGGGACTATCCGAGCATCAGAGCATTGTGCAGCATTAGAAAGGAACAACACGAGCATTATGTGAGGTTTGAGCGGCATAACGAGTTTCTTTGTGGGTAATGTCGGGAAATATCAGGTTTTTGGCAACAATCGGCTAAAGCCATGAGGTGCAGCGCCATGTGCTTTAACGGTACATGATTTTGTAATTTGTAGACACGTAACACCTTTAGCACTAATGCTACATTTACCTGACTACTTACATGTGATGCCATTGCTACATACCGGTTAAGTCTTTATGTAGCAATGTATACATGTATGTAGTCGGGTAAATGTACAGGCGATGTAGCATGCCCAAATTGCAACTGAG